CACACACACACACACACACACACACACACACACACACACACACACACGGAAACAAACACAGCAGCTGCAGCTGTTAGACTCTCCGGGGAGCGTAAAGCTGACTTATGTAATAATATAAGTGAAAATTGGATTGCAACCTGGTCGGCTTGACTTATCCCACTTAACTCCTCCGACACAAACCTGACGTGGTACGTCGTTACACTGTCACGGTTAGGAACCAAGAGAAAATGAGGATATCAACGCACTGATTTATACTGCTGACAAAACCATGCATGCTGAGATGGAAACATGACAGGCACAATGTGGAATTCATTGAAGTTTGCAGTGGAATCCGGGGGAATTCCTGCAATTTGTAAACAGCTATGAATTGTGTAAGTGTTACTCAAGTGTTTGTGTTTGTGTTATATCCACCCAGAGCTCTCTCAGTCGTGAATACCAAGGCTCCTGTGCATTATTTATTTTTTAGTTTGTAGTTCAATAAATATAAGGAAAAAGAGAGAGTTAGACTGAACAGTAGACGTGTGGCCTGATGGCACAGAGGTTGAGCAAATGTTATAGCTGACAACGATCTCCGTATTGAGGAAGGCAAGCAAAAATGTAATCAAAGATACTGTTCAATCAGGCCCTCAGGATTAGTTATGCAACACCATCCTGGTGAGCCATTGTCCTTCCTACAGCTGCCAGTTTATAAGTACTGTGCTAACTTTCCTATGTTGCTTAACATTTTGACCTGAGTGAAAAGTCACCATTTTAAAAAGAGTTTTGGAAACTGGTGTGGGTGAAATAAAAAAAAAACAACAACTGTATTTCATCCAGCTGTACCAAACCACCAGATAGAAACACGAGTGTAAAAACAATAGAACATATAAACTGATAGTCGTCTACCTCTCTGGTGTCGTGTCTGTTTCTATGAGTGAGGCTGTACTTGCACTTTGCCATAAGATCTTATCCAATCTTCAAAACCCACCTGCCCAGGACCCACTGAACCTAAGACCCCAACACGGTGTTAATTCTGTGGCAGTCACCTCACTGGTACAGCACGTCCTGTAGAATCAGTGGTATGGACACACACACACACACTATTTCTCACATTCTCTAAACTGGCGTGACACACTGGAGATCTGCTCACTCATCTCACATCTAAAGAGGTGCGGTTTTCACACACAAAAAAGCATTCGAGGCATTACAGAGACTGGAGGACGTCAGAGAATCGAGACAGTCAAATCAACTCCCGCTAATTCCCACCTCATCTTTACGGCTTTACCAATTAGAGATAATCCCATCTTGAGTCCGGCCGGCCAAAGTAGGCGTGTAAAGGGGAAATGTGGAACTGTGTCACTGTGTCAAACCGAACCTTCAGTGCCTGGACACCTCGACAGGTGACTCACCTTTAGGGAGTCTCCTCCGAGGAACCACAGCATGGCCAGGCAGTGGGCCACCAGTGCAACCTGAGCCGAGTCTTTTCTGGAGTAGTTCTGCTCAAACTCCAACATGGATTTTAACAAATCGTGCACTTCAACTCGCTGGGCTGAAATTGAAAGTCAGGGATAGAAACAAAGATGCGCATGTTCGTTAACTTTTACACTATACTACCCTGGGCATAAGTACATTGTATATTTGAAGATTGAAACACCTAATTAATTTAATCGTGATCAACATAAAATTCTGATCTTGTCTGCGTCTTCTGTATAGTTTGTTTGAGCTTCCACACCCACTTTTCCCCGGTAAACATCCCAGGGAGCCTTGGAAATTTCACGGCAGCTAACAGGCTTAGAATCATATGTAGGGCAGCAACTGCGATAGAGGCTAGTGGTGCGGATGCTGCACAGCCAGAGATGTGTCAGCACTGGTCTCAGGTCAGCCCTAAGCACGCTAGTGTAAATCTGGGGTTTAGCTTTCGGATTGCACAGCAAGACAGCTCAGATAAAGATAGGCACTATTGACCTTGTTTTTTTTTTTTTTTTTGTGATACGCCGATGGAGATCTCTGCTGTTTAGTGAGTGGAGCAAATGATGGATTGGTGATGAAATTTTCTGATTCTTTCTGTTTTAATAGTGCGGCAAATCCTAAATGGTGGTGGTTCTTTATCACATTCAAAGTGTCCATGTTTGATGACAACACTAACCATAAGAGGGCTCCAACACCCTGTCAGGATCTTGGACGTTTTGGGCGTGGGTCTCGAGGAGTTTGGTCAAATGGCCGTGCCAAGTTTGTGCCACCTACAATATGAGCAATATAAGATAAACCATGCAGCACATAAACAAAACAAAAAAAGATTTGGAACAAATTGCCTCATGCCTCATCACATCTGATTTATTTTACCTTAGAGTACAAGGAACGAGCAAGGGGCATTTTGCCCTGTTTGGCAAACACACCAGCCATGAGAAAGTAGCCGCCGCAGGCGACCGTGCTGTCCAGACCATATTCCTCACTGGCAAAGTATATCTGAGAAAGAAATCAGAGAAATCAGCTTTTATAGGAGGTATTTTTATATGGATTTCCAATGTTGGTGGGCGTACATGACACAAAAAGGAGCAAAATGTTGTACATCCTGAGAGATCAACAATGTACACCATTATGCTGTTCTGATCTCACTCAGATTTAAAAAAATATTTACAAGCTGTGAGAGAAGTTCATATGGTGATCAAAGTGCGGGAACTTGTGCTCATTTTGCTTCTCACAATGCATACAAAGTAACTGAACAGTTGAAAATACTTCATGTACTCTGGTGAGCGAGTTACTTATGACACGGACATCATTTGCGAAGTCGAACAGAGCTGCTTCAAGGTTTCCAGTCGCTGCGTGGAGGCGGCCCAGGCTCCTGTGCAGCCGGTGGTGGACTGAGTGCTCCGGGCTCTTCAACACCGCCCACTCTGCCTGTGCCAAGAGCTCCGTTACCTGGGCTAGATCACCCAAACCTGGAAAGTACAAATGCACACATTAAACATCATATGAGGGGAAGGAGAAAGGAGACGATTTGAGCTCTTTCCTCACCCATGTTAGCATCAGCCAGTAGCAGGTAGGCAGGGACCATTTGGACAGTCTTGGGGCCGTGGACGTCTTTGGAGTAGCGCAGGCAGCACCGGGCGGCCGGCAGAGCCTCCCGGTGTTTCCCCTCAGACAGCTTGCTCTGAGCCACCGACCTGCAAATCTCAATCAGCTCCACCTAAGCAGGGAACCAAAACCACTCTTTTTACTGACAGCAATCACAGGAATATCCCATATAAGCTTGAATATCACCATTGTAACACCCACACATTGATCACCGAGGATGGAACTCGCTCTGGAAACCAGACTAGGAAAGCAAAAAGGAACCTTGATGTAAATTTCAGAAAACAATGTTCAATTTAACTTTAGGAAAACAATAACTTTGTCAGCTGTTCTCTACGGTAGTTATTCAAAGGAAAAAGAAAAACAGTTTTTAAGTAGTTCCCTGCACTTATGTCAGTCACAGCACATGACAACCTGCTGCTCAAATAAAAGACTCTCGGGGGAGAACTGAGACTAAAACAGTGTAGAGTGCAGTAAGGAAGCCTTGTTATCCCTCTACCCTTATCGATTCTGTGTTTCATGACATTTTCACTCAGCTTACTTCGTAATAGCAAAGGTCCGTGTGTTTTACCGTCACTGTTTCCTGAGATTTCCTGCGTCTGAATTTGTGAGAATCTGTGCTGTCTTGTTGTTATTGGACAGTTAATTCTACCATTTCATTGTGTGCTCCGGGTTTGGATTCGGAAACTTAAGCCGTATGAAATTATGACAGTTAAAACAAAAAACCTGGAAAGGAAACACTAGGCCGTTCGAGGGAAAATAAAAAATGGCCTGAAGATAGTTTTCAGACTCCCATGTTATTCGTTGCATTTTCCTTGACAGTGAGAAACCTAAACTAGACTCAAACTCAAAACAAGAAGTATGTGTGTACATGTGGTCCCAATGCATCACATAGGTCCTCACCTTATTAGGCTCTGTCTCAGCCTGCTGGAGAACTTTTGGGGTGCGAATGGGAACCAGCAACTGACAGATTCTCTCATGGATCCCCACCCAGTCATCCTGCTGGTGCTCTGCATTACTGAGGAATACGGAAGGTCATGTTTATATTCCCGAACTGACTCCCTCCCTCAAGTCAAAATTATTCAAATAGCCTCAATGTCACATCGCAAATTTGCCTCAAGGGACTCATTGCCTCAGTTTCCCCTCTTTCAATTCAGCCGCCTTGGATCCATTGAGTCCCCTCTGGGCACAATGCGGGGAATGTTGTGTAACGGGAAGGTACTGAGGACAGAAATTAGTGGCAGCGCAGCAATCACAAGCAGAGTCAGTTCTGCAGGTTTTTAATCCAACAAACCTCAACCAACACAAAACAACAGAAAACGTAGCTCAGTCCAGAGCTCGATCAGTTAACTAAACAACTTCGCTGCAACTTGTACTGAGGGAAATGTGTCTATACTGTTTATATCAGTTGGTTTGCTAACATTTTCCAAAGCAGAGCCTCTATCCCATTTAGAAAAGATCATCTGAGTGCTCAGAGGGCATGCTGAAATGTATGCCATTACATAACTGGTCTGTAATTTTGCACACTTCTGTGGAAACTGTCTTGGTTTTCCTTGCTTTTTTTCCTTCTTCTACTGAAGAGCATGCGTGTTCGCGCCAGTGTATTTGTGTTTCTGGTCTTGGGACAGAGGCAGCGAGCAGGCAGCGATCCGGCCACGTCACATCAACGCTGACATACTAGCTGGTGTGCACACAAATAAAAGGGGTCTTCTAGGGTCGCGGGGTCACTATACTTTCTTGTCTCTGCTGAGCTTTCTTTGCATATAATTATCTGCATAATAATAAATGATAGCTTTACAGTCTTATTTTGAGCCACAGTAAGTAAGTCTCTTAACATGTATAAACTGTTGTATTTGTTTCAGTTCTAATAAAAACTCCTGTTTTCTCCCCTTTATACCTTGTTCTGAGGCTGAATGACATGTAGGCTATAATGTTCATAATCTAACTCGACAAATGTGCTAAAGACGTGTAGTTCATTTTAAAAAGGCCGAGAGGGAAGCAAGCACAATAAGTGTCTGTAAGCTTTTAGCAGACTGGCGTTAATGCATCATCCCTTCACATAAATCCCAGCAGGGAGGGACGTCACCACGTGCTCCTCCTCACTCCCCATACTGTGCCAATAAGGGTTTCACCGAGCACCATCTTATGATCTGTAATTGACTCTGAAGAGTTGTCCACCTATGCTGAACGGTATTGTTGACCTTCATTTGAAAAAAAAGATGAGCAAGGGCTTCCAGTCACATGAACAAAAAAAAAAACCGTTTTGGTGATTGTATTTCCAGCTGTTCCTCTCCCTCCTGACGACACAGTCACGTGATCGTTCTTCACACCGACGTGCTACGTGCATGGTTTCTCTTGTGGTGTGTGCTGTGAAACAAATATGGCGAACACTGCCACTTAGCGTCCGAACCGCAGACGTGGTTTGAACAAGCGCACACAAAAACAAGAATACTAGACGAGTTATCTTGAGTATGCTCTCACACATTCTCAGCCCGCGGGCGGGCCGTCAGAGTGATAACTGCATATTTGTGTTATGCACACAACTGCTCTGTAACGATGAGTATTAATGTGATATCTCATTAGAAAGCTACGGTTCTTGTAATTCGATTTATGCAAACCATTTCAAGATACAATAACAACAGCAGGTACAGTTAACGTCTCTGTCAAACAAGCACTCCAAAAATAGCCGATAAAATATCGCCATGACTCACCGATTATGATCCATAACGTGCCCCTAGTGCATGCTAGTCCAGCAAAAACGGTCTTGCTAGGTGGCTAAGGGTCCACTCGATCGAATCCAGTAAAAGATTTAGTCCAAAACACATTAGTACGTCCATAAAGACCCACGGGGGGCTGTTGCATCATTTCAAATTAGCCAGCAGATATGATAACTCGCGATCATATTTCGGGCATAATTTCACTTTTCGTGTCAACAGAGCGGAGATTTTCATCACAAAATGGAGCCTGCATTCCGCCGGTTAGATTGACATCTCATTTGACCCAATAGGAGCTTCTATAGCCCGGCCACAGTCTGGAACAGCCAACGAGAGTCCGCTTTGAAAGACAATGCCCGCCTCTCTTCTTTGGATAAAACTCGAGCCAATCGCAACAGATCCTGTTCAAACTCAGGCTCCACATAGCCAATGAAATTACGAAGCCAAGGATATGCAGATTTATCAGATGGCCCTCTGGGAAAGTTTTCAAACTGAAATTGAAACCGTGACTCAGGTAACTGGGACAGATTATCAAGACAAAAGTCTGGTTCATGAGAATTTTCAAGAATCTGTGAAAGTTGATAATGGTTAAATATGATATAGTTAACCGTACATAGACATAAATAAACTGTAGTTTGAATTTCGGACACTAGTTTATCGTAGTATATGCATTTTGACGTGGTGACGTGAGCCTCCAAATGCGTTTTTACACCCGCACTCTTAGTAAACCACGTGTAAAATATTAATGGCCGCACTCTTAGTAAACCACGTGTAAAATATTAATTTTCTGTCATATTGTTATCAACTTGTACCAGGTATCATGACTCCATACTGTCACACCAGTCTGTTTTCAGGCCTGTAAGTCCCAGCCATAGATAGCTGCTGCCATCTGTTGGCCAAAACAGATCTAGGCGGAAGTAAAATGCTTCTCTTTCACTGTGCTGAAAACGCATTAGCTCAATGCTAGTAGCACTTACAGTGATTCTGACTGATTGTGAAGAAACTTCAGAGTGTTGCCGTTCAATAAAGACTAAAACCATACATGTACTCCCAATGGTTCAATAAGAGCTGTCAGTTTACTTTGGGTACGCGGTTGATAGGCGTTTTAGGCAAATTTTAGAGGAGTGAGATTAATGTCCCGACAGCCGTGAACAGCCCTACCGTGTCATGTCGAGGACAACTCGAACTTACCAGTAAAAGGTGACCCGACACTTTGTGCATTGCAGGCGCGCTGCTCCTTGGCAAAGTTCACATAACTTTTTCTTTCCTTTGGGTAAGGCGAGAGGAACCACCTCTGATGCTGTCCCCTTTATACGAGGTTGAGCTTGCATTATCACAAGAAAGCCCGCTTAAAATGGGTCAAACACACGACCAGTGTTACGCTCGTTTTTCAACCAGATTAACTGATGCCAGTTGTTGAGAAACTCAAAGTTTACGGTCGCTATGCAACTCTAGCTCCGGCAGTTTCCCTCTGCTGCCGTTAGACACACACACACACACACACACACTGTAGTCTACGTAGTGCATGTAATGTAGGATACATGTTCTTAATATGATCAAGTAATGTCTAATGTACAGCTTTATTTGGTAACAAATGTGCGTTTTATTTAATGTATTATCAAAAATTAAAACAACAACAACAACAGACTTGCACACTTTCATTCTTTGTGTGATATTTATTTCAAACAGCTGCTGAACATATTCAGCTTTAGGTACAAAAATATACATATTTTCAGCTTTCTCTTCATGCGTGAAATTAAAAGTAATTAAAATGCCTAATAAGAGCTACAACACTATTAAAAAATACTTAACACTGCTTTGGTATTTACCTTCCTTGGTCAACACAGGACAACAAAACCTCTTACAGTAAAAAAGAAGCTGAGCATTATATATTGGATTGATATTGAGGAATCAATGTTTGCAAAAGGAAAAAAAAATACATGTAGGCCATAAAAACATGATCAGATCAACCAAAGCCTGAGCAATGATCATATAGGCATTTGTGACTCCTGCAAAAGAAACATTTCTGATTAACAACAAGTCAATTCATTTTTTTTTTTTTTTTGCGCCTTTAAAAAAACATTTTTTTGTTTTTGTTTTCCCTTTTCTGGTCACTCTTTCTTACGCAAGTGGATGTATATGACCCCGCTACACAGCAACAATGGGACACACACCCAGGCCAGGATGAAGCAGTAGCCAAAGTGTCCAGATGTCAGTTCTCTGGAGTCCTGAAGGATTTCCTTATTGTGTAATGTGTAAATGAGAGCTGCAGAAAAGGTGGATAGCCCTAGAAAAAAGAAGAAGTTTGTTTTAGTTAACCTGATTCATTTCATTTACCTATATGATTAATGGCATATACAATAGAGTGACAGCAACAACCACCTGTTGGGCAAAACAACATGAATACATCACAACATACTAACTTTTACTTCCGGCAGTGTCACAGAAACGTTAATATCTGCAAGCAACGCAAAATCTGTGTCGGTGTTTGCTTGACTCCTTCAATATAGACTTAAAAAATAGAGATGTAGACAAATCAGATGTATACCTGATCTACAATATTACACAGGTTTGTACCAATTTAGCCATCTCTAAGAGTAAACTAAAGCCACTGTACTCAAGGATACCATTATATAAATAACCTAAAATTTAGATGCCAAAATGTAGCTTATTTAGTAGATTTATCAGAGCAAGCCTTTTTCAAATGGTATCATCATACTGAGACATGTTTGCAGGACATTGTTTCACTCCACTGTTACCTGCAAAGACTTGACACAGCCCAGTGAAGTAGAAGAGTCCACCCTTCGACATGGTGAACAGTTGACCCAGGAACACCAAGAAGGAGACGGAGGAGAAGACCACTGAGAGAACCATCAGAACCTGTATTGCCTTAAGCCACTCTGAGAAAAAGAAAACATTCTGACATCTAAAAAACAGTCTTAGATCTCAGTGTTTACCTTTTGGAGGGACATGTTCATATGTAGAGGGAATGAAAAAGACATTGTTGCTTACCAGTTTCTCTGGAGGATGCACACAACCAGGTTCCTGTGAAGTTGTCAAACCTACAGTTGTACCATAGGTCGGAGTTCTCCATGCCATCCCACACCCACCAGGACTTTAAAGAGAGATTAGACATGATAGATACAGCTGGATATGTTGCACATGCAGCTGAATATGTTGGGCATGATTGTTCTAAATATGACTACTACCTTCTCCATAGTTGCAATGAAGAGAATTGCCAGTGTGATGAGATGCAGCAGGGTCACAAACATAAGCAGGTAGGCCATTTTCAACTCCCTGCCAAAAACAAACAAAACTGTTTAAATATAGGCTTCCTGAGCAATTGCATCCAACATAACAGTTAGCAAGGAAATAGCGTGCGACCAATTTCACGTGTTTGTAGGTTCCACAGTGAAAATCAGTGTTCGGGAACTTTCTTGTTTTGCCTTGGAAAAAAAAAAAGGAAAATCTGAGTAGCTGAACAGAGCTTACTCTGTGTTGCGTAAGACCACGCTTCAAAACAGAGCGCAATGAGTTATTTCTGAAACCCCTCTTTGACTGGGCTGTGTGTCGCCATCGCACAGCAAACCACAGAGAACCTGGGAGGGCCTATTGAAATCTAAACGGCACCAAAATATTCACCCAATTAATCTCTCTACCCCTCTGAATGGCTGTTTTTGTAACTGCATATATAGGGTATACAGTCTGTAATTCATCTTACATTTGGATTTCATTAAAGCTGAATTGTAGTTTGAGGAAAGATTATGATTTTACAAAGCTTTTTGGCATTTGCACCTATATATAGTAGTAAGCCCAGAGTACAAGTGAACACTTCAGAGGCTATCAAAGCTGTAGTGAAAATAATTTCAGTTCACAATAAGGAGACATGCAGCGAGAGAGAAAAAGACAGAGAGATAAAAGACAAATATTGTCTGTATAGATCGTTATCTGTAGGAGGGGTCCATTTGGGGGTGGGCGTTGGAGTCACAACACTGTAACATTATGTCATTACACTAGATTGCATCCATCACATGAAAGTCAATGAAAGTTAAACATTAAATGGGTTAAAAACAAAGCCAATGGTTATGAAAGAAATGTTAGTGCAAGAATCAAATAAAATGCACCAATGACACAGATACAATGAGTACGATTTATTATCAAAATAAGCAATGGCACACAAAATGTGTGATAATAAAAAGCATGATTTATTTTGCTTCCGGTTACTTTTAGAACTTCTTAGAAGACGTGAAGAATCCCTGTAACGACATCTTTGTTTTAAAATCAACTGGAACCACGATTTAACAAGCTCTGAACTGAAATCATATGAAAACTCAAGCATCCATCTACTTACTCTGTGTGTTGCTTGTCTCTCTGAATCAGGTCTCAGGAGCTGCGTAGCATCAGCTTCACCACTCTATTACAACGTTCTGTCCCTCTTGGTGGTCTTCTCCTTTCCAGCCATACCACACCCCCTTATTTTTACAGTGACTCCATCCAAACTTTCCAAGGAGCACGCCCATTTCCTCTGTGCAGAACAGAGCTCTCTTTTGCTGTGCGTTGTAATCGCTCAGCACAACATCACCCTCCAAAGAAAGTCTCAAACGAGACCCACCCATGGGCAGTGGAGGCACACAAAACCACAGGAAAATCCCTCCTCTGTAAACAGTCCACTTGGAATGTTTTTTGGCATGATGATCATTCTACCATGTCACATCCATTCACGACTCGTCTTGTTGGGGCAAATATGAAAAATAAACACACAGCTGCAACATAACACATTTCTAAACCAGAACATAATGAGTATTGAGAGTGCACTGGTCACCCAGCAAACATCTGGGTGAGGGATACCATGTACACATGCCTTAGTTTATGTAGTAAGGTCAGTGGAGGCCACAGCAAAACAACATGAAGTTTCAAAACACCAATTGTGCATTTTCATCTTTGTTAAAAAGGGAAAGAGTAAGAAGGATGTACTTGAAAAAGTTTATGTGAATGCCAGTATCCCTCCATTGAGTCTATAAATAAATACTTTCTAAATATTATTAGGTGATTGGTGGTAAAATCATGACAAAATTCATTACATTAACATCTGATATGTCACCTCCCTATAGAAAAAGACTAACGTTTGTTAGTCGCCCCCTGGTGTTTACATCCATGGATTCATAAGGCTCTATATGGGCATACTTCATCAAAATCGATGTCCATTAACTGTCACTGAACACAGTGAATAAAGCATGATATTGGTAAAGATGTATCTCTTTTGGATTACTCCCTGGTTGCCACGGACGAAACCAATTTTGAAGATTGTTTAATTGCCATAAGGTCCATGCATAGGGTCCAGGTCAAGACCCGGGTCAACCCTATCTCTGTTAGAACTCCTTAGTGTTTGGACTTGCACCAAATTGCAAAACTGTCATTTAAAACAACAATATTCCCGGAATATCTCTTTCTAAACCAAAACGAACACTACCATTTGGTTGCTTGCAACTTTCCTGGCCGATTGTCACCCTGCATCATTTCAATGGTACGGTCCGTTGCCTAGGTGCTCGTAGAAGCCAATTCACTTCGCCACGCCTGTCCTCGGTACTTGGCTTTCTGGTCCCCTTTACCTTTTGAACGGTGAGTACTAACTATGACGGCACCTTGCATACTCAGGCTGTCCAATGCAAATAAGTCACCGTTGAAGCAGCAGCCTTCAGTTATCACAACGAAACCCTCGCAGCCTTCACCCGCTGCTGCCAAGCGGTCACTGGATAAAGCTATGGCTACCGTTAGCGAGCTAGCGTTAGCTGAACGTAAACTAAACCAATTGTAACTTTGAAACTAACTTTAACTAATTACGCAGGGCTGCGGGTGATCACAGGTGCCGGTGCTGGTTATTTACCAGCCTATCGTAGCACGACGTGGTCAGCAAATATGCTAATATAAGTTAGCGTTAACCATATCTTTAGGACAAGTGAGCTTGCGTGGCCAAAAGGAATGCAAGTGGCTGTTGTTCTGCACAAACCCTCGTTTGCTCCTCCTCGTCAGACATTTTGGGAAGAATGGGTAGCTGGAAAGCAAAGATTTTAAACTCCACATGAGGGGGGGACTCGATACTTACTGCAGCGACACCGTGCACATTGCATGGAAGTACAAATTGTGTTGCTAAATGCAAAATGCAACATGCAAATGCAACTGCAAGCGCAAGCTTCGATGATAGAAGTGTCACCCATATTGTTACATTCCTCCTGATTACATTGGCTGCAGTAGATCAAACAGCTAATCATCATGACGCTTTGCATAGCCTCAGGTGATGCAATATAACTCGGCTGTTAAACTGAAGTGTGCCTGTGTCTAAACTAGAGACTGTCTCATCTCTAAACGTGTGACTGCAAGTCTCAACATGACCTGAAAGCATTGTTTAAAAGTATCTCGTGTTCTGCAGGGGCGCTCCAGGACAAGAGCCGTTGTCATGGATGAACTGCAAGAACAATGGAAGTGATGAAGTTTGAAGATTTGCTGTTCTTTGCTGCATCATTTCAAACCGACTTGTGTTCTATTGGATACCACGTCGGCTAAATTGTTGTTTGGGATCAGAACTTCATCATTCACAGATGCTGCTTCATCAAAGTTAATGTCTGACCATGGATCATGAGGTAACGTTCACAGCTGTTCATTTGCTTACAGATAACATGGTGGCAGTCACTGTTGAGTAGCTTTGTTCCAGTGTTCAACACCGGCACAAAGCTTCTGTTTTGTTGATCTCTGATGCTTTTTTGTCTACCGGCAATTTAACAAGAATAAGTTACTGTAAAAATGAAAGATGCAAAAGTGGCTGTTGTAGTGTATACATCTTGCACCCATAGCCAGGTGGTTGTAGTTGATGTCTGATCTTTAAGCCATTTGTCCCACGAAGGCAAGATCATATACCAGTTTCTGTGATGTTTAAGTACAACAGGCACACGAGACCCGATACCTAGCAATATGTTGCATGTTGTTGGAGCAGGGACCGCTCCAGGAGTAGTTTGAATGCTGCATTGGGGGGGGGCGCTGCTCAGGTTACAAGCCCTGCAACCTACAGTATTGAATTCAGCAACAGGTGTTTAGAGCTGGCATGCCACTCTGATGTTGTGATGTCCTTCTGCTGTGTGTTACACGCACCGGATCAGCTTTCAGCGAGACTGACCACCTTGATGTTGAACACTGTTGTTAATGCTATTGCTTGCAGGTTAGTTTGCTGGATAATTGTTTTGGCAAAAGTAAGTAATTCACAAGTGCAAAAGTACGACTATTTAGCTCATTGTGCTGCAGTTGTCATAGTGTGTCACATATTAAAAAGCAACCTGTAGCACTATACAACCGCATAAAGCATAAACGTTAAGGACATTTTTGCATATGTAGCTTTGAAATTGTATCAGCTTCATGACACTTGAGTTGAAGTATATTATCATGTTATAACTGCTATGACATGCAGGGTACCCAATAACACTCATTCACTGACGAGCCTAATTTGTGGGTGCTTCTTGATTCCCCACAGTACTGAGAGGGATTTCCTTTATTTTCCAACATTTTACCAGCTGCAGCTGAACATAACAGTTCAACGCGTATGTGATAGATATGATATCCGGTCACAAAACCTTCAGCTCCTCCTCTGGGTTTCTCAGGTGAGGACAGAGCTGGACCAGATTTCTATGCGGCTTCAGGAGGATGGCTTGCCCCCAGGGGCCAGTGTGGAGGAGCAGCAGCGCCACCTGTGGCAGCAGCTGCTTGCCAAGGAGGCAACACTTGAGTCAGCCACCCAAGAGCTGCAGACCGTACGTACCCAGCAGGCCAGTGAAATGAAGGAGGTGAACACCGGGTGTTTCATGCGTATGATGGAAAGCTCCCAAGCTTCCAGTCTATCATACCTTTTGCCAATTGCTCAAAATGGTCTGTCAGTTCCTGTCAGCAGTTTGATTTTTGTCTGTCAGGTGGAAAGCTATGTTGAACATATTCGAGGGATGCTGGAAGAGCGAGAGTGTGTGACTTCAGACTATGAGAGAGACAATGATCACTTGCGACAACAGCTTAACCAGATCACACATCATCAAGGTGAATTCAATATATATATAATACTATATAATATAGAATGTTGGCATTCTTTCCTTTTGACTTGTAGCCTTGCCTGGCTCTCCAGAGCCCCTGAGATGGATATTTTCAAACACACCGTAGTTTACAGTTTCTAAAATTGTGCCTGTGAATATATTAAAGGATCTGCTATCTGAGTTGGATTTTTACTTGTGTTTGTGTTAAATCTTCTGCCATATGGCAAACTTGTGCATTATTTAGTTGTTATTCTGTCTTGTCTGCAATGATGTTTCACTAACCTCTAACCAGTGAACAAACCCTTTCTTCCAGAGATTCAGAGCAAGGAGCTGGCAGAGATGTTGGCTCTGGAGGACCTCGGGGAGATGAGCTTGAGCAGCCCCAGCGAGCAGGTGGCTTACTTGCTGGTGGAGAGGACCACACTTCTGGAGAGGCTGGAGGCGGCTGAGAGGAGACTGGAAAGTCAGAGCCTCACTGTCGACCAGGTAAAACACCCACCTACGTACATCAGAACTGTTCAGTTTCCTCAGAATATCAATGTAATGGTTATCCAGGGCAGATACAGAGACCATATAAACGTGGTTAAGTGAGTGTCTTTCGGTGACTTTTGGACAGGAGCACATTCGCAACACGATGGGAGAAGAGCTAAGGCAGCAGAGGGAGGATACCAAAGATAACCTGACGAAGGTGAGGTGACCGCCATTGTGCCTTGGCTGTGTTACAGGTCTGTATAACTTTAGCTTGAATTCAAATTGTGAAGAAAAGAACAATATTTTGTTTCCAGTTAAAGGACAGGGCTACCACGTGATAGTTATGTAGTGTCTGTTGTGATTCTGCACACATGGGTCTCTCCTCTCAGCAGTGTTCAACCCAGAGTCCATGGAAGAAGCTCTTTGGGCTGCGCAGGTCTGGTCAGAGCAAACACAATATTACCCCTGTAGGTTTCCCCCTCACCGCATATACAGTACTAACTAAGTAACTAACACTGACGTTGTGATAAAGAGGGCATCGCAGGCTTGTTTCAAAGTGTTGCTACATTTTGAAATGCGTTCCACGCTGACAATGTGCTTCGATACCTGCATGACCAATGAGATGCGGACGACATCGCTTGTCTCAGTAACGCGTCTGTGAATGTAATTTTCTAACAACTGACGAGTGCTCGGAGTGGGTGGAACAGTAATGGCATGTCACAGGTAACAGCATGTGTACTTTTTGTCCCACTGGTGTGTCTGCGCAGGAGAATGTTGACGTATAAGAGAATAACTCATTGCCCTCACTCCTTACCAGGCCTGTGGTGACGATGCATCTCAGCCTCTGAGTGCATGTCTCTTACAGCAGCATGTTGGGACACTTGCATCTCCAGCCGAACTACCAATCTTCTTTCCTGTTGCATTCCTCCCACTCTTACCGTCCGTGCTTTGTTCTCTTGCATCAGGCCCACGGTGAGCAGATTTCCCAGGAGCGAAATGAGCGGCAGCGGCTGGAGCGGGACCTTGAAGAGGCGTCTAGGAGGCTGGCGATGGCTCATCAGGATATTCGCAGACTCACCAACGAGCTGGATGCCGCCAAAAACAACAACCTCGACCAAAATGGTATGTTGCAAGACTTGCAGTATGTATCCCTCAAAGAATTGTGAGTCTGGGTTAGATTTTGATGTGATGTTTCTTGAGACTATACACTAAAGTTTTGTATTTTGTTTTGCACACTGTTGCTGAATTAGGTGGTTGGAAAAAACATGCAGATGTTCAAATGCAGCTGCAGTCTCTGGTCTACCCAGCTGGCTGCCTCTGACCTTTTAAAATCTTTTTACGTCCATATAAAGCAGCTTCTTATGTCTTGCCCCACTCATATGTCAATATTTTTTGTTGTCAGGCTAATTTCTAATGTGGAACTAGTGTGTTCTAGCAATCTGCAGGACTTCATTAACAGCATATGAAAAGAAATGTTATAAAAGTCATGAATGAGAAGAACACATATTCTTGGCTTTATAGAATAAAAAATATGCTTATAATCTCAGGATCTGAGCTTCAAGGAACGGTCCAAGAAGTAGAGAACCTGAGGAAGGAAGTGGAGAAACTGAAACACTGTGGTGAGACAGACTTGGGTGTGAACTTAAAAACTGCCATTCAGTGTGTGACGTTAACGCCAGACACATAGTTTGGAGATTTTGTTTTATTATTCTAAAATTCTGGTTGGTTGGATATTGTTTGGACATTACTGTTCTGTTTGTGCTTCAGAAAAGGAAAATATATGATGCTTCAACACACTTTTTTCATTTTTCATATTTAGGTTTTTTTAAATGCAATTCATTTTGCTACAGGTTACTAGTGCAAATGCTACCTGATTAGGAAGTTGATTTACCTACTATTACTTTTATACTGTATATCCCCCTCCATTGGCTTGCACACTTGAACAGGGCATTGTATTATTCCCCTTATATTCATATTAGGCTGGAGGAAAACGTCTGATTATATTGGTATCCCTTTCCCTCATACTGTAGTGGTTTGGCTGAATATTTCAGTTTACTGAGTCAAATCTTATAGCAGCTACCAAATGCATCCATGGTTTTGCACGACATTTGGCAAGAAAACAGTCTCGCATAACCAGACAGATGCAAAAAGTCACTAATGTAACACTAGTCCCAACAGAATGTTCCATTAGTTAGTTAAAATGCTTCATGCGGTTCACTTTACGGACTGAATAAGCACATTTTTAACGTGCTGAGCAACTTTCAAACAACTTTCGTGATCAAATTGATCTCCTTCCCTTTGTAACCACAGTGTTCTATAGGTATTATCATCATAGTTACTTTATACCGTATATGTGTAACATTGTATAATATGGTTTGAAAAGTCAAAACAAGATGACATTTTTTGTCTTTTCACAGATATGATGAAGCTGCAGCGAGCCAAAGAGCAGAATGACACGCTAGACGTTGAGAACAGAGCTCTGAGGGAGAGAGTCCGCACTTTAGAGTCTGAAAATAAAAAACTCCTGGACCAGGTTGGTATTTCACTCATTTTCTTCATTGAATTGAAAACTTCTACTGTTGTTGCAGCAGCTTGCCATTGTTTGGTGTTGTGTTTGTCCAGTTGGCAATAAATGACGCAGACCAACATGTTGTGACCAAAGACGATCAAAAGGACAAATGCATAAGCAGTGAACAACAAAACAATCTGTCTGGCTCTTCAACACAAGACGAGGATTACATTCACAAACGGTAAATACATTCATTTTTCATCTTTATTTATCCCACACCAGGCAAATACAGTTGTTACAGCAGCTCAACAGTGGTTGACAGTGTGATAAATGAATGTTGGCATTCTTTGAGACTATCCCACCTGCTTTTTCCGACTTAAAATCATCACCATCGTTCTCTGTCAGGTGTCATGAGGCGGTAGAAGACAGGCTTATTCAAATGAGGGATCTGCAACGGCAACTCCAGAGGCTACGCAAGGATCTGGAAGAGCTGGGGGAGAGGAATGAAGAGCTGGAGGCTCTGCTAGGGGAGGCCCAGAATGCCAGCAAGGGGACGAGGCATCGCCACGAGGGAGAACTAGAGGGACTACACAGGAGGGTAATAAGCAGCACTAAAAATACATTCTCTCAATCAAACAGAAGATTGATGGATTATTTACTAAACATACTAAATGTGAGTTTTAAGACATTTCACCTGAGATGGTGAAGAAAGCTGGTGTCTCAGACATTCACTAATGCCTGTCCTTGACTATAAGAACTCATCCAGTATAATTTAGTCTAGCACCTGTCTTGGAAACGGTCATCTCCCTAATGGATGAGTAATAATCTTAACTGATCAATGCAGATCAAGGCCCTGGAGGCAGAGTTGAAGAAGCAGGAGGTCCATGAAATAATGTTGAAGAATGGTGAGGAGGTCAAAACCACTGAGTCCTACTTGCAGCTGGTAAGACATTACTCACTTTTGAATATCATGTATATTTGTTGTGTATATATATCATATATGTTTCCTCTGTGCTCATTTCACAGTGGTTTGTTAACACAGCAAGAACACTACGGCTTGTGATGAGCTCAACTACACAGATTTGAATAGAGCACGAAGAGGTGTAATTATTTAATTGTTTTTTTTTTGGAAATTTAAGCAGCAACAGGACAATAGACGTCACTGTAATTTCGACTCAAATTGAATAAAATGGAAACTGGTTTTACTGTACAGTCAAATTCTTACAATACTTTCCTCTCACATTGACATGCAGAGAAATTTAAATGTGAAAAGGAGGAATGAGCCTAAACTTTAAGCATCAGCCTGCAGATTCTGTGACTCAGTGCAACCTATAAGATGCTTTGTGTTCCCCTGACACCATGTGTGAAGCACCTACGGGACAGCAGCCAGGACAGACTGGCTCTTCTAGAGGCTCGTCTGACTGAGGAGAAGGACTGGAGGAAACAGCTGGAGGTGGACCTCAGTGCTGCCCAGGCCGCCCTCAAAAAAGACAAGGAGGTAAAAAAAACCACACATAGCCAATGCTTTGTCTGACAGAAAGCAATAACACCACAGCTACACAAATATGTGAAATTTTCAGCTCAGGAGATTTAGTCCTTCAGTACAAAGTCTAGAGTTACAAGCCACACAGATACGTTATTAAAATCCCTCACTCTCTACATTAAAGGCTTTGCAGATAGGTGAGCGAGAGCTGAAGAAGCTGAGACTTGATGTCAAGAGCCTTCAGACAGAATGCCAACAAGGGAAAACACTCATCAAGAGCCTAACCCAAGTCAAGGGGGAAAAAGCAGTTCTGGAGGAGAAGGTTTGTTGATTTTACAAGTCTGCCTGCTCTGCGATAGGGATAAATGATTATTGAATCGAGGAAGTAAAAGAAAATTAACTTGACAACATTAAAATATGTCAATTTACAGCATCAATTCCACATTTACACCACTAAAATGAGTTTCTGACTACTTTCCCGTCTTTGCCTCTCTGCCTGACAGGTGGCCCAGATGGAGCGTGCCCACAGCCGGCTCGGCAACGAGTTGGAGCGCTACAAGGACAGCAACCGAGCCCAGGAGGACAAGAAGCAAAGCAGGCTTCAGGTTGACCAGCTGCAGGTGCAGGCTGACCGGCTAACTGCTGAACTCAGCAGCCTCCAGACGACACACAATGCCCTGAGGTACTTCTATCATGTACAATGGCCAGTCCTATCCTGTGACCGGCCATGACACACCGGAGCTTACTCAGTTTTTGCATAACTTTGCATATGTTCCAGGGACGAGATGGTATCTGAGCGGCTGCAGACTGCCGAGCTCCAGGCCAAGCTGAGCTCCAGTGTCCAGGAGAAGCTGACAGCTGAGGGGCAAAGAGAGAGACTGGAGCTTGAGATGCAGCGCCTCACAGAGCAGCTCGAGTGGCATCAAGAGCAACTCTCCTCAACGAAGGAAGCACTTACTAGCAGCCAGAAGCCTGAACAGCACCCAGCTCATATAGAATCTAGGCTTAGTCCAGTGGAGAGGACCAAGGAGGAGTGGTTGGATCAGGTAATAATAATAATATACATTTAAAGTATGCTTTATGTGCTTTTCAAAACGAATTTACAAAGTGCTTGACATGTTCGAACCAGGATGAAAACATTTCAGGACTCAAATCTGGCAAATACACAAATAAGACATGTTGAAGATACAATGGTGTGTTAAAATAAATAAAAGGCTTTACTGAAAAGATCAGTTTAGGGAAGTGATATCAAAGAAGCCAATGATTCTGCAAGCCTCAGACACTCATGCAGCTATAGTTCCAGAGCTGAGGGCCCTTGACCGCAAAAGCCCGGTCACCTTTAGTCTTGAGCTGGGACTCAGGAACTGTCAGCAGAGTCCTGCCTGAGGAAAAGTGCTTTAAAGGTGATCAGTAAAATCTTTAAGTCAGATCTAAACCTGCCTGGTAACCAGTGAATAGAGACTAAAACAGGGCTGTTATGATCTTCTAGTTTTTGTTAAAAGCCGAGCAGCTGCGTTTTGTACCAGCTGGAGGTAACTGGATTAAATGTCCTTTGGTAGTTTTAAATTGGTTTGTAAAAAGCTCCATCTGTATTGATTATTTAGAAGCTCAGTAATTGAGGTAACAGGTTAGAGTGGAGAGGATGTCTTTCAACATTACAGCCTTAGTTCAACGTGCAGCTGTCCAGTTTTTATGTCCTTGAGTGAGACACTATTTCCCACCAGCTTGAGTACTAAAGCTGATCCTAACCTTTGACCTGCTTGTAGAGGAAAGCGAGCAGAGAGGGAATTTCCTCTGCCAGAATCATGTATCATGCATACTGTATATGTGTGTGTTTTCTTTGTAGCTTTCATGTGTGAAGCAGGAGCTGAATCATCTGCAGACCAAGCTGGGGGAGGAGCAGCAGCTGGCCTCTCAGCACCAACTGGCACTGGAAGCTCGGGTCAAGGTATGATCATAACTCACCTGTAACATGCCCAGATAGCCATGCTGTTTCTGCAGTTCAATTTTAAAATCTATAGTAATCACGGTCTCCTTGTATTCAGTATTTCTGAGTTTCACTTTATTACATAATTGTCTTCGTATTGCTTTACTTTGGCCCAGGCAGCAGCAATTTGAGCATTTCTGGCATTCTTCCTCTCTTTAATATTAATAATAAATGCTGATGATTAAAAACTAAAACTTTAGGTCACCCAATTCCAGTGCTACATCATGCTTTTTACAGAATTTAACTTTTCATTCATTTAAATCGAGGGCACTTGGGATTGGCTTGGTGGTTCACAGCAGCCACAAAACAAGCTTAGCTTAGCCTTTATTTATCTGTCCTCCCTTACGGTTAAACACATCCCAACAATTCCCTCTTCAGTCCCAGGACTCGGTGCTGAGCCAGAAGGCAGAGGAGGCTAAACAGATGAAGCAGGACCTGCAGAGGACCCATAGCCTGTTCACCTCAGCAGAGAGAGAGCTGCGCTACGAGAAGGAGAAAAACACAGACCTGAAGAGACACAACACCCTGCTGGACCAGGAAAAACTCAAAGTTGGTATTTAAGTACAGCGCGGTTGGAATTTCCTGCATGCCTCTGACATTTATTACATAATCGCCATCTTAATCGATCTCTTCGTTACCCAGTCATCTCCCTGTAAAATGATAATCACCATGAGCAAATGTGAAACTGTAACTTAACTTGTAAAAAAGGTGCCATACAAAAAGCTGTAATTGTCCGAATAGCTGTTACGTTGGTGTTAAGCATCTGTTTTGGGCTCATGCTCTGGTGCTTCACATGCTTCCTTCAGCTTTGTGCAGAGCTGAACCAGGTCCAGACCAAGCTGGTCCAGGTGGAGCAGAGTGTCCGCACACAAGCTGCTGAGTGTGAACGGCAGCAGCAGAAGATCAGGGAACTGGAGTTGGAACTGGCACGCAACTCTACAAACCTCAGCACCACCACCGGTCTGCAGGAGGACCTGCAGGCCGAGAGGGCACGGCTCATTGCTGCTGACAGGAAGGTCAGAGCTTTCATCTCATCTGGTGTCGAATCTGGTGCTTTTTTAACAAATCCCAACTAGTTAGGTTGGTTAACCCGGAGGTAATGGCGCTATTTGGTGATCAGCTTTGCGACAATAGGTTGCCAATTTTAGGCTTTGTGACAGAGACACCAGAGGATTTGACTCCTTAGTTTTTCTTCTCTTGTTGAGGTTAAGAAACCTTGGGACATTAATTTAGTAGAGATGTGTTGTACTTCACGTGGCGTAGCTCCGTCTCTGAGTTGTTCACCAACGTTATAGACTATTTGTGTCAAACACCTTCAGGACTCTGGTACTCTGGAAATGATGGGAGGTTGGCAGCTCATGGTATCTGTGTGTCACACTGAGTGAAGCCTGTGGCTCTGTTGGAATGACAGGTGTTGGAGCTGCAGCTGCAGCTTAAGAGCGTCCAGCACCAGCTGCGCGTGGAGGAAGCCCGGGCCGGAGAGAGCAGCCGCCTGGAGAGGGACAGCAGGGATCTGTCTGACGCCTTGTTGGCTCTGAGAGCCCAGCAGCAGGAGGAGCACATCACCAGGTTGCACAAATTGCGGTGCTGCTGACGCTGTCCAGTGACTTGGTCCCAGTAGTAGTAATAGTGCCATTGCCAGCATTGCAAGGCACTCCTTTTTGTTGCTCATCCTTCTATCCATCTTTTCTTCCATTTCTATCTCAGGAAGCTGTTAGAGCAGCGTGACGAGGAGCTGCAGCAGCAGGTGCGCTCCCTGAGGCTGAAAGAGGCCTCCATGACTCGGACAAATACAGAGCTCAGCCACCGTGCCCAGCAGCTGGTCACCCGTCTGAACATCCTGGAGGCGGAGCTTAGCAAGGCCAGAGAGGAGGTAAGGAACAGTGTACAACAGCTCGGCAGATGTTATTGGTACTGCAGGGTTTTGGACACCAGAGACGCCAGTCTTAATGTCTGTTTCACATCACAACAAAAGTTTTGATCAAACGTGATTCACAATTTATATCAAATGTTGTTCTCAGCCTCTACTCAGCTTTTCAATGTAGGATTCTAACTTGTGTTATTCATCATCTCTTTGATTTTATTTTATTCTTCTTGTGACTCATTGACTAAAGAGTTTGCCTTTCTGTATTTCCTTAGCACAACTTCAATTAATAGAAGTGTAATATAAAGTGGGAGTTTTTTCGGCTAATACCCAAAACAATTTGTGTACCGCCTACCAGCCCTGTTGCTTTATCTCCACTTCAAATCTTGAGCGGTCTCAAGAGTTCAGTCAGTAGCTGCACCCAGTAAATTCCCACAAGTGGGATAGAATCTTTTTTTTTTTTTTGATTGTAGAAATGTGTTATCAGGATTTTTCAAATCTACTTGACTTTTATCTTTTTATCTTTACAAAGTCAGTATACACAGTCCTCACATTAAACTGCTGACCATGTTTATCTTTTATGTATTTATATGTTTCCCTCAGGCAAGAGACAGCCAGAAGTCAAGCCACAGACTGCAGGAGGACATGATGGCCAGTCAGCTGGAGTGTGAGAGACTGCAGGAGGAGCTGCAGCAAGTTCTCCTCCAACTGGACGCACACGGCAGGTGAGACGCCCACACACGCATGAATATAGGTATTTACATTGAAATATAATGAACTCTGGTACCCTGGCTAACACATTACCATGTACTTTCTGATCAGCTGAACAAGGTTAAAGCGTTATCAGTAATTACAACACTTGGAGAAGTAGTTGCTTTGCCTGAGGTCAATTTTCTTCTGCTCCACCAACCAGAAAGTACAACGAAAAGCAGAGTCAGCACAAGATCAGGCTGCGTAAAGCCAAGCAGGAGTATCTCAAGGAGACTGCCCAGAGGGATCGCAACATCCAGAAACTGGAGAACGACCTGGTGATGGCCTCCAGCCTCTCAGACAAGGTCTCACACACACACACACACACATACATGACGCAGAACGCTGTCAGAGTTCCTCTACTTGCCAGACAAATCTTTTCTAAAGTATCCCTGTTTTTGTTTATTTCTCCCCGGTGGCTTCAGGAGAAGGACAGGATCCATACAGTGACGGAGGAAAATGAGAAGCTCTTGGAGGAGAAAAGGGAACTGTTGCGGAAGATGAGCGAGGCAGAGGAAATGGGCAGCAAAGGCATGAGGACCGCCTCCACCGTCCAACACAGGTATCTTAATGAATCACACTGACTAATAACTTTTTACACTCATACCTGCCGCTGTTTCTTTTCAAGGGGCAAATTAGGTGTTGTGATTGGATATCAGATTGCTGAACATATGTTAACTTGACTGAATTATTTTATTGGTACAGTTGTAGATTGGGACCTTTCTCAACAAAGACTTTAAAGATTATTGTCAAGGAAAACTACTAAAGCAAAGGCTAAAGATTCATGGGTTTTACACTTTTCATTGTCAACCAAAACTGTCATTAACCTCCATGTGTTGGCGAGGACATGAAAGCCACATTGGGTGACTTGTTTTTGTGAGTGAGTGTGAACACTAATCTGTGTTCCAGGGTCAACATCTTAGAAGTGGAAAACAGACAACTTCAGGATCGAATCCTGAAGCTCTCCAACCAAGTCAGTTCCTTAGAGCGCGCCCTGAGGAACGTCCAATCATCCTACAGCCTGGAGGTAACGCCATACACATCTGTATGCCTTAATGGGACATGCCACACAAAATCCACAGGTTTTATATATTGTTTTATAATGCTTTACATCACAGCTGAGTGACGTGTGGCTTCTTTAATTGTATTTTTTTTTTTTTTTTTAAATGATCATAAATGTTGCAAATGCCCAACAGAATGCCAAGAAAGCGCTCCCCTCTGACAGTCTCTGTGATAGCTTCCTGCATACATCTACGCTGAGGTAAGGTGGGTTTGAGACCACTAATTGTTTTGTTATGATTGTTGATTGACATTTGTAATTTGTGCTGCAGCTTAAGTAATCGACAACTTTGTTAAGCTCATCAAAGAATTCTTAACTTAATTTTCTCGTCATGTCGCACATCGATAGGTTTACATATCGGTGGATGCTTGTACGTATGTGCATTTTCTGCCAATTCTCTCTACGTTTGTGTTGCCAGTCTGACGTCCGGTTCGTGTGACCCACTCGAGATCCTTGATGCAATCTGCCGCGTGAAGGTGTCCGATCGCGCGGCGGCGGACGGCACTCGAGCGTCTGTCTCCACACACCAACCGTCAGAGCAGAGCTACCTGAACCTCACCTCACCGTTAGTTCTTCCAGACACCACAGGCACAGAGGGGAGCTCTTATAACAGTGACCGGGTGTGAGCGGTGGTAGGTGTCTTCAACAGCGAGCTACCAGCGAGGACATGTGCTAGAAGTCAATGTCCTGGGTTGTACTAAAGCATCCGCCACTTCCACTGGAGACGAAAGTCAGAATAAAGGAGTGAAAACATCGAGGATAATAAATAATCCTTGTTTTAAGGCAGTAATAATGAAATGGGAGCTCCCACTGGAGCTCTGCTCAGGGTGATATCTCTTTTGTATTGCAAAGCTGATTGTTGTTCGGCTTGCCAGCACTTTTTTTTGATCCAGATTCAGAATTTACATTTGGTGGTATTATTTAAAAAAAGCCTGTGCAAGTGTCAATTTTTATGGCATATGTAGAAGGAAAGCGAACGTGATGGAAGATTTAATTTGGAAGCTATACACGTGGCACATCAGAATGCTTCAAAGCCTTGTGTTGGCTTATGAAAAAGATGATTTATTTTTTTAATGTAATGGTACAAGATAAGACAATGTACTTCACACTAGCACAGTGAATGTCTAAAAGACATTCCATGAGGGAGGTTTGAGTGAGACTAGTTTAAACTGAGCACTTTATGAGAAGTTTTACTCGTGTTTAGTTTGTAAACTGTAGTGGAAAATGTAGCAGTATGTCAATGGTACGTATTTTTCTGAGTTGAGTTTAATCCTGGCAGTGTTTTCAGTGAAAAAATGCCAATGGTGTTGTATGTCTATGGTTTTACTGTGTCAGAAATCTTAGCGCATTTTTACTCATGTCATACAGTATATAACGTTGATATTGTGCACTCGCTTGCCTATTGCATGTGACGTGTAGCCACTCCAGTATTTACAATTTGCTTCTTAGTTTGTAATTTTAAAACAGCCAAATGTCAGAATTATTTTTATTTTTTTTAAATAATTGGTCAACCTCAATAGTTTCCTCCAGGGACGCTCATTCAGAAAGTAGTTACACCCTTTTACGAAGAGATGTGTGGGAAATAAATACACATGAACTAGTACTATTTAGTGTAAATAATAGTATTGTACAGTGTGGAAAGCGTGCTGTATTTTGTCTACAATGTGCCTGAAATCATGAAGTGTTGAACTTTATCCTGCTGCTGCGTGAACACGTCAAATAACAAAAGCCTATTTGCAACAGTTATCTAATCGACAAGAAACTTTGACTTGTGTTGCATCCATGTAAATACTTTTTTAAACAAATATTTTCATAAATAAAAGTGAATAAATCAGCGTAATGTTTGTTTCCTCACCACATGTCAGCAGGTACAGTTTTCAGTAAAAAACAAGCGATCAGTGATGAATTTATAACAGTCTGTTTATTAAACAAGGTAAAGATACAAAGCTTGTTTTCCTTTTTTAAACATTGATAACCTTAGTTTAACTTCTCAGTCTTGGCTGTGCATATTTAGTTGTCTAGAAACTGTATATGAAACCACAATGCAAGACAGGAAAAAGTGTAATAAATCTACGCAATATCTTTTCATAGAGAACATGGGTTAAACAGCTATCGTACAGATTACAGCTCAGGAACTCCATGCGGAAGGAAGGAAATTAAAATGTTTACACGACTGAATACTGCAGAACACAATACAGATTAATGGAAATGGGATGATAAAACAGTTAAGGCTTACATGTAGATAACTGATATAAAACATGAATATTAATAACATATGGGTAGACTAAAATAATTACAGTAAGTTCATACATAAACTTTTACAAAACCCAAACGGAGCATGTTTATGAAAACTAAAAAATAGGTACTATAAATGAGTAACATGTTTTACAGTACAGCAACATGTACATTTTCCCATTATCTCAAAAGAGAGATTAAGTTGAAGAGGCAGGGTCTGTTGTTGGCGTAAATGTCTGTTTTCAGGCCAGTGGCTTGAGTAATACGTTTTTTATTCTTTTGAAAACATACTATATACTGTATATGTATTTTACATCGTTCTCCGTTCCATCTCAAACGCAACGTCTAGCCGTAGCACCTGTTCTGAAGTGCCCTGAAGAATACAGGGTACTCTATTAGTACCATCCAGAGGTTAAAGTTACAGTAACAATACAACAAACAATACTGTGTACAATAAAAAGAATACAAAGGAGAAAAATAATTCAAAAAGGAGAAGCATCACCTCCACACAAACTCATAACATAGGCCTATGGAATATGACTTGCACTGCAGTTTATTTCAAATGGGTAAAGCTTATTAAGGTTTAAAAAATACTTAACTGGGTCAGAGGAGCCTGTACATAACTTCACATTTTGGTCCAATGTTTGGGTTTAAAATTTACCACCGTGGGTAAGAGAATTCATTTTAGCTGAAGTGTGTTTCAAAGAAGGGATGAGTAGATTAGAGCTGGCACGGATACATGTGCAATGCATTCAACTCCTAATACTTCTAATAGTCAAAGCTTAACTGACTAGAGAAAAGCAGACAAGCTGTGGCAAGATTTGCTTTCTCTTAAAACCTAAACAAGGTTCATATATATGGCACAAGTTGATGGGACCTCAGGAAAATCTAATGTCACAAACAGTGTTTTCTTTGATCACATGTTATGATCATAAAGGTGCCGTAAAAGTGAATGTCAAATATGGAGTGAAAGAAAAAAAGAAAACATTCATCCTTCTTCCCTTCCTGGTTGCTCTTCGTTTTCTCTTCCCAAGTCAATAATGCAACTTCTTAATACAATCATTAAATGTTTAAATTGTCATCTAGCGATTGCCTTTCTTCAAATTTAGATGACCCTGTAAATGTGTACTTTTTTTTTGTAAAAACAAAAAAAGCAATAGAAAAAGACTGTTTATTTATACATAGACAGGACTCTTAGCTGCCACAAGTAATGCCCTTTGGCATTTCCCATCCAACAAGATTGAAACAATTTGAGCCAAAACCACAAGGCCTAAAAGTGCTTTAAGATTATCTTTGGATGTCTCCAGAATACACCCAGCAAACATTTTCTCAATTCTTTATAAGGGCAAATATCATCTGGCACATTTTTGAAACCCATTTCATGGAAGAGGAAAAAAATAAAAACAAATCGAACTAAAACATTTCTGATGGCCAATGCATCCGGCAGTTTACATGACGCTTACGAAAGTGCTTATTAAATCTGACGCAAGACATTCTTTGCCACTCGATCCTCCCGGGGCAACATCTAGCTGTATTTTTACATTCACAAAATAACGCTGTGCTCATTTTGACAAGACGGCCTGTGTCAAGATGGATGGAGGCAGCCTGAATCTAGCACTGAATGCTTATGTCAGCTGTCATAATGCTAATGTAAGCCTTATGTAGATGGCGGTGGGTGCAGGGCCTCATAAGCTCCAGCCTAACATAGACTTTGAATCCGACCTGCCGCTGAGCGTCTGGGAGCTCAGATGAGGGAGATGCGTATGGGGATGCTGGGCGACTCGGTCCTCTGAGGCGACTGGTGGCTCACTAGGTGCTCCACCACTGTGTGTTTGGACATGTGCTTCATAAGGTAGGTCTCCTACAAAAAGACATGAAAACAAACCAAATAGTCCAAGATTAAAGGACAACAGATTGGACATCTTCTCTTTCCTGCATTACTGCTCACTGACATTGTATTTTAAGGATATTGGACCCTTTTCTTTGCTTGTATTTGAAATGAAAATATACCCGGAGTACCTTCACAAATAACACAAATATTCTAGATACATATCTGTGCAGTCAGTGGATCCAGCAAGAACAACTGAAGACACATTTAGTAGAAAGCTTTTAAAAGCTTAATTCACCGAAGAAGACATTGGCTGTGCTGGCTTTTCAGTTGTGTCATGCGACCGAAGAACAACGCCAAAAGAAAACGTATGTTTTTGGACTGACCACTTTTCACACTTCAACCAACCACCACAGAAGCTGCTTGCTAGATGAGTAGCATCTTTTTGAAGGTGCGCTTATTGGCAAAATAAGATGTTGTTGCAAACAGTTACGCCTCGATGGCACTTGGTTGTGAAGCACTCGTCTAATCTATTTAGGAGTATTTGCTCCAAGCAAATTTTTTTTTGTCCAATTTAAAACTCAAAGATATTCATATTATTATGACGAATAAAAACAGCCAAATATTCACATTTTAGGTACTGGAACCAGTAAATATTTGATATTCCTGCCCAAAAGATGCCATTACAACTATACTATGATCAAAGCAGTTGATTGAGGTAATTCATTTTATGTTGATTGAGTACGAAATGAATTGTTTCAGCTCCAGAGTAATCTGTCGGGCATGGAGAGTAGTTTGCAGATTGGTAGAAAACATTTTGATTTGACTGGATAAGAGATTAAATATGTACCTTACAACCCAGTTTTACAAGTAAAAGGATCAAGTGAAGTGGTACTTTGTAGATCCCCCGTATGCCAAAATAAGGAGTGGTATACTATCATTACTATCAATACTATCATTTAAAATAATAACCCTTTTGATTATAAAAAAAATAATAATAATTCACCTCTTTTCTGTATAGTTTGAATACGAGCAAGAACGTGTTGAATTGTTAATTATCACAAAGGAAGAAACTGCTAGTTTCCAGCGAAGTGAGGCAGAGTAACATCAAAGGTCATCATCTTCTCCGTCCGTCTGAAGGCACACTGGAAAAACCTTACACGTAAATTAACATACAGATAACCTGTGGTTTACTCACTGAGGTGTATGCCCGGCCACACATGCTACAGCAGTAGGCCTTAGCGTTTTTGATGGCGTGCGCTGATAAGTGGATCTGCAACGATGCCGAGTCGGAGTAGGCACGGTAGCAGTTAGGACATTTATACGGCTTGTCTTTGTTGTGCTGCCTCTGGTGAGACTGTTTTGGGAAGAAACGCAGACAAAATGCTCTTAATTCTGCTTTAAAAAGCAGTGAACCGGTGTAAAGTAACAGTGACTGTTGTAGTATCTGCTGTGGCAGACTTAAGTAGAGTGACCATGTACTGACCTGGAGGTTAGACAGCTGGGTAAAAGCCTTTTCACATCCAGGGTGAGCACATTTATAAGGCCTATCGCCAGTGTGGATTCTGTGGCAAAGGAAGCGGATCAGAAAAGTTAAAAACAAATAGGTTTGCTTTTTAAATCAGAGATGACCCCTAGTGTTCACAACGTTAATGCATCTAAGGTACAATAACAGACAAATGATATGCCTGAAGCGTAAAGAGATGTCAGAAATCCTATCCTGTAATTATTAGTAATCTGAGATTTGATTTTCCCAGGTCTAGCGGTAGCTCCTCCTCCCCCCCCCACTAGCTTGGCTTCCCCCTGCCTGGTGCTCACAGCTTGGACCGACCTGGTGTGCTGCTGCAGGTGTGACAGCTGACGGAAGGAGTTTTCGCAGTAGGAGCAGTGGTAGGGTTTGATCCCCAGGTGGATGCGCAGGTGCTGGGACAGGTAGGAGGCGTTGGCAAACGTCTTGGAGCAGTGGGGACACTTGTGTGGTTTGGCCTCCGTGTGGGTCTTGGAGTGCATCTGCATCTCTGACTTTGATAGGAAGGTGAGCGGGCACACTTTACATCTTGGTGACAAAAACAGGACACAAGAATGCATAAATGTGATCAGTTAAGGGTGCTATAGAAATAGAGCCTCATCGAGACTATACAGTGTCACGCCATCGATGTTTTTAAGTATTGAACCACTGCTTTCCCAATAGCAAGACTACTGTCATTTTCAAGACATATAAACCAGAACAAGACCAATTCTGAATAAAGCAGTCGCCCTGAATCCCAACCAAAGTCGGAATAGAGTTTAATTGTAGATTAATTTAAAAAAGAAGAAGTCGGTAGTGGTTTAGTATCCAACCAAGTATTCCAGGTGATAATAAGGGGTACAGATCAATTGACAGTCCACTGAGTGAATCCAATCAGGTGAAAGATGGGTTTATGTTGATGTCTCAGTAAGCAGCACCACATCTCAATCATCTACAGCCTACTTAAAACCAAACAAGCAAATGACTATTGATCTGTTGTAGACCGCAATTCAATTTGTGTATTGGCTTTACGAGGCCAGCGCTGAGAGGAAATGTCCTCCCCCCTGTGATGCAATAAAAACGTCCAAGACAAGAGTAGCGGCTTCCTGTGACCAACCTGTAGATTTTGCCCTCTTTGGGTGCCAAAGTGAGACAGCCTTGGTCAGCTAGGATAGGGTAGGGCACCACCAGCAGAGGACCAGTCTGGTTTTCAGCTTTGATCTTCTTCCGTCCACGGGGCGCCTTGGGCGGGGGGCCCAACAGGCCGGCCAGGCCGCCGATTTTCATGTGGTCCATGCCAGGACCGCTGGCCAGCCCAGAGATGATGTTCATAGAGGGGGCGCCGCCCAAGCGGTTCAGGCTGCTGGAGGTTGGAGTCGTGGGGGTCAGGGCCTCTGAGGTGCTGTGACTGTCGGGTCGGGATGAAGGAGCCAGACCTGTGGAAATGAAAAGCAGACCCGCTTTAACACTACAGGTGACTTGAAGGAAGTTCTACAGATTTACACGTTTGGTACATTTTTGAATGCATGCTATTCAAAAGAGCCATTGGTTTCCATTCATTTCTGTGTGATATAATGATCTGTTAGCAGACTCCTAAAACTTGTTTGAGTTGTGGAACGCATCACAGTGAAGGGAACATCAAGTCTGTATTGCTTTTTGCCAGTGTTACATGCGGTACACATCTTAAGTTTCAAAAGTCTGTTCACCGATTTTTACATTGTACAGGAATTAATAAAAAACAAATGGCTGCCTGGAACAGGAGAACAAATTCACTGAAATTCATAAAGCACAGCAGCAGAGTTTGCAAAATGGTTAGCTGTGAATACTATGATTTGTAGTACGTAAATATGCTACAAGTTTCACAGGTTTCAGTCTGAAAACCAAAGACCGTATTACTCCCTAATACTCTAATGCACTGCTCAGCCTGCACAACACTCTCTCCATGTATTTCCATACATTAAGCCTAAGGAACACCTTTCAACTAACTGACTAATGACACACTGCGTACATAAGTATGCACACTGAATGTTAGTACATGGTATGTCCATTTACCCTTACTGCGTGCATTTGTGTATCCCAATCTACTAAGACAATCGAGTGTAATCCGTCACACTGTTAAACACCAGGCGGATTTTCTTGCTGTTATTTTCCCATGTCAGCAGACCACAGAGACCATCTGGCTGCAGTACCTGAGCGATGGTTGAGCCGGTTCTGTTGCTCGCTGAGCTGTCTCATGTGCCAGTCTTCCCACAATCCTTTGGCCTTCACTGCTGACTTGTCGTCCATATTTCCATCTGCAAGTTGTCAGGCGATGGCATTTTAATCCGTGAATGGTTTCGATATAGATAGACCTTTTATACATTACCAATACCCAAACTTTATATGCTTGCCAGTTCTACAAACAACAAAGTGGAGACTGTACCTGGCCCAGAGCTGGAGGCGGGGCGAGCGTGTAGAGCAATGTCCGGTTGTCCGGAGCCCTGCTGCTGCGGGTGGTGGCCCTGCACCTGCTGCGACTGGAGCTTAGGCAGCGACATGATGTGCTGAGCGCTGCCGTCCGGGGACGAGGTGGGCTGCAGCAAAGACTGCTGGGATGGGGTAGACGTAGGCGGCAGGTGCAGGGGTCGGATCTTCTCGGCCATCAGCTGCTCCTTGATCTTGTTAATGAGCACCAGGTTATCCAGCTGAAAGGGTTAACGGGTCATGCTCAACAGAAAACAGCCACAGTGTGTCAATGTCATTCACGCCCCAGAAACACTTCCCAGGAAAGAAAACACGGACCAGCACACAGTACAGGTTTGATCATGACTTCTTTTTTGTTATCTACGAGAAAGACCTGTGAAGGATTCTCACTCTGAGAGGTTGCTTCACTTACAGACTGGTGCTGAATGGCTTAAAAGATATTCACACAAGGAAACAAATGGCAATGAAAGGCGGAAATGTCACAGTGATTACATGTGATGGGTGGACTTACCTGGCCTGGCATGGATGGAGGTGGCGGCCAGAAATACGCGTTGTTAAATCGAGGCTCTGCCATCCTGAAATGAATACAATGTATTTTAGTCACAATCAAAAGTAAATCTATACTTGTTGAGCTCAGTCAGAGACGGGTTTATGATACAAACCACTGTTTTTCAAAATGTGTAAATGTTCTGAACAAGGTCTACGGGCAGTGTGCGTTAAAGTTACAGACTGGCAGACTATTAAATGACAGACAGCGGAAAAGGTGAAGCATTTCCTTTGGCACCAAATGACTGGATATGTTTCATTAGTTTCCAGCACATGCACTCTCATCTAGCTTTGTGTGCACTTCCACGCTTGAATCACACAGTTTACAATTCATGGTGCTCAAACGGCTCCACTTATCCACTGAGGAGAGATTTTGTTGAGGAACTTTTGAAAGCTTTTCTAAGACCAAAAATAAAAAAATGTAAGAGCCAAGTTTCACTGCACTGGTTGCAGAATAACGAGCAACTGGAGGATATTTAATAGGAAGCCCCATAGAAGGTATTAATATTTTAATACCTTCTAAGGGCTTGTATTAATATATATTTGTTCCAATTTCCCGAAGGACAAATAAAAAGGTTATTTTGCATTTCTTAAGACAGGTAATTAAAACTGGAGGTTGGGTAAACCTAAAAAAAAGAGGTAAATGTTATGTTGGCTATGGGTTTAATGGGCTTTAAGAACTTAAATCAATCAAATCATTTTAACTCAAAAAAAACAAAAAATACATTTAACTACAGTTTAGGCTGAAATTGAATTTAAACAGAACTTGGAAATGCATAGTTTGAAAAACAAAAATATGTCTCATTAGATTGTTCTGGCTTTCATCAGCATCTCATGGTCTTCCTCAATTATCAGTTAAAGGGTGGAACAATCTAGTATGCTTTGGCAAAATAACAAAATTTAAGATATTGTATAGGTTTTATGAGGACCTGCATTAACCTTGAAAATAAAATGAATGAATTTTAAAATAAGTCATAAACCTTGAATAACATGTCAAGACTATTGTAACAGTGTGAGGAGTTGCTATAAATGTATGTTAATAAAACCCAGTGTGTAGATTAGGCCAACAGTGTGACATTGAGGCAAACTGTCACTTTTAAGTGAACACAGGGCAAACATTAAATGTCACCTACAATGTATCGTGTCACGTATAAAACACGGCATCAGTGTGACAGAGCATTCGCCGATTAGCTTCCACATTTAGCCCCTCTGCTCCTTTTGTCTGAGAGTGAAATCCCAAAAATAAGTGGACGTCGCTTTAAATGTTGTGATAAACGCTATGAAAAAAACAAAAAACTTTCCATTCTTTGACTTTTCGGACATGTCGGCTGCCTTTGAGAGCGTCTCGCGACCGATGGAGGGTTTCGCGGATCGACCCTCCCGGTGCGACTCAGACATTCTCAGACAGTTTTCTTTAAACATTTCCAGACAAAAGAGAAACAAAAATGGCAGCCTTATTTTTATAAGGCGGGACGCCATATTCTGCAGACCCCAAAAAATTTAGGAGCATGAAGATCTAGTGGTGAGGGGGGTGTCGGGGATAAGAGGCGAGCCGACGCGGACACAAAGGTGTGTTTATCATGTCAAAGGCATGAATGATTGTTTACGGCGAATTGCAGGTTTGAATAGCCCGGCCTCCCCAGCTCTTAAAAAAACTGACACTTCCTACAACAACCATGCCCTGCAAAAAAAAAAAAAAAAAAAAAAAAAAAAAAAAAAAAAACAGCACGGAAACGGACAAGATGCTGGCGCGACCCAAACACCAGACCGATTAAAACAACCGTAGCTACGCGTTAAGGTCAAAATGTACCCGGCGCACAATGTCCTTTCTCCCGAAAAACGCTGTGCCATCTTAACCACATTTCACTTTTAGAGCAGCTTTTTTCCCCCCACATTCTGCAACTTTTGGACGAATCAAAGGACAGCAATTGCATTTTGTGCACATTGCACGCATCTATGGTGATATAACCGATCAGAGAAATGCACAGTAGCGAAGACACGAACATACATGCACAAATACCTGGTGTCCCGGTTGCAGATATTGTCTTGCGAGAAGGCTACAGCTATAATATAAAAGGTTGATGTTCTTTCTGCCTGCTTCCAGTCGGACCACCGCTTCCGGGTCGCTTTGTTCACTTCTGGGTGCTGCTGCAGGCTCAGTGCAGTACAGACACAGAGGGAAGTATACAGCTAGTGTTGTTTTGGGTTTTTACACGATGACCTGCTCTATTAACGTTTATTGCGCATGTATGATTCATCTAATAACGTTATTTCAGCGCGTGCCTGGGTTGGATTTAGCCGACAGATCCGCACAGGGGTGGAAGTAGTAGCACACTCAAATCCTAAAATAGCAACGCCACAGTGTAAAAATACTCCCATTACAAAGAAAAAGCCTACTGCATTCAAATGGTCATTTAGGTCAAGTACTGACTGGTAAATACACCGAAAATATGTAAAGAAACAAAGGTTAAATACGACAAATGGCAGCTTTCAGGGGTTAAATTGCTTAAACTAGGTATTGTGAAATCTTGCAATACTACAAGGACAGTCCCAGACAGATAAATGCAGTGAAGGTAAATCTATATTTCTAAAATGTAGTCGGGGGGGTGAAAGTAGCCTACTCCAAAACAAAATTAAGTAATAAATAAATAATTAAAACTTAAATGCACCTGTATCCCAATCTAATCAGTCAAAAGTCACATTTAAACTCCCCAGTTAGCAGGTCAAATCATGTCCATTATTTTAAACTCACTTTTCAACCAAATGTTGCCCAGTTATAAACTTGACACTATTTAGGTTTTTTTGTTTCTGAGTTATTTGATTTTATTTTATTTCCGATATAGTTTATTGTTGTAATAATATTTGTATGATACTTTCTGAGCCATGTCTTTCTTTATACAGTATACCAAGGTTATGTACAGTATATACTACAGACCATATACTGTCTATAAGAGATGTATACAATATCACACTTTGTTGATTTAAACATTCACAGACATTGTTTTAACAGCATTTCAATGACCATATTTCACTGGAAATGGTAATGTTTAGGATTTAAATTTAAATAGTGTTGAAATTAGTTATATGTAGCTGAGACATCTAAAACAGTTGTTTTTCACCCACATTTATCTCAATCCTGACTTTCACATCTAGACGGCTTCTGACCTCCAAATAACCAAATCAATACTTACTGGTCCGGCGCTCTGAGGACGGTTGTATCTTGTTCAAGTCTTTCTGCCTTTGCAGAAAGGAACTCTATCAGTATTTTACATCTTGTAAGTAACCTATACCACGTCAATATTGTTTTGTGTTTATACATCTGAATCTAAATCATTATTTCACGCAGTTACTGAACAGCTGTAGACATAATTCAAGTGTAATTTCAGTGTCTGAACCATGAATCTAGAAAAACAGAGACATCAATCCATAAAGCTGGTTGAAATCCTAATATCTGTAACTTTTGTAGGAAAGTAAATAACAAACTTAGCCTGTTGTTATATATAGGTTAATATTCATAGTGCTTATATATGAGGTATATATACACTAATAATTCAAGACTGAGATTTTTCCTTTGAACGCTGACCCAGTGGAGGCTTACTGCAGTATATACAGTATCCTCTCATTTTAATGTGTGTTGGAAGGCTTTTTCAGAGTCAATTCGACTTTCATGTTCTCACCCCTCTGATCAGGGATTCAGTTTGCTGTACTTGACTGATCCTCTCTCCGATACCTGCCATCTCATCTACATTTGTTTCAGACTCGCTTATGAAGAGAAGGAAAATAGAGTTGCATCGAAGCCACTAATGTGCCCAGTATATCCAGTGTACCCACCCTCTTCTTACACACACCACCACCACAACATGTATCCGGCCCATGACTTACTCTCATGTACGTATGCATCATTATGTCAGCGGTGCAGTGGAATTATAGGAAACAATCAGGCGGAGGATCTCATTGACGTTGCCACTGGGTTACGTCATCGCACTGTTTCCTGTTTCTCGCACCACTTCTTTGAATTTTTCATAGAACTTGAAGGCTCTGACACACTAACACACAGGCTTCATTTAACACGTTCTTTGACTCAACTAAAGAGGAAATCTACAGATGGCTTAAAGCCGGAATTCTTCATCCTTCAGGTGATTTTAGTGGTGTCCTCGCCTGGTGATCATCTGACTCTTTGTTTTTCAAATGAAATTAACTCTCATCTGAAGTTGATTGTTAAATTCCTCACTGTCTACTCTTTCACCATGGATTTTGTTTTGGTGAGTAATTAAATTAAGTTTTATTTTATTTCATGGTTGTTTCAGGGATGATTTAGCTTCTCTGAGTCGGTTTTAGATCATCACTCATCGTTACAGTAGCTGTTGTCTGTGTATTGCTGTTCCCATGAAAGTACAAAAATATATTATTTGCTAAATAAGGTCGGTTAAAGGCATTGTTTCAAATTTAAATGCTTATATTTATTTTAAAAACTTGTCGTTTGTGTATTCTTGGGTGACATTAATCACTATAGAGCATCGGGGACTCTGGAGGATGTTTACTGTAAGAGAGAGACATATACATACAGTCTCACTGGTGGTTTCAGTTTTTAAGAGTTAACATTAAGACACATCATGTTGCTGCTTATATGTTTCTGCAATACACCGAGGTTGTTACATGTTATAAGTTATAGGTGGATGAGTAAAGGGATTAATGGGGCTAACTGTCATGGTCAAGTCTACACATTTAATAATAACATAATACATTTTCTTGATTATTGGGATTATCTACGATATTGTTTAATCCACAGATTATTTGATTAATCATTTGGTCTGTAGCAAATCTTCAGATGTCTTGCTTTGTTTGATCAACAGTCCAAAGCCCAAAGATATTCAGGTTACTGTCATAAAAGACAAACAGAAAACTGTCACCTTTGAGCAACCCAATCCTCAGACTTTCTGCACTTTTTATTCAGTTTTGGTTGGTTGACTAATCGATTAATTGACTAATAGCTTCAGCTCTAAGATTTACATATATTGGTGCTTTTGTGACCAAAAGATATCAGAGCTTGTTTCACAATGGCTGTCCGATTTATTTAACTCTGAACCACTGTAAAAAAAGGTGATCACTGAGCAACAATCTCACAACCCTGTTACACTGAGCTCTCTGATTTGTTCCCAGCTGCCACCGAGCAAGAGGCTTTTTACCAACAACCTTGTTTTCTTTGGCGCTCTTAAGATTTGAGGCCAGTTTAGGATTCATTTTAATTGTTTTAAGCATCCTTTTTTGAATAATCTGTGTTCCATTAACTCTGCACAACAATGGGTAAGAGAGGTGTGACCTGTGTAAAGGACCTCTTTAGTTTAGCATACCCACGTCCAACTTCTGCCGATAGCTACAGGTTAGAAAAAGTAATATTTCTCTCAGTCTCTCATGGCAAGAGGAGCTTGGCTTATGAATACCAGAAATGTCTTGGGGGTTAGCAATTGTTTCGGTTTATTCCCCATCAATATAAATAAGGCGTGGGTTGCTTCATGTTTTTTTTACTACTTCACAGGCCCCATCTGACATCAAATTGTCAAAACCTTTTTTCAGGATTGGGTGAGAATTGTTTAAGATGAGGGTGTGACCCGGGCACCCGCTGCCATATTGTTTGAACAGAGGTTTCTGATACCCTTCGAAACAGTTGTTAATCCATATTCAGGGTGGTCTCCAAGAAGGTTAAGATCAATGACCTTCGCTGCTACACTGCTTTTAAAAAACACCATTTCATCTCAATCTCAAGCTAAACTATACATCAAGGCTCAACCAGAAAGTTTGATAAGATCGGACAAACTTTTCTGCTCTAATTTCAAAATTGGACTAATCCCCATTAATGTACAGCTTTTTTCTCTCTTTTCCTCTCTTTTGTGTTTTAGTAGTATGTGTTAATGTATAGGACGGATGTAAAATATGTAATAACTTTTTTCATTTCCATGCACCTGTTTGATATCTTAGGTGCATGGAAATGAAAAAACAATAGATGCCCGTGTAATGACTTGATGAGTCGTATTGAGCCATGTTTCCTCCACAGCTGTCCTTTTGTATGGCAGCTGTAGTGGCAATGTGTCAGTTGATTTGTGAGCATCTTCTTAGCCACACTTGAAACCTTGTCTTTTTGTTTTAGGTGCTGATACTTGCCTACCTTTCCGCTGGACAGAGTAACAGTGAGGTTACAGAAGAAAAGTGGAATTCATGTCATGAATGGTGCCCGCCTGGTAAGTAAACAAGGGGCGGTGTGCATTGGCCTTGTCTATTACAGTTTTAGTGGATTAACCACATATGAGCTCATTCCCTTTCTTCTCTTTTTTCACTGTTACCCAGGATATTATAAAGTTGATGATTGTGGTGATCCAGGCGCAAGGCACAGATGTGAAAAATGCCGCAATGACACATTCACAAATAGAGCAAACCATAATATGAAATGCCTGAGGTGTGAAGAATGTGGTAAGTATCTTCTTCAAATACCATTATAAGGCGATACACACACGTGCCGTCAGCTTGTGGGATATTATGTAAAATTGCATTTGACCGAGATAATAAATTGGATCGACATTTTCTGGTTTCTGGTTATGAAAATATGATGTTTTTTTGTTGCAGCTAACATTCAACTCTTTTCATGATGAGATTCACTTTTTATGTTTGATAAGTTAAAACATAGTGCAAAGTAGCAGGTTTTTGCTGTATATCTGAGGTTAGAGACATTGTTCCATGGCCACCTTGGCAGGACTGGGTGTTAAATGCTGTGGATGGAGACAGAAACACTGTCTTTTGTTTTTTTCCCCAGATTCTAAGGTTACAATAAAACCCTGCACCTCTACCAGTAATACGGTGTGTGACTGTAAAGAGGGATACTTCAAGTCTGACGAGACTGAGGAATTCTACTGTAAACAATGTAAAAGTAAGTTAAAGAGCTGGATTGGCAATCACAGCTGCCATATTGAATAACTTCCTGGTTTATTCAATATAATATACCCGCAAAAGGAAACATATACTTTTTTTAAACTCTCACGATTTCATTTTTTTTTTTAGAGTTTGATGAACATCCTAACTTCAAAATCAGGTAGGAGATCCTACAATATGATAGCTGTCTAAAACAGACATGCTTAGATTGTCTTTGGTGCAAAGTGGAGAGTGCACACAGACCTGCAGCTTCAACAGAAGGCAGAAAACAGAACATTTGCTATATTAACCTTTTTCTGTGTAATACTTTATATCATAATTGCTGCTTTTTTGAATAATGTTATGCTTTATGCATTCGGTTTACATTTTCTCGCACACTAGTAAATTCAGTTTGTTTTTCTCTGTCATAGACCAAGCCTGACAAAAACCTTTTCTCATTGTTTCAGTAGTTTAATCAAGCAAAATTGGCAACGATTTGTTGACTCCAGCTTCTCAAATCTTATAATTTGCTTAATGCTGTTTATATTATTCAAAATTTGGGTTTTTCACTGTTGGGCGGACAAAACAAGACATTTAAAGACATTTTTATAGAGTACACAAACCCAAGACTTACGACAACTTATTTTTCTTTTAACTGCATTTTAGTCTTGATCTAAAATGCATCTCCGTTGCCAAATGAAGCATAATCTCAGGTCAGGGGGCATGTTATCTTCTTGTTAGAGCGGTGGAAACTTATGCCATTCTGTTGCAAATTTCCTGAATTTTTTTTCCCAGCCCTTATAAACACTCAGTTCCTGCGGCTTTACTGAGGCCCTGCACTACTTGTACTGAACAGTTTGCCTGCAGATGTTAAACATCTCAGCATAAAGGCGGTTTTGTTAAGACTGTTAGGGTAGCAGTAGCCCCACTAATAGTAATAACCATTTAAACACACACACACACACACACACACACACACACACACACACACACACATTAAAGGATAACAATAGTCAGGTGCCCTTAAGAATCATTGAAACAGGTTTTTCTCTAACCATTCCTTCTGTTCATATACTGGCCATTGAAAGATCACTTTCAAATGCACTTTTAACGTAAGCAAAAAGGGACAAAATCCACAGTCCACAAATGTCCCTCTTTTGTTGCCATCCCTCCTCTCTCTCAGCAGGGAGACACTCTCCAGGCAAACACAAAGAGGACATTTTATATTAAAATGACTTACTACTTTTGAAGATATCTACTTAATTTGAATAACTCAGACTGTTGAAGCTTGAGATAAACCTTGGAATGTATTTTCAAACAGAGCAAGGACTGTGGATTTTGTCCTCTATCACTTACATTGGAATCACATCAAGAAGGGACTTTGTAACATCCAGTATGAAAAAATACAGCAAGTAAAAGTTTTGATGTTCATATGAGCTCCTGGCTATTGTTTTAAGACTTTAAAGATTTAATAAATCCTTTATCGAAATATAAATGTGTTGTCACATTCCTCTGTTGTCTATATTAGTCTCTCCTTTTTTTCAGCTGTTTGAATAAGACAGACTGCAGGAGGAAGTGTCCAGCTTCTACAAATTCATCCACAGCTGCAACCACATCTACATCTACAGCTACAGCTTCAACTACAGCTTCAAGCAACTCACCAAATCCTGTTGTGAATCCAGTTCCTCGTAACTGTTAGTGCTACCTACGTATTGTACTTTAACAAGTGATATGACAGAATAATTCATTGGTCCATGTTTTCGTAGTTTTGTGACCCATATGCCCAAACATACTTTATGCTCACATTAGCTGTGGATATCTTAGTAAGTTAAACAGAACCTGATTGATTCGGCTTTTGCTGCACCATGTGTGGTAAGCGTTGAGTATTATTCAACTTATCCTGTGGATCAGACAGAAGTGATCAATTAGAATTGATGGGTGGTGGAATGATGTCAGTGTTTCTGTGTCCACATCAGTGAATGACATGTCCTGGCTGTTTCTCGTGGTGGTTCTGGTGACACTTCTGTTATCCCTTGGGCTCCTGCTGCTCTTCGCCAGGAGCCCCTTCAGATATCTCGGCCGTTGTCTCTACTGCTGTGTGAACAATGACCTGGAGCTGCCTCTCGAGCGCCCCAACTTCAATGGTAACCACTGTTGGAATGTATCCAAGCACATTTACTTCAGTACAGTTTTAAAGTCGTTGTGCTTTACTTGACTCTTTACAGCTCAAGTTCCAAGTTATTTTAGAGATCAATATTTTAAATAAGAAAATCAACTTGTAAATATGACACAGTGTTATATATTTAACTACTCATGAACATAAACATTAAAATGCTTCTTACACATGACTCAATCTTTGATGATAATCCACTATTATAATACATAATAATTTAACACCGCCATTAGCCATTATGTCTATAAATTAGTACTTTTGATACTTTACATTTAGCTTTAAATACTTCTGTACTTGAATGGGCCTTTACTTATATGTGGAGTGTTTGTGGTTTTGTTACTTGTGTTTAAGTATAGTATCTAAGTACTTTTTCCACCGCTGACAGTAATATAAGTAGCTGCATACTGGTACTTGGGGGTTTGGCAGTTATCCATTGGAGAGATTCACACACAGTAAACAAATACTATATATATTGTAGATATGCAGCAGATGCTGTGACATGACACACATTAATATAAACTCTCATGTATGATTCCTTAAAAAATTAAAACATGTACAAGTTGAAAAGACATTTATTGCCACAGAAGGTGTTTTCAGTGTTAAACCAAGAAATATATTGTTTACTGAGTGTCCTGTTTTCAATAAATGTGCTTTGTCAACTGAGCAGATTCAAGCAGGAAGCTTACTGATGATATCTGTTTTCCTCCAAACAGAACGAAGCAGTCATCAAGGCAGCAGCCCCAACACGCTGGTTTGTGCTCACTTCTGCATTTTGTGTTGTGTTGAGATTGAGATCTAGATCTAGATCGTAGCAGTATACTGTAGGTGGATAGTCAGAGGGCTGTGTGGACAAAAAAGAAATTAAAAAAGGTCAACAAGAGCAAAGGTGAAATGTCAATCACATGTTGTAGTTAAATTGAACTAAAGCTGGGATTTTATTTTGTGTGTTTTAGAAATAATGAAGAATTTCACCCACCACTCTCTAACATTTAAGAGATGTGATCGCAACAAAGATTTTGACTTCCTTTTTGTTTCTGTCCTTTCAAGACATTAAAGATATCTGAGAATACTCCTATGATGACTCTCAGCCAGAGTCCAGCCATGCCAGAACATCCAGCCCACATCAGTCCTCCAGACACTGAACACAAAGGTACGATTCAGTATTTGATGCCCGGCTACAATGCACAGCGTGTGAAAGACTTGGTTGGAGAGATTTTTCAATATTTCATATATACTGTATATATATCATTGTGTCTCTCCTGGTGCAGGAGGTGCATCTGAAATTGTCCCCATGCTGCCTTGATAATCTACTGAATGGGTTTAAAGGTGTTAATTATAATAATTAACGGTCAGGATTTCGAGCACAGCATCGAGACTGCTTTTGTTACGGTCTTGAATTGCAGCCACTGAAACACAGGCAGTGGAAAAGTGGACATGGACTACTTTGTGGCAATCGGTAATTTCACATTTAATCGTACAAAAATGACATGGAGTTACCAAAGGCTCCATTCTCGCGGGCGTCTTACCATAATCATGCAGACAACACACAGATTTATATAATGATGCCATTGTGGGTGCATACAGGTACTCAATAAGTCTATTCAATAATTCAGTAATTTAAACAAGATAAAACAGGAATATATCTCCCTGGACCTGAAGAAGAACAAATATGGCTTGTTAAAATAGGCTTGAAGAGCGAACCATGGATTGCAGCTATCTATTTATTACCAAAATAAAAAAATGATGTATCAAAAATAATGTATGCTCTTAAAATAAAATGTGGCAGCGCATTGACCTGCACTATTATATTTTCCCTTCAGCCTTTATAACGGAAGGTCATGAATCATCTCGTGATATTATCACTGCTACTAACAATAATGTCAATAGTGCAGGAGACACGCCGTAAAGGCAGCTCGGAGGTGTTATGATATACTGAATCAAGCTGTAATGAAATCATCGCCCCCTATGAGCACTTTCCATACTGTGGTTAGATGTGAAGACAGACTCATATTCATCAAAGAGATGAATATGAGAAGAGGAGAAGAGCTGCCAAGAAATATTTGTGAAATTGGTCTGCATTAGAGTCAAGTCAAGACTTCTTCAGGAGTGTTGGGGTGTTGGGGTGAGCGGGCTGTCACTTAGAAGTTAAGAGAAACTAATAATTTGAAGGAAGGAGCAAACTACCTAAACCTTGATATTTAAAAAAAAGAAGTATAGGAGGAAGTGTAATATCTACATTTTATCTGAGATTTCAGACAGCCTGTTTAGACAGATAAGAAAGAAGTGATATAAAAGGTATGTCATTAACGAAAGACTAAATTAGGGCAGAAACTGGAAGCAAAGCCATGGGTTTATGATGGACAAAATGACTAACAATGTCAAGAAAGTTGAGATCAGACACATTTGTTTTCAGGAAGGATACATTTAAATGTCTTTGGGCATGCAAGTATCCACTCTCCTGAAGTGAAGTGTCCTAGAGCAAGACACTAACTCCGCTACAGGTGATAGTTAGAGAGCATTGATACTTCAAATAATGCTGCTCTAACATTAATACGGGGATTCCTATAATTTGAAATGCCTGTCTCATTCAAGGTAAAGTTCCAGTTTCTTCCAGTATCTTATTTACCAACTCAACCAACTCAACTACCACTGTTGTTTTTTTAATCAAAGACATTTCAGAGCTTCTGTTTCATCTTGTATCCCAAGTACTGTATCTGAACGACAAACCCTCTCTCATTGTCTACCGTCTACCATCTAATAATGGGTACCACAAACATGTGGATGTTATTGTTCATAGATGCATTTTGCTTCATGCAATATTTCCTTTTTACGACTCTATTCACCAGGTGGGAAACATTTTGTACTATTCCTCTGCTACCAATTTTCCAGAAGCGTTGGACTCTCTCTGATGCATCAGGCCTCTTATTTATTATTAAATAATAATAATTGCAATAATTATTATTATTGCAATTCCAGTGTCCAGTGGCCAAGTTGAAAGGAAAGAGTTTTTGATGATTTTTGTGCGCACAGCTTCTTCAGCTTTGCTCTAAGCATCGGACACATCTCAGCTGGCATCACTTGTCATCATGCCACTCATACCAAACAGAAATAATTAAATGAAATGTCACAGTGAGACTTATTGCCATCTGCGGTGTTCTTACTTTATGCCCTCTTTCTCACTGCTTGTTCAGCACGCTGTTTATCATTGATCAGTCTTGTGTCCCACAGTGTGAGAATGGAAACCGGGAAACAGGACGCCCTCACTATTTCACTCTTTTTTAGTCAGCAAATCAACATTAGAGGAAATGGCACATGAGATAGTGAGTGCATCCACACAGATATTATTTGTAGTAATAGAAGTGTGAACGGTTGATGAGGCCTCATAGATTTTCCCCTGCTTTCCTTTAACCTTTCATTTGCTCATTCTCTGAATTGTTGATTCTATTAGTTTCTTTTATCTTTAGCAAAGTACGGTGGATCAATGCTTCACTCTCTTAATAATGCCATTTAAGTTGTTATGTTCTAATTGCCTGATACAGGTCTATGTTGGTAAACCAGGTAAACCTCTGAAAATACTCTACTTTTGGGAAGACCTCACTACTACTGAATTTCCTGTTATTCATGACATCATGTCATTGTTTCTGTCATTTGTGGTGGAGCTGAAAACCCCCTTGTGTTTGTAGTGCTGTTGGTTTTGTGGAGGATTCATTTCATGAAATGGACATGGTGGTTATCGGCTTTGCGTTTACTGTCAGGGAAATTTTATAAAGTAAACAAATTATAACAAACCTGCATCCAAATGTTGTTGGCTGTCCTGTGCACTGTGCTGTTCTGTGTCATGGTGTTGAGTGGCTTGACTGTATAGATGCTGGATGTATTACAGTACGTTGTTTTATCCGCCTAAATCAAGCTTTGGCAATAGATGTTGTTGGAATTGTTGGTTGTGGTCTTTCCATGGGATTTGTTGATAATAATAACAATAGAGAATATCACCAGACTTAGGCTTTAATAGCACCTGAATGTAGTCAGTGCAGGGCGATCTCACATGGTCTACTTAAATGCCTCTATACAGTTTCTGTATCCTGATGACCTCTTTAGTTTAGTTTGAATCTGGGTTTACAGTTGGCCAAAAAACAGACATCCCGTTCTCGTAGCTGACGTTTTTCCACGGCAGAGTTTTCGCTTTCCTCTTATTGTCTGTGATTCTCTTCTTCCAGCCACCACACAACAATCGGATCGCTGGCCGGCCATCGTCCTCTATGCCATTATCAAGGAGGTGCCCTTGCGTAGGTGGAAGGAGTTCCTGCGTCTGCTCTCGGTCACTGATCAGCAGCTGGAGCGGGTGGAGCTGGAGGCCGGTTTGGGCCTGGGCTCCATGGAGAGGCAGTACCAGATGCTGAGGCTGTGGAGCCAGTGTTCCTCTGCGAGCCTGAACAATGTCTTCTCGGCCTTGCACTACATGGATTTATCCGGCTGTGCCCAGCATCTGCAGGAAAGCCTGGAGAAGCTGCAGGTTAAAGGCCTGAATTGAAGCAAGGTTTCACAGCCTGCAGAAGTTACACAGAACATGGTTTCAATGGGGCATTCCAGGACACCTGAGGCCGTACCTGGGGACATCAGTGCTTCAACTGTGGACGCCAGTCCCTGTAAAGGACGTTTCTAACTGTAGCTACTACATGGTACAACCACAGAAAACTGCAATTATGTCACAAATGACTCATACTGAGTAATGCCGATGTATTTTATAATAAAGAGTTAAATGGCAGTACGGGGCACTGTGGAGATCCTGATAGGCCCAACTACAATTGGGGTATTTCCTCTTTTACGATATCTTTTGGTGTATAATGTTTCCCTCTTAAATGTTTTTTGGGTTGAGCTTTTTTTTTACCTCCAGAATGACACTTAAAAGGCAGAATGTTGATTTGTTGAAGTGCAAATTCAGTTGCAGAATTAGGGAAGTGGCTTCCTCCGAGGCATGTAAAAACCAACATCAGTAGCATTTTTAAGAACCACAGATTTAAAAAGAAAAAAAGAAAAGGGAAATACGCTGTCAAAACGCCCTCTAGCCCACCACATAACCTCCAGCTTGTCATGTGCCGTCTCTTAAATGCCAGCAGTTGTAGGCTGTGGTTTTAGAGGAGGATGCTCAAAACTAAACTTGTGTTACTTTGTGATTGTGTACGTGTGTAAGAAGGGAGTAGTGAAAAGGAAGATACGTCCTTTGAATTCTAAAGATTTTTTATACCTCCAGAGATTGGTGCCTATTGTTTAGCATTTAACAAGTCAAATTCAAGACTCCTCTTCAGTTTGATTATTTAAACTGTGTGAACATGTTAGTGTACATCAATAATGTTTGAGCAGCTCGTCTCTGTCTCCTTTGAGAATGAAAGTTTGGTGTAACAACTCAGCTATACTCATTCTTGTTGCGCACCCTTGTAAAGGGAGAATACTGAAATCCCCACAGGATGTCAGATTTTCAGTTTCCTGCAAATAAATGGTGTCAAAGTGCAGTAGGCTGGGTTTTCCCTCACCACACATATTCCATCCAAACTGATGGTTTCCGGTTATGGGGCTGGGGTATCTCACTTTGAGTTTTTGTTTGTCAATTCAGTTCCTGACAGTAAAGGACTTTCCAGTAAATTAAGTTTATTGTTGAATGTTTAAATATGAATCTAGGTCTGTGGTTTGTGTGTGTGTATATTTTCTATAATTATTATTTTTTATTTTGTTACATTTTGCATAATTTAATACAAAGCTCAATGAGTGGATGATTATACTGAAACTGTCAGGGTTTAGGAATGTTATGTTATCCTCACTGGAGTCCCCTACGTGGTACAAATGTGTAGTAACACGGTACTGTAAGAGCCTCAGTCAGTGTCATCATAAAGAATAAATTTATTGACCACAAGATGGGAGTGTTGTCTGAGTGTATTGACTGTAGTGTCTCAGCAGCTGGTGTGCATTTGAGCACATCCCCATACAAAGAAAATGAAGGCAGGGTGCTTCAGGAGCTTTTATTCTTGAGGTGGATTCGACAAATCTCATGAATTGCAAATTCTGCTTCAGCACAAAGAACAGCTGTCCTACATTGTCCATATTCTTTGGCTATAGAAAAAGCATAGGTCCCATACGGAGACACGTTTTTCACATCGGCAGTATGTTAGTAGACAACCATCCGACGTTCTGACAGCATGCAGGGTTAAATCAACATTCACGTGTTTTTGCATAGTAGCTCACAAACATGCTGATACGATGCCAACTATAACTAGTTTTTTTCCAAGCGTTTTATTGATATACCAGTAATATCGGGCATACAAGCAATTCGTGTTGATGGGAGAAGTTGCAGTCGGCACGCTTTGTTTTGCCACTTTGTAAAAATATCGGAGGGCAAATAATGAAACCGCTGTTCTGGAGGTATTTAAAGTTGTTTCACTATCACAGCGGTTTCACGCTTTCAACATTCCTAGAAGCACTAACAGACTACTTCTGTAAAGCAACAGATTTTTATCGCCGACTTTTGGGGCCGTTGAAACAACGAGAGGCGTCTCGTTCTGGGGACCTGTGGTCTTCCTATAAGCACGAGCGTTAGTGGTTTCCATTGGCAACCGGAACCGTGCTCACAGGAACACCAGCTCGCGACTACAGAACAAAGCCACGAGGAGTTTTCCGTGATGTGAAGCTAGTTTCGGTAAGTTTCTTTCATCTTGTTGCTATCTTTGTGTCTTTCCACCTGTAACACTCTTTAAAAAATAACTTTGCTGCAGCTTTTGTTGTGTGCGTGGACACACCGTGTTGCCCTGGCAGCTCTGGGACCAGAGCTATTGAATTACACCAATGGGGCACAGGGTTTCTGTTCACGGGACCTTCAGGAACAGAACATGAACTGACACCGTCAGGGATTTCATTTGGTTTCGCTCAGGTTTTGGTGGCTCTACTAAAGCCAAATGAGCAGGTAGGCATGGGCTCGAGGATGCAATAAATTCCCTCTACACAAAAGGGCTATTAAGTTTACAGAGTGCAAAAAAAAAATATTTTCATGCAATATTTTGCTATACTGTAAACGGCTTAAAATACACTGCATGCCAATATATGTGGTTTATAGTATGTCATTTTTATGAAGCTTAATTTGTTATTTTGCAATGCGGGTGCAAAGCATGTTAAAACGTTCAAACATGCTTGACAGAAAGCAATTAAGTGTTTCTTGTTAATATTAGAAACAGTAGTAGGCCTGTTGCTAAATTGGGAGTTGCACCAGCACCACAGTCACGGTAAAAAAAAAAAAAGATAAAACACCAGTTCCAGCAGTAAAATAATATTGAACCAGTTAATGCAATTAATGATTGCTGGATTCCAATTAGCTGCTTCAGTTTCAGGTTCACACTGTCACATTGTCCCGCGGTTTACTGGGACGCTTCAACAGCGCCATCGTTAATGATCTTAGTAACACCTGTGCTTTTCCAAGTCAAAATCTCTTGTTGTGAGAAATGCCTAACTTTCATCCTCATTCCCTGTTTTGTAACCGTCAGGTGACATCAATGTCGTCGTCGCTGTGAACAGGTGAAGAGAGACAGGATAGAGGAGGGCCTGCTGCCTGATCATGACTGCTGTGGTTCGACCTGGAGTCAATGTTTCAAAGCTATGTGAGGATGGAGACAAGCTCCTTGCGGTTGGAGAGCTGGGGAGAGCTACCTCTCTCTATATGTCGGCCTTCCGGACTCACGCAGCCTCCACCGTTACCCACATGCGGAAATTGAAGTCAGGCCTGGGTGGGGTGATCTCAACTTTAGAAGGCTGGCTCGACAGTCACGGGGAGAACCACCCCGCCGAGGGTCTTAATAACAAAGGTCTTGCGGCTGTGTTTCTCTCCACACTCTGCCCCAACAATCTGTCAGCCACCATTTTCAAGATGGAGTCTCTCCTTCAGAGTGGCGGGCTTGGCTGTGAGGAGATTTTTGCTCGCTGCACTGCTCTGCTTGAGGGGATGCCAAACCCTCACCCACCAGATGTGACTCGCCTCGTGTTGGAGGTAACTCGTGCCCTGGCCTGCTTGTTCTCAGAGCCTCACAGTGTCACGGGGCTGAAGCTTTACCTCAACGCTTACCAGAGGAACAAATCTCAAACCGTCACTCTGGTGAACAGCAGGCAAGCTCAGCACCTAAACAGAATAGTGAAGGCCTTTACACATCAACTACTGCTCATACACCCCTCTTTAATATTTGACAGCGAGTGTGCAGTGACAACAAAGGAGAAGGACAAGTTAGATGTAGAGACTTCTGCAACAATTATTGGATTTTTATTGGCTATCTCACCTGGCAGTACAGAAGTGCAGGAACTTCATGCAGCATATTTGTTTTTGACAGGCAGGTTTTGGGACAGTGCAGATGTGTACTCTGCTCTTTTGCATCATGGTAATTGTCAGAAAACCGGGAGTAGTACAGACAAGTCATTCCAGCACCCTCCCGAGAGGAGAGCCAGACTCCTAATCAGTCGAGCGGCTGCCTGCTTGTCGGCAGGTGGACGGACTGCTGAGGATTGCAGGGATCTGGGGGAGGCGTTTGAGATGCATCCTGCCACGGCCCGAATTTATTTTCAAAAGCTGTTCGCAGATCATGGTACAGGGGTGGCTGCTTGCAATCATCTCCGTCAGCAGGCGGAGCGGGGCCTGTCTGGTTACAGAGAAAGGGTCCTCATCCGTCCAGACCTGCGATCCACCGAGGGAGTTGAGCTCCTGGACCCTGTGATCACTCAGTTACGGACTCTGTGCTATTTAGAGCCCGGCGGAGGAGGTAGAGAGCTGCGGGTGCGACTGGCCGACTGTCTTCTCCTCAGAGGGGAACACAAAGAGGCCCTCTCCATCTGTAGCCAGCTAGCTGCTGCCCGAGGTCAGCAGAGCTATCAAAACACGGTGCAGGTTCTCCGTGGGTATGCCAGACTTCTCTCAGATGACGAAAAGGGGGCGTTAGAAGACTTCAAGGCTGTGATTGAACACGATACCCCCCACCCGTCCAGCTGTGTGCGGGCACTCTGTGGCAGGGGGCTCCTGCGCATGATGGGTGGGTTAAACTACCTCACAGCTCTAGACTTTGTGACAGCCAGCATGCTGCACCCCCAGGAAACGGCCCTGACTGTTCGCTGCCTGGTGCCGTGGAACTACCGGGGGCTGCTGTTTACTGTTTTACTGGAGCAGGGGCGAGTCATGCTTGAGGCGACGGGAGGACACGAATCCAAGTCCAGTTCCAGTGACGACTCCCAACAGCCCCAGCAGAGGGATCGGCTGCAGGCCCCATCAAAGAGAGACAAGGACGGAGCAGGGTATGATGTTGGTCTCCAAAGACAGTTTGACATGCCACAGTAAAGCACAGCTGTAAATATTAAAAGGAATGATGGCTGAATTACCTGCTTTGGTTTCAGATCGTGCATGCCTGTTCTCTGTCACACTGTCATGGCTTACTTGGACAAACTGAGCCATCCTTAATGTTATTAACACCTGTGCTTTTCCTGCCATAGTCATAATGTGTGCTGTGAAAAAGGCCTTTGGGTGTGTAACCTATCCAAAAGTGGAAATTAGCTATGCAATTTTTGGAAAAGGTATTTAGTTCTGTTCATATTTCCGGTATGATCTCTGTTTTGATGAAAATCCTCGTTCATGTTCTCTCAATGAAATGCATTTTCTTGGTGTTACACTTCTCCCTGCTCCGTGCATTAGGACCCCTGCTGGTGTCCAGTCTCTGGCTGGTCTGCTGATGGAGCTCCAGCCGGGTGCTGATGGGTCTCAGATCCTGGCAGCAGATGCCTTGTACCAGCTCGGCCGGGTCGAGGAGGCCTACCGGCTACTTCTTTCCATCGGGCCTACCGGTCCCCGGGCACCCGTCCTGGCTCGACTCGCCCTGCTGCAGCTGCACAGAGGCTTCCTTTATGACACCAATCAGGTAAGTAGGTTTAGGGGCGGTGGGTCCCAAAGATCCAGGGTTTGTTCCCACCTAATTAGGAACATTAAAATGTAACTATTATTCAGTGTGAATATTAACAATTGTGTGATTGAGGCCATGTGAAGGTTTTACAAATGTTTCAATCAGTGATTTCACAATCCTAACTGTAGTTTCTGCGCATATAGCAGACACAGTTATCCATTGAAGATTTCTGTATTTTGCACATTTGCATGAAAATAAAGAGGCCTGCATGTGTCTTTCTCAGTTGTTCTACTCTTACCTTCCTTAAATAAGAAACCACAATGACTAATTTACCACCACTCTAATTAGATTTTATGATTTGCTTATGAGTTGATGTAACCTTTGTCAAACTTAGTGCCACAGCAAATCTATACTTGTGTCACCACACCAACCACAGGAAATAATAAAGCAGTCTAGTCAGCTGTAGAATCACCAGCATGTCCAGCACTAGAACTGTAAATCAGTTGATTCAGACCTAATCTTTATCGTTTTTTTTATAACGCAACATTTTGTTTATTACCTACAATTCCAACCGTATGTTACTCTCATAAACTTTACAGAGCTCTGACCTACAGCTATAGCTTACAGAGGTGTGACTGTGAATTTTCTTTTACTTTGATATAAAACACATTAAAATTACATTTTATTTTGGGGGTGTAAGGTGAATTGGATAGGCCTGGTTTGCTTTTCATTATTTTTAAATAGCTAAGAAATGTTGCAACACATTGTTATAATAGAAAGACAAAAAAATAAATTTGATTGAAGTAGGTGTTGTACATTAATAGAGTGGTCTCAGCCTCAAATGATCCATTGAACTGAACTGAATACCATCATTTTGTCATTCTTCTGAAGTGATGCAGTTACAACACAGTAGCGTGTCAGGTCAGGTAGCTTAATACATTTACATCTTTTACAGTGAAAGAGATAAAGATTACATATCCGTCTCTGCAGCTGCTGAAAAAGCTCATTCAGTGCGGCGATACGAGCTGCTTGCGCCCCCTGTTGGCGGTGGCTCAACAGAAGGACCGGGCTCTGCTGCAGGGTCACTGCCACTCTGCTGCTAAACGAATCCTGGAGGGCACGCGGGAGGAGAGCGAAGTCAGGGAGGCTGTGGCATACCTCTCCATCGCTATCATCGCCTCTGGTGATTCGAATATGATTGATGACATTCTGATGTTTGCTATTGGACTGATTCCGATTGTTGCCTTAATAAATAGTGGGTAATACTTTAATCTAGGAAGGATTAGTGGGATAAAGAGAAGGGCTGGCACAAAACAGAGGCTTTGTTTCTGTGTTTTAACTTTCAAAAACGCTGAACACAAAACAAGGAGATTGACTCTGTATTATTTAAGTAGAAGAACTTGAGCAGAAGCAATTATAACACTCATCACACATACTCTGTGGGTTTGAATCAGTGCTTCGTTATTTGGGAATATGGAAGATGTTAATGCCGTGAATGTTGTTCTTTAAGGTGGCGAGGCAGCAGAGTCTTTGCTGGAGAGAGCGAGGTGTTATGCCCTGCTGGGCCAACGAAAGACAGCCATCTTTGATTTCAGTGCTATTTTGAAGGAGCACCCAAAACACACCCAGGCTCTCTGCGGAAGAGGCTTCACTTATCTCATGCTGAACCAACAAAAGGTGTTGACAAGCTGTTAAAACCTACTGTCGCTCAGAGCTTGTACAGTATTTTGAACATTTTATTCCTTTTCTGCGACCTTCTCTAGACTTCAAGCTGCACGAGACAGTACACATTAGTGGCTGCAACCAGTAGTAAAATGTCAATGCCAGTATCGCGCTTGTCGATCAACGTGGGCAGGAAAAAAGAGTCCAACGCTGTATCATTTCATGTTGGCAAAGAAGTCAGCAAACCTAACAACAGGAATAATTTGGGCAAAAGGGATCGAAAAGAAACACATTCAAATTGTGGCTGATAAGACAGATGTATTTTTACGTAGAAGTGTCTAAAGCAGCTGCATGTTCAGTGTAAATATAAAATTCAAACTGCTTCTTCCCCTCAGCAATGCACTCATGATATCCTGGCAGCACTTCAGATAAACATTGACATAGTCACCAAAGACATCCTGTCACTCAAGGACAAGGCACGGAAGCTGGTCTGCGATTGGCTGCATGAGTTCTGTCGGACCAATCTGTCAGACATCCTGCTTGCTAGTGCTGTCCCCTGCCATGAAGAGCAGCTCAGAGAGGCTTTTATAATCGGTGGAGCTCTGATGAGGACTGACTGCAGAGACCCCAGATGGCATCTCCTCTATGTGGACACACTTATAGCCAAAGGTGAGATGGGAACTTTGCCAAACTTGCTGCTGAAATTCGCAATGGGCTCCTTGATGTCGTTGGAAATGGTCTGGTTGGAGATAATAGTTTAAGCTGAGTAGTGTTTCCACTTTGATAAAGAGAACCACTGAACCTGGTGCCCCTTGTTTACAGTCATCTTTGCTCCTGATTTTATGGTCCATCTGCTCCAGGTGAAGTCAAGGCAGCGGGCGCTCATCTGTGCCAGGTGTTTGGCCAGGAGCCGAGAGACGCAGTGGCCCAGGCCAGGGTGGGTGTGGTGGAGGCCTGGCAGCAGAACTACCGGAGCGCAGCTCGCAGGCTTAGCAAACTGACTGAAAAAGATTCATCAAGTCTGGTCTTCTTGCTGGCCCTGATCCCAATCAATCAGCGAAAACGCATGGCACAGGTAAGCCTAGTTTAGAATGAGCACCATTGGCAGAGTTCTTTGTGCAAGTTATAGATAGAGAGCAATATAGTCGAGTGTTGCCAAATATTTGCTGTCTAATTTGTGGTGTTTGAAACTGCAGTGACACCTCCATCAATTTAGGAGGTTCTATCTGAATCCCGATGAATATTTCATATGCTTAAAATGGACAGTAAGGTCAAAAAAGATTTAAAGGTCTGCATAATGTATGATGATGGAGAGCATCAATAGTTCATTTAAAAAAAAATTAACAAGACAGGGCAACAGCATCTTTTCATGATCTGGTTAAAGTATTGTAAATTAGGAGTATTTACATATCTATAAGTTGCATATGAATTGCTCGGCTTCTGTATTGTAACAGGCTGCAGCACAGGAGGCCAGCAGTGTATCATCAGGTGGCCAGTGGGACCAGGCCCTCACACTCCTGAATGTGGCAGTACAAGCAGTGGGCCATCACAGACTCCAGTATCTTCGCCAGCGGGCTGCCTGCCTCGCTCAGCTGGGCCTACACGAGCGGGCCGTAGCTGACCTGGACAGAGTTATCAAGAAACACAACGGACCTGACTCCAGCCGCTCGGAGGATTCTCAAGTCTGGGCAGAGGACCTGTGTCGACGAGGCCACAGCCTGGTGCTCTGTTCCAGAGAAGGAGCAGCTCTGGAGGACTTCAGTCAGGCCTTGGATCTCCACAGGAACCAGGCCATCCAGTGTGTGGAGGCTGGTCTGGGGAGGGTGCGTCTGGCCGAATGCTTCCTGCGGGGGGCGCTGCAGCACTATGGGGAGCAGCAGCTCAACAAAGCCTGGACAAGGATTGAGTGTGGCCTAGTTGTGGACAAGGAGAATGCAGAGCTCCGCAGACTGAGGGCAAGGGTCAAACGAGAAGTGGCCAGTCCCTGCAATGTCAACTAGTGTTGATGGTGAGAACCAGCTGAGCTCACTCAATGCAGCCATGTCAGTGACTGTAGGAACGATTACAGCACGTTTGATGGTTCTTTGGAGGTTTGTAGCATTAACAACAGTGTTTGTTATAGTATTCAGCCACGTTTTTATAATTACATCAAATCAGTATACTGGATATGAGAGGAGAATGTGAAAGGTCGCTATTTTCAATCCTATATTTTATTAACAAATTTAACTTTGGCACTTCATACATTTTATAACTGAAACATCATTAATCATGAATTATTGCATGAATGTGAACAAAGCTGGATTGTGATGGTCACTATATGGTATGAAGCAAATCACGTAACGTAAAATTAAATATAGTTTAATTCAAACAATCACACCTAGATAAGATATATAAGAAAGTGCCTCGTGTGCAGGTTTTTATGCTTTTGAAATGGAGAAGGCATGCTTTTCTTTAATCATATCCATGACAGAAAACACAATTTAGAACACATAAATACAGAAATAGAAGTAAACACTGGAATTCAGCCTATTCCACTTACATTAAAGCGTGCTTAAACACAAGAACAAAATCAGTACTTTAGTACCCTTCTCAGTGCACCTGAAGGACTTTAAAAGGAAGTTGAATACAATATTTATGTGTAACTTGTGTTGAGAAGTTACATGTACTTTGGTATTATGCCAACACAGTAATGTATTGCGGTTCCATGTTGCCGAAGTAGGATTTCTCCCACTCACTCATGAGGTCGAAATGCAGCGGGCGATCACAGAAGTTGCAGGAAGCTGTGGCCGGGCAGTTGAGCAGGAGCCCCGCCTCCTGCCACACCTCCACGAGTTTCTCTGTGAATGAAACATAGACACTCATAAGAATGAACAATTAAATGCCAATATTTATTTCTCTTTTACTTCTCTGTACCGGCCATTGTCCCCATTTCACTTGATTGGACATTTACTCTGATAATTTAAGGATCCCCACACTCACCCACAAAGTACTCCATCATGGCGGGGTTGTGATGAGGAGACGGAGCCAGCCTCAGCAGCTCCTCACCACGAGGCACTGTGGGGTAGTTGATGGCCTGAACATAGATGTTGTGTTTCTCCAGCAGGATGTCACACACCTTGGTGTTCAGCTCAGCGTTGCCTACCTAGAAGATGGTTCATGAAAGTTGATGTGAGGCGTTTAGTGCATGCTTTTTATTAAACACAGTCAGGTCATACATGTACGAATCAAAGCCATTATTGTGATTAACTGGGTCGATGGATTCAAGAGTATGCCACTGGAAATATTATAGAATTTGTATGTTTCCATATAATCATATGACCCATTGAAAAAATAAATTGCAAATTGATTAATTAAATGTGCATTTAAATGCATTAAAAACATGATGGTCCTAAATTACTTTATAAAATTGTATCACAAAAATAATTCAGCTTGAATGGAAATGTAATTATTTCACTGGCTTCTAATTGCTTTTTAAAGATTATACATTGGATCATAGTTAAACACTGAACAAGTCTAATTGTTGCGTTGACACACTCCGGTCTCCATATGTTCTGTGTTGTACTTGTGGAGCTTTAGAGGACTAAACACTGCAGATGTTTTGGCTTGTCATGGATGTAAAGACTCAGGTGTTTGTAATGTCATTAACGACGGCTCCGTTCCATTTAAGTGTCCCAGTAAGTCAGCCGACATGCACAATACCAGGACCCCGAAAGTGAAGCAGCTAAATGGAGTTCAGCCATCATTAATCTCATTACTACACAGCGGTACTCATGAAAAGGCTACAACTTGGATGTACAAAATGGCATGCGGCACTGCTAAACCTTCCTACCCGTATGGGGATGATGTGGCTGGGACAGTTGACCACAGGTAGGCCCTTATCCATCAACAGCTGCCTCATGTGTTTGACGTTCCTCTGGTGAGATCTGCGGAGCACCTGCCCCTCGGGGCTCTTCAGCACCCGGACAGACTCCAGAGCTCCAGCCAGGACCATCGGGGGCAGGGAAGTGGTGAAGATGAAGCCAGCAGCGAAGGAGCGCACCGTGTCAACCAGGGCGGCGCTGCTGGCGATGTAGCCTCCAACACAGCCGAAGGCTTTGCCTTGAACAGCAACAGACAAAGAGTATGTGAGGTGAGGAAGTCATCAGGAATGGGAGGTGCAGTTATTTAAGTACAAATATAACATAATAACCTGAGTATTTCCTCTTTTACTTTACTTTTTCCACACTAATACATTTCAGAGGGGAGAAATTGTACTCCATGAATTTACTTGACAGCTAAAATATGCATTGATGCAGATAAAACTACCCAACAGTATATAAAGTTGTTAAAAAAATAATTATTCTAATAATAATAGCAATAATACAGTTACATAACATATACAACAATATAACAGCTGGAAAATGGCAATTCTGCATAATATTTACTTTTACTGTCAATATATATATTTATTAATGAGACTTTTACTATTTTAAATGCTAATTAATCGTGATTATGTATTTTTACAATGTGGTATTGCTACTTTTACTAAAATAAAGAATCCAATGAATACTTTCTCCAACAAAAAATATGTCATGCATTATGACATATTTTATATATGCACAAAATTCATTGTTATGCATGACACATTGTATCAACATATTCTGTTAATAATGAGAATATACGTTTACTGTTATACCTACAAGTCTCTAATATTATAGTTTTGTAGAGATAAATGATATAATAAATTGACAAATCATTGATTGTTGTTTCAGTGCAAAATAATGACATCACAATAATGTATCAAATTGTACTGTGAGTTTTGTGCACTGATACCCCACTATTAATTTGCAATTACAGTTTGAGTTTATCTTTTGTTTATAATCCAGGATAAGTTTACTTGATATGTACTTGACAGGGATTTTGACCTAAAACCCTACAGTTGTCATAAAGCTACACACTAACCCGACTCCCTGACGAGGGTTTTATCGGTACGACCAGAGAGGGAGTAGAGCCGGCACCCAGTTGATAAAACCTCTGGTTCTTCTGATGAGAGCTCACTCCTCTCCTGCCCTCATCTAAACTCCAGAGCAGTATCATGCTTGTTGAGAGATATTGCTGCCGTGTTGGCAGTATGACAGTGTCAGTTAGGGCAAAATAGGAGTTCGGCCAAGAAAAGAGGCAATTAAACTGAAGCCGGTTGCCTTGCCCTTTCAGTGTCTAATAGTAGTATTTTAAAATGTAGTATTTTTCCTCATACCTTTCAAAACAAAATAGAGATGAAAAAAAACAGTTGGCTTACTTGTATAAAAATGTCAAAAGGAGAAGAAAAAGATATACTCACCTAAGGTCCCAGAAACAATGTCAATCTTGTGCATAATGTTGTCCCTCTCTCCCACTCCAGCTCCATGGGCTCCGTACAGGCCCACAGCGTGAACTTCATCAACAAACGTCAGAGCGCCGTGACGATGAGCGACATCGCACAGCTCTTCCAGAGGACATATTGCACCTGAAGGGCCCCAGAAAATAAGGTGTTATAATAAGAGCTGTGCAATATACATTATTCAAACAGCAGGAAATGCATACATCAAATGTCATCACTGTGTAAAATCTAGATACTCTATGTTTCAAATGTATATGCAGAGAGATATTTGCACTATTCACAAATATCGTTAGCGCTTATATTCACACATTTAAAAAATCCTCCTGGATATGGTCCAAGTCATCCATTCAGCGTACTTAAATGTTGTGCTTTATGGAGCTGTCAGCGGTGTCGCATCATACAGAGAAATAGAGCTGAGGGGGGAAAACTATTTTCTCTCATGGACTGAGAGTAATGAACTCATATGTCAATTTATGTTTCTCTTTTTTTATTTTTTTTTATCTTAAAGCATTTCATTATTAAAACTACAAATATATTTTTAGCTTAGCTGTGAGCTGGAGATAACCACACAGCCACCAATGTATAGTAAGCTTAGATAACTCCACTCTTAAAAAGACACACATTTATATTTCTTTTTCTTTTTAAAACTACTGTGTGCATCATATTACTCAGATCAGTGAGAGTAAATATATATCTCTGAACTCTTGATCAGATTTATTGATATCTAACCTAATATACCTACATGGAATCTAAATGATCTCCTCTATCACTCCATGTTAATATTCCATAGTACCCACCGTCCATTGAGTGCACGGTCTCGAATGCCACTATTTTAGGTGTCTTGGGGTCTGAGCGTTGCAGCAGTTCCTCCAGGTGTCGGCTGTCATTGTGGCGGAAGATGAAACGCTTCGCTCGGCTGTTGCTGATGCCCTGAATCATCGATGCATGGTTCCCTGCATCAGAGTATATCTCGCACCCTGTGTGCCACAGTGAACACACAGTGAGACCAGGGGAGATGACTTCCCTCTAAACAGTATCAACCCTCAGATAGTATCACTTTTTTCTGCAATGTATGCAACAAGAAACATGGGTCAGAGGTCAGTATTCACCTGGAAGCATCTTAGCCAAAGTGAAGAGGGTGGAGTCATTCGCCACGAAGCAGGAGGAGAAGGCCAGGGCTGCGTCTTTCTGGTGTAGCTGGGCCAGCTCCTTCTCCAGAGACACATGGAAGTTACTGGTGCCTGAGATGTTCCTGGTCCCACCAGCTCCTGCACCGTGCCTGTCCAGAGCATCTCTGAGAACATCCAGAACGAAATGATAAAACGTTCAGCTGACATAATCGAATGCATCTGCAAACATGAATTATTAGGCTTCTTCATTAAAAGGCTTCATCTCCACTATGTAAAAAAGAGATTCCAAATGATGTTGAGTTTTCCTTCTTTCTCCAGAAAACCTACAAAACTCTCCTTTTACCTGATAACGCTGAGGACCCGAGGGTGCCGACTCATTCCCAGATAATCATTGCTGCACCAGACAGACACCTGGGAGCCTTCCCGCCCAGAGACGGAGTAATCCTCAGCAAAGGGGAAGACCTCAGCGCTCCTGTTCACGGTCTTGAAGACTCTGTATGTGTGATCATTCTTTTTCTCAGAAATCTTCTCAATGAAGAAGCGGTCATAGTCGTAGCTGGGGCCAACTGCAGGGGGGATAGTTGTGGTTTTGAATCAATGACAGTATTCAATGAATATGTAATCTAATCTAAAGATACATGTATTATTTAACATTAGAGTAAAACATACCCATGTTGTCTTTGAGGAGGTTGGTAAAAGTGTTAGTTTGAGATGAAGTTGGGAGGATGGAATCCTTTAACTCCTTCAACAGAGAAGTCATCAAACCTGTGCAAGAGGAGTGCAGGTCTGTTAGGGTGAGATGTTGCTATTTTGTCTTGTATGTTCGCTTCACCACATGATAATTCTTCCTACCTTCTGGGACGTCCTCCTGTACTTCAGGGCTGGCTCGGACTATCCCAAACTGAGAGGTGACAAAGGGGCAGCCCTTCGATACAGACACAGCCACCTGCGTGGCCCTCTGAGCAAACAGCCTCCTTTGGTCCAATGTGGGAAGTCGGTGACTCTTCTGTTTGCTGGGTGAGACGTTCACCTTGGCCTCTAGAGAGGCTGTGCCGCTCACACTGATCTGGCGAGCGATGATGGGGCATTGATCGGCCAGAGACATCAAGGAGGCTCCAGTTCTCCTCAAAGCTGGCTGCGGCGCAGACTTTAGGAAGGGGCAGTGATGAAGGAAGGCCGCCATTGTACTGCAGCTGTTCTTACTCTGAGTTAGGACAGAAGACAGGGAATTAACTTTATTCCACAAAACCTCCGAGGCTTATGCATTAAATCTGTAAAGAGTGTGAATATCATTGCAGCCAGGACGTGTAAAAAAGTGTAATGGTTTTACGTTTGTCTTAAGAAATTGTGGATGGAAAATGAGGATGACTGAATTTGAAACTCCCGTCATAGTTACAAAGTTAAACATGTTCAGAGGGGCCAGAAATGTATGCAGTGGCTGGGTTTAGCTAGAGAGCAGTCGGTACCTCCTCCAGGGTGCGGCAGGTTGCTGCTGCTTATCTTAACTCTGCAGGCGCTCAAGTGCTGACGTCATCAGTTCAGGCTGATACCCAATAATCCTCCATTAAACACAGCAAGGATGCATCTACTTCTTTTGATGAATAACTTTTATCTCCCTGCTGTTAAGACTTTCTTAAACTCAGAGGACAAAATGAATGTTGGATGTAATTAATAAAAATGACGACATAAATATTCATGATTCCAGATTATAATTTGTCCATGAGGACGTCTATGTGTAGTTTATGTTAAAGTCCAGCTGTATCACTTCCCTCACAATCTCCTGCGGTCAGCAGATAAGGCAATTCTTGGAATATGTGGCTTTCTCTTGTGGTTAAATGTTATCTTTTTGCTGGTCTGTCAAAGACCAGCGGAGTCTTTTTAAGCACCACATGCAGGTCAAAAATTTAATCTTGGTGATGTCTTTGTCATTGTTGAATACGTTTGACTATTAATCACGTGCTAAAAAAAAAAGACACATATCCTTTAGCTATATGCTGTAGTATCCACATCTCATGGTTCTTCTCATTGAAAAAGTAACTTAGGGATGCACTGTGTGTGTGTGTGTGTGTGTGTGTACAAATTTACTATTCATTCATGTAGTGTGTTGTCTACTACATGGATGAATAAATAAAGCATGAATACATAATAAAATGTATGATATATTCCTTGCTGTATGTGTCGTGTATCACAACAAATATTATGTTATATGGCAGTCTAATAAACAATAACACTGGTTCTAATAATACTCATGATAGTAATACTACCACTACTAAAATTCTAAATAATAACAGTAATGCCGATAATAACAACAACAATAATAACAACAACAACAACAATAACAACAATGAAACAGATGAGAAGTTAAGAAGAAGCTCACCTGTTGACCTGCACTGAGGACGAACTTCAGAACAGCAAATAGACAGGTCAGAAAATGTCAACAGTTATGAGTCAGATGTCGAACAGCGTTATGCAATCAGCTCTGCTGTTACAGGTCTTAGCTTTGGGGGCCACCCAGGGAGGTGTGTGTGTGTGTGTGTGTGTGTGTGTGTGTGTCCAGTATGGGAGGTGCAAAGATGCTGATAGTGTTACATTAAGGTTGGGTCACTCTCTGTCATGTAAAATATCTTCATTGTGGTCATTTCACTCTGAAGTTTTGAGTGGTCAAAACAGCGATGCTGCGTTCTCAAAAACATACATTTATGATAATAATATTGATTCTAAGGTCACTTTAAACTTAAAGCATTGTAGTTTTTCTACAAATATTTAAGTGAAGCTATATGTACTAACAGTGATATAATAATGTCTCTTTTAGTGATAATAACTATTTCAACAGCACCTCAAATAACAATTATTTTAGCAGTTAACACTTGAAAATGACAAGGTAAAAATGTTAACACACACTGGTGTTTAATTTTTACTTCTTCACTTAAGATTTCATTAAACTCTTTTTTTTTTTTTTAAATGAACCAAAACACTGACAACGAGGACGGTCTAGGGTAGATAATGATGAGAATTAATATGAAACATCATTTAAATAATACCTCCTCAACTAAAAAGACAACAGCTTTGAATTGAAATTCAAACACCATCACTAAACCTTAGTTAACGCTGATCTACAGAGGAACCCATAACGTGCATATTCGGATTGATTAGGAAACAATACTGAATGGAAATGTTATTTTCTCTCATTTCATTCCAGCCTATAAATAATGAACAAACAGTTACTGGTTGGTTTGGATGAACTCACTGACTGTAACTAACCAGTGACCATTTATTCGTCAGCGTGTGTGTGTGTGTGTGTGTGTGTTCTCACCAGCAGATGGTGCATTTTATGAATCACTGCTGCTTCTCGTGGAGAGGCGGAGTTTTCCTTTTGCTGCTGTCAACTTGCAGGGGGCGGGCAGCAGGCAGAGGGCAGCAGGCTGGGTCCATCTCATCCTGACTGGAACACAAAACCAACATCATCCACCATCCACCCTGACAAGGACAACCCCTCCCCCCCCTAAGAGAACACAGGGACAGGACCATATTTTTTAATTAAAAAGGAATTCGCATCGAGAGCGGCAAGATGCTGGCCTGCACAGAGATGATCACCATGTGTCTTCAGTCTGCAAAGCACGAACACTTGAGGAAACAGCAGGAGCTTTGCCACAACCAAAATCAAGGCATCTCCCTTTTTCATGATGTAAGTACTCACTGGATTTTGTGATGTTGAAGTGGTATCATAATTCACCCTCTTGACATTTCTCCTGAGAATACCTTTTAGTTTGGTCAATGCATGCTCGGATCCATATGTAGACGCGTTTTGCTCACGGGTCGTCATATAATTAAAGGCGCAATATGAGTAACACACCGTCCTTCATTCTGCTCTTTATGAATGGTTTTTATTGAACCTCCCATTCACATTGTGCGGGATGTGCAGCAGCCCTGTTATATAAGAAAGGTGAGTGCATGCCCACCAGTGCGTGAATGCCAAAAGAGATGCCCCAACACAGTCCTCTGACATACAAATGTTTTGAGTCATTCGACCCACAAAGCATTACAATGTCGTTGTTTTCATTTGGTTGTTTTACATTTTTTTTCTCATATGATAATGAGGCTCATGACATTGGTTGTACCCTAGATAAAACATGCATATATAAAACATGATATGGTCTGCATTTTTAATGTGCAGCCTTCCCTTCACACATCTCCAAACAGAAACACAAAAATAGATGTTGAATTTTGAGTATTGCTTGCACAGTTGACAGAGGACAGGGTTTTCATGCACATAAATGCTCTCTAACTGAGCTGTCATGGTTATTCTGCTCTTTGCTACAATATGAAAAAAAATAGCAGGTGATCCCTTCATATAAAAGACTAATACAAAAGCAGTGCATGCAGTATTACAGTATATTCTACACTGCTTTATGTTTGGAGCGTTTATGGCTGTTTTTTGTCTCTGGTTTACTGACTTAAATACAATACAGTGAATTAGCAGCATCATTTCCCAGCCTAGACTCCCTGACAGCTGGCTGTAAATACAATTCTCCAGTTTCCTTGAAGGCAGATTATTGGCCAGCGAGGTGAACATTCGACTGCAGCAAGTACAAATTTGGTTTGACTGCAGTTAGCATCTATTCTTTCCAGTCTAACACCGCAGAACTGTTCTTCTCTGAACCCATTACAGTGACAAATGGATGGTACTTTATTCTTTAACAGCTGCAGAAAGTAAAAGTGTGATCACCAGAGGGCAACTTATCCCACTTACCTGTCATTTGACTGACACTGATTCTTTTTTCTTTTATTCCTCTGTCTTCCTAACAACACAATGACATTGGTGCCCACTCATCTGCAGTTTTTATTTTTATTTTTCAGAGAATTGAGCCTCATTTGCTCTTTTCTCACTCTAGACAGACTCATTACAGTTTTTTTTCTTTTTTCTTTGGGTGTCTGTCTCTAAGTAAACGTCTGTTTGTCTATTTATATAATTAGACAAGCTATGATTTGACAGACAGTTACTCCTCCTGCTGTAGTTTTATTGTGTTCAGAGTCAGAGAGATAGAAATTACAACCGATCAACCTCCAGGTAGCTAATACTGATCTTAATTGGCTCTGTGGAATGAGCTCAATCAACTCCACCAACCTTCCACCTAACAGCACCAAGGAGGAACAAAGGTCATTAAATCTCCTTTCAGGCTTCACCAGAGCCGATGTTTATTGCTCTCAATTTGTTTCCCAAATTTTATGGAGCAGTTCCCTGTTGGTTTCTTCTGAGCTGTTACAGGATGCTTGCATCAGCACTCATAAGGTTTAGGGAGGTTTAACAGCGATGGCGCAGCCTCCAGGTTTCACGTCATCACCTGCATCCAAAAGTCATCATTGAGCTAAAGGGCCAAACCAGTTGTGTTGCATGGTTTAGTGCATTCACTACAACTCCTTTATACTTGAGACCACTTGAAACCTATTGCCTTTCAACGGTTCGCAACATGAGCCAGTGGCTAGCAGCTAATGGTGCTAACAGCGCTAACAGTGCAATCAACGTTGCCAGTGCTGACCGAGCTAACGGTGTTAAGCTGAGGGGGAAGCGGAGGGTGGGTGTTACGATTCTACATCGATGCTATCGGTCGGGACGACGTTATCAACTTTAACCGCCATATGAGAGTCATGCAGAGCAGCGGCCATGAGCTAACTAGTGGGGCGTGCTCACGTGCACTAACATGCACTAAAAAGCATCGGGGCCGGCCCGGCTGTGTCATTAAAGCAAGGAGAAGAACAAACACAGATGACATTACTCCACTATATCTTTACATAGTAAATAGTTGTTTGACGCTATATTGATGCTCTAAATTTCGTATAGAGAATCTTTAAAAACAAATGATCTGATATTTTGAAACACATGATTATTATTGGTATTAGTCCCAATAATCAGTCTGGCTCTAATTTGTGTAATCCTTCATAGTAAACATCACATCTGCATTATTTGTTGTTCATTATTGTTTTGAGGCAGACTTTTCAAAATGGAAAAATCTGCCAATGAACTGCATTAACGTGCAATAATGGAGTAGCTTTGAAATAAATAAGAGCAGACTTGATCGTTCACTGTGATTAATTATACGCATACAAATAATCAAGTATCAAGAGTCTGTAAGTGATTTTATACCAAAATGAAAACGAATGGTTGCCTGGAATTTTAGGGAATGCCTAAAACTAAAGCATGTGTTAGAAAATGGTCAGCAAACATGTTAAATGTGCACACTGGTCTAGTCCTTATAGTGCACTCTAAAATGAACCATAAAGGCTGAACGCTTTTACAGGTTCCTAAGATATTTATTGTAATTTTTCTTATTCTGTGCACACGCTAAGTATCATTGTTTCTAGATGTCTTTGAGGCTCAGTAGATGGGGGATGGGGGATGAAAGCAGAGCATGTTTATGCCTTCACACTCCGCTGTCCACGAAAGGTGACAGCTGCATGTGAGTGCACTCTGAAGAATCAACCAGACACTGGACTCTATACAGTATGTCCAAAGGGTGATTAAACAGAAAAAAAAAACACTCTGAAATGAAAGAGGTGCCACTCTGGTCTCACACAAAACACTCCACCAGCGGATCTGACTCACCAGTTCCATGTTACACGGGAGATTAAGTTGAATATATCAGAGATATTTTATTACCGTGTTCACAGCACAACGCAGTTACCACAAAGGACTGTTGCTTCCTGCTTTTGGGTTTTGCACAAATTAAGGCAACATCTTAAACTCAGCACGATGGTTCTCGAGAGAGAAAGAAAACCATAAAAGCTATTATTCCAAAGCTCCTCACGGGTGCACATAAATGTCAGCTATTCATTTCCTGATATGTCTCTTGTTTCTTTTGTTGTGAAATGTGGAAATTACAGCTCCACCAATGTCTTCCTGTGCAGAGAAAAAAACAGAATATTCCAAGCTCTTTTACAGTTGGATTGCCTCACAGAACTGTTCCTCCTCTTAATTGCGCAAAACTTCAAAAATCGTTGCCGTATGTTGATCCTCGTGATCCTCTCTTTTCATTGCAGATTTTCCGCCGGGCAGACAAAAATGGTGAGTAAGCAAAACATGCAGCTAATTAGATCACAAGGCTAATTAAAACTCAACTACAACTTTGATTGCTGTGTTCAGACAGGTGGCTTGTTTTAGCTCTGAGGGGATTCATGTGAGTCTGGTGGTGGATCTTTTTGTTTCAATGCCATCCTTACGAGATCAGAGTAGGGAGGATATAAATAACCAGGTACAGCTGCATGGTTTTGGTTTTGGGATTTGATTTGATTTGACAGGATGAACTCCTTCGATACTGTCGCTCGTCATGCAACGCTCATCTTAGTGATTTCCAATGATGTATCATCAGTGAGACAGCAACATATGCAACCTATATATAATCTTGCTATACAGTAAATGTGGCTTCAGTAGACAATACATTTTAGCTCAAAATGGTACCAATTCACTGGAGACTTGCACCTGCTATTTTAACCCCCCCCCCCCTGCAGACATGTCACTGTTACATTTGATTAATGTGTTACAGTGTTACATTGAAATCATCTCTTTACTTCAAAGGAAACCCTTCCCTCCCCCTAAATATCTCCTGGAAAAACACAGAACATTCAGCTCTGCATGAAAAAACAGTGCTGACAAACAGGAAGAGGTTTTTGCTCTTAATATTTTATTCATGCACTGCATCTCTGTTTTAATGGAATAGTAAAAATGCAAAACGGGCCAGACATTAATGTAAGTAGAGTATCAACAATCTCTGATCAGTTAGGATGACGGTGAATGTGTTACGTAAGAGCAGGAATAATGACATGACTGGAATGAGCAGGAGTCATACATAAAGGGAAAAAAATAAGCAGTTTGTGAATTATGAAAGGGCCCTTAAAAGATGCTTGCAGCTGTTGTGAAGAAGAAAAGGTGGGTGGATTTTTATTTCTTCAAGTTGGGTTTTACTTGACTTAGAAGAGGAACACTGGCTGAAAACAGAACATAGGTGTGACATTTTAATAGAATAGCCCTCCAGCAAAGCTTTTATTTTGTAGTCTTTGTAGTGAGAAGGCAGATAAAGCAAGCAAAGAGAACTCTGGCGTATGTTTGTGGTAGCTATCTTCCATTTGCAGCCGAGCTCTGCTTGGTTCCTCGTCTACACGAACTCAGTGAGTCGTGCACCCGAGAGGAAAGGGCCTCCTACCAATCAGCACCGAGTGGGCTGCCATGATACGCCTCGAGCACTGCGGATTTACCACATAATGAGGGCTGGCTACCGCACTCTTATTCCTTATAATTCCTCATTGTAATGAGGAATTACAGTTTTTTATAAAGCTATAAAACAATTGCTCGTGTATTCTTGTATGAATACAATAACATGAAGTAGATACCGAAAGCTTTTACTCACCATTGTTGTGCTGAGATTAGTTTCTAATACATTTATGTTGCTGCTCACTGAGCTCAGAGATGTACACAAGGATTTAAACAATGATGTAAGAATCAAATTTTTCACCGCAACTCTGATTTGTCATCTGGAAATAGCAATAACAAGCATGAAAAACACTGATAAGTAAGCAATTATTACTTTGATTGGTTACACTAGCTTTATAATGTGGACCAGTATTGTTTTACTTTATTTAGTTTTATGATATTGAAAAGCAGTTTCCATTCAAATGTAAGGTGCATGAGGTAGTTTTGCTTTTTCTCTCTTGACACACAGAAAATAAAAATCACTTTGAGGTTTCTGCGCCACATCCTTGCAGTCTATTAATTAATGCTGTATTCAGTGCAGTAGCAGAGATGATTGTGTATGACTGCAGAATCCTCAAAGGATGCAGTGATGTACAGAAGTGATGCAGCTCTGGATGGAAGAGAGGAACATAATAAATAGTTTGCGAGAAGAAGATATTAATTTGACTGTTTTATCAACACAAATACGCCATTTATTACTCCAAACTGTTTTGACAGCTGTAATTTGGACAACAATCAGTAATTTCTTTCCTTGTTTAAACTTGATATACTGCAGATTAATGAAAGTTAAATGTATAATTCTGAACTTGGTTCACCATGTTTCTCTGTAAGGTGAGTTTATCCACTGTCTATGTTACTCTTCGGTCTGTTCTTATCCCTCATATCCTCCTGAAACGAACTGTCAGGCTTTATGAACCATTGGTGCTGCTTTGACTGCATTTTTGGGATTCCCTTAAGGAAATGTGATCCTGGTAAGACACAAGCTTCAACAGGGAGATATTTTCATTGAGGTTGCAGTCAGAGCTGCAGTAGTGTGGAATGAGACAATTAAAACTACTAAACTGCCTCGATTCTGTCGTGAGGTTCTGATTGACCAAACAACCTACAATGCTGTATGATTTTCACTTGAGGAGAGTCTCACTAACCAATTCATTGACTAATCGTTTCCATACGAATTGTCACTAAGTGCCTCCAGAGCCTACTTCTGCAAATTCTGATTAAGTGATAACATTTATAAACAAAATCCTCCAGGCCAAGCGCATGCTGCACAGATTACTGTCCTTAAGCTTGTGAGACAAATACTGTCTATATAGCTAGAAGCTCAACCATGTTTCCACTGCTGCTCTGCTCTCTGAGGAACAGCGAACACTTGCATAATGGGCCATCTGAGCTGCACTGTAACTTGCATTCGGGTGTCTAATTGGGTGTGAATCTACACCAAAGCAGTTCTGATGGAGAAGGCTGGAGAATGAGTCAGAGGTCCAACAGATTGTGTTTACTCCTACATCATGTGGAAGTTTGAGATGTGGTTTATGGTTCTAATAGCTTTATCTTCCATCTTAGGTTTAACAGAGCTAGACCACAACAAATGATAAGTAAACCCACAGATTTTCATCTCAAGGGTATGATTGATATGTAATGATAAACTAAACTATGTAAAACACTTTCAACTTAAATGCTACTTGTTAAACACAGAATAAAACTTGCCCAAATCAGAAGAAAATCTCTTCTGGAATTTTTTGGCTTACAAGCCTTTGCTGCATCGCATCCAGAGCCATCCACTGTGTGAGCTGGCAAAAAGTCAAAATTCTTCTTGCAAACATAACAGATGATATGATTTACTGTTGGCGCAGGCCTATCAGTCTGAGCTCTGTTGCCTGGCGGAGCTGGGTCTCAAAAGGTTTCTGTGCTTACAGAGCACAGCTGGTGAGATGGAGGCGAGATCTCATTACCGTCTGAAGTTCGTCAGCTAGTGAGCTCTGCTCTGACTACTCAAACTAGCCCTCAACGCTTGTTACCATTTCCTCAGGACCCTGCAGGCCCTGCAGCACACAGACGCTGCTAATCAGAGGCAGACTGTGCTCATCTTCAGCACTCACTTGTCTTTGTGTTTATCCTCTGCTATTAACACACACTGGAATAGGTTGGTTAATGTGCACACTGTGCCTATATGTGATTGTTACAGAATTGTCGAAGAAGAAATTGATTGTAGCGGAAATCGAAACAGCGGGTATATTATTATGCAGTATCAGGTTTCAGCAGTGATCGTGTTGTGAAGCCAAAGTAGCCTTCTAACATTATCTTGAATGATGGAGACATTCTTCATTCAGGTGATAAAACCTTTCAGGCTTCAGCTAGGTGTAATTTTCACGGTCTTCCTTCAGACGACGGGAAGCTGTCCTTGGAGGAGTTCCAGTCGTACTTCACTGATGGTATCCTCACTGACGACCAGATGCAGGAGCTGTACTCTTCCATCGACAGGCAGCAGACTGAGTAAGCTGATCTTCCTTTTGGACGTTCTCCAACTCCGCTGCCATCTGCAGCCCATCCTGCTCTCCTGCTGCCTGGCAGTCAGACATCAACACCTCACTTCAGTGAAGATTATGTCAATATTCCATAGAGAGCCTTAATTCGGGCGTGAAAGCCTCAAGAGTTTACAGCACTATGTATGCACACTGATGAGCACAAATAAGATTGTGAAAGATGCAAAACATTGCCTGTGCCAACGACTCTTGCAAAAACATTTATTGGAATAAATAACGTCTGGTGTTAGAGCAAAATAGAATATCCAAGAGGAGGTTTTGTGCTGTTTGTGGGCACAACACTGATGGAATAGAAATGAGACATCACTCCTTTGGTGTTGGCATCACTTAAGTATCAACTAATCAAAGTGAAGAATGACCAGGTGTTAGCTACACCCTTTTTTGTGTATTGCCAACTGTTTGCAGTACAAAACAAACAAATAAACACTCTAACTGTGCATTCATTTAAATGTAGAAGGAAACATAATTAAATCCATCAACTTTCTAAATTGTTGAAACCAAAAGATCATATACTACTGACTGAAACAACACGAATATGATCTCCAAGACATCTTGCCTTACTATGCAGTAAATTAATCTTCATTACAGTATATGTATTTGCTACAAATACATGATGTTATACTGCACCTTATGTGCAGTAATAGTGCTTTTAGGTTTAGTTGCAAGTCAGTTGTGCTCCTGTGTTTAGTGCCTTGTCTAAACGCCCCTCAGTAGTGAATATCATTGCACCTTGTTTCAAATAGCAAGCTACAATAAGAAAACAAGAGTCTACGGCCAAGCTAGCGGCCGAGGCTGTGCTTTGAGCTAAATGCTAACATGCAAACATGCCCACAATGACAATGCTAACAATGACAATGCTTTTAAGCTAGTATAATGTTTACAGGTGTCATTTTCACCTTCTTAGTTTCTTACACTAAACACAAAGTACAGCTGAGGCTGATGGGAATGTCATTAGTATTGCAGATCATAAACCAAAGTATTGGACAAATTAAAATTTTGACTTAATGATGTCGCTAAATAACATCTCTATTTAATTAACATGTCTCTTTTTTTCTTCTTCCCATTGCCTTATGTAGCAACCTGGACATAGACAAACTCTCAGGTAATTGTGTGTCATCCTTGATTAATTTTACTGACTTTGCTCATAAAATCATGTTTTAAACTTTATAGACAGTACATAAGATCGCCTGTATGTACAAAAGCCAAATGCCTCACTGTTTTAACGGTTGCTACTTGCTAAAGCTGTCTGATGATGACCATAACTTTTTCCGTCTTGTTGGTAAAACCACACTTATCAGAGTGCTTATCAGACATTAAGTATGCTCAACAAATCTTGTTCTCCTCCAGAGTACTTCACTCCACATCTGGGGGAATACGTCAACGTCCTGTCTGCTTTGGATAAGCTGAATGTGGCCATTTTGAAGGCCATGGATAAAACTAAAGAGGTGGGTGATGACCTCCACCTCTTTGAAATTTGTACAAGCAAAACATGATTTAAATGTTGCACGGCATTGTGTTATCCATGTAAACAGCTTTCAGAACACTTTCCGAACAATTTGTAAGCATCCGTTATCCCGCCAAGCATGCAGACTGTCAGGCTGTTTTTTGTTTTTGCCTCAGCTGTCAGTGTGAAACCCTGTCAGAGGTCTTTGAGGTCACTCTGCTATGGCGGGCAGCTATTCAGGAGAAAAGAGAACTGCCCAGCATGACTGACTCCGCCTGCTATCTGCTCTGCCTCTCCTCACTAACAATACATGTTTAAACATGAGCTCACAGAACCTTACAGACCGAGTTATGCTTTTAAAAAACGGCCTCGTTAGTGTGAGAAACATTGGCAGGCGTTTGTTTTTGTAAATCTGCTGGACAGCCAATAATGAGGAAGCAAAGCAAATTATTTTTGAAGGTATTGTAGATTTATTGATTGCTATGGATGTCGTAGAACATTCATTATTGAATAATCTGTTGGTCATTTTTTTTCTTAAAGTGTTAATTGTGTAGTCTATAAAACGTTGGAAAGTCATGAGAAATGTGTGAATTTTCCACCTCCTATAGAGATATCTTTATTTTACTTGAATTCCCTGACCAACAGTAAAAACAAGATTAAGAGTCTGCAGCCATGCTAGTGGCTCTCTGAGGCTGTCTAGGCACAGCAGCACTTTGAGCTAAATGCTAACGGCAGCATGCTGACATGCTCACAACGATAATGCTAACATGCTAATGGTTTGCAGGCATAACATGATTAAAATCTTAAGTTAGCGTGTAAACTTGACTAATTAGCAATAAACAGAAAGTACAGCAGAGGCTGATGGGAATGTTAGTAGTTTCGTAGCTACGAAGTAAAGTATTATTTAAATATAAAATAAAAATAATTGACCTGATGATGCTACTCATGGAAATGTCTGAGGATCAACTTCACTGATTTAACTCTTGTGTGTCTTTCGTTGTCACATGATAATACTGATTGCATTGTATCGTTTATTTGACATCACATTAACTATTTTTTTTCACATATTCAGTTCTTATCAATACATGTTTTTATACATTTGGTGTCATGACTTGTTCCGTCCTAATTGAGGAGCTGAAATGGAGATCAATGCTACTTCTACTCCACCGTTACTTGTTTCCAGCTACTGAGACACAGAATAGCATCAAATCACCAGCCTTGAATTGTGAAACATGCTAACTAGAGCATTATGAAATCCTATTATGAAGCCTGGTGGAGCAGAACAGTACGCTGTATATTCCATGAGATGTAGAGGGGATTAAAGTGTCTGCCCCCAGACATGCTGTAATCATTCTGTTTTAGGCACACACATAATCGAGATCAACATGAGAGAACCCCTACTAAGACATAATCAATAGCTCAGCTCACTTTCTTTATGTGGATGCAGGCTTGTTATGAGGTGGTTTTCTGTGATAGCCAGCGACTTTACTCACTGCAGGAAGTTGGCTTTCCTGATGAAGAGAGGGAACATAAGGCGATAGTAGAGCATAGATGACAGTAACTAAGGCTGACAAACCCCACCATCTGTCCAACTGATCTGACGTCAGATGTCCTCCACAGAACTGCAACCACAAACATACAACCATTTTATCAAATGCTCTAATCTCCTTTTCTTTCAGCTTCTTTCCCTCTTTGTTAAACCGAGTCTATTATTCACTCAGACGCATGCTTCTCTTTCACTGTTTTATCTGCTTTCTCTGTACAGCAATCTTCTCCGACATTGTCTCTTTCTCTTGTCATTTTCTCCATACCACCATGCCTTTCTACAGCTCATGTATTTTTCATGTTCCTATTAGACGCTCAAAAAGCTTTCTTTGCCCTGAAGAGCAGCTGCCCTTTGAGCCATACTGAGATTCTTATTGCTGAACCAAAGATAAAACTGATCCTATAGCAGTGTCCAAGGGCCACCAAGACACATGTAGCGTTAGGCATGGGTAACATAATGTGTAACACTTTTACATTAACTACAGTTAATAATAAAGCTTTGAAAAACTACGAGTAAAATGATGAACTCATAAGACTGAAATGTGTCGTCTGTGTTGTGGTAGTGCTCCGAGATAACAAGCAAACATCCGCCGTGATTTGACAGATCTTCTGTCTCGTAAATAAAGGGAGGAGGAATTGAGAGAAGGACTGAGGTTCATTACTCGTGTAGTGCAGCGTCTCTGCTGCCGAGAAAATGGAGAGTGTAGAAACAAATATTACAACAAGCTTGGTGGTCATTTTTCAAATGTGTCCCATAGTCATTTTTTCCTGAACTAAATTTTGTTGCACTGCGGGATGCTGTTGATGGTGATGGGGGTCATTATCCACAAAATGTCAGTTTAGCTAAAAAGAACAGCAGCCACTGCACTGAAACCTGGCAAACTGGCACTAGACATAGAATGTTTACCTTTTGCGTGCATTTATTAATTCAGGGTAATCTACACAGTAACATGTTGACTCCAGGTTTCCTTTTTAGTTTTTAGCATTTGTGAATAATGCTATTTTAACTTGGTTCCTCTTACCAAATAACTGCATTAAGATACCCGTTAAATGAAGATCTTATTCCCTTTTCAAAGGAGGAGTGAGAACATAATCCCGACAAAACACAAACAACCTCAAAAAATACAAGGTTTTCAGTGAATTGGAAGATTATCTGAGAATGAGCAATTTTCATGATCAAAGCATAACATGTCCCAAGAATTAATTGGCGTCTGGAGTTGCAGCTTTCTTCACAGTTCATATAATCGCTCAAGCTGAAGATTAACAGGCAAACAATCATCATATTAAACAACAACAACACAAGAAACATTACCTTAGATAAGATAAGAATTGAGTGAACAATGAAAAAATGACTATTTTCTTTCCCTCCCTCACATCATGGCTGATTCTTGTCCTTCATTTCTACCCATCCTTTCAGGAGTATCAGGGTTCATCAGTGCTGGGTCAGTTTGTGACTCGCTTCTTGCTGAGGGAGACCTCCACCCAGCTGCAGTCCCTTCAGTCATCAATGGACTGCGCTATGGAGGCGGTTCATGACCAGGACTGTACTGAAAGTCGGATACTGAGGAAACCTGAGGACCTGCCTATCCAGAGGGCGGCCAAACGCCCCGGTCGACGCATCCAGAAGAACATGTGTCTCTCACCTACTGACCCCTACTCTGGCATGCTCACCACAGGTATGTTTCAGTAACATTGCGATTAAGATGCTGGAGGTAAAACTGATAAGAGCGAACATTTTAGCAAAATGCTCATGAGCCCAGGAGGATACTCACAGTAGGTCATCCAAAACAAAAAATGCATCACTTTGATATACTGTCGTTGTTCAGACTTCTTGTGTTGTGCTGATGTTGTGTTTCTGGGGTCAGGGGTCAGCGTGGAGCCAGATAACCACTGGGGCTCCCAGATCAACCAATTGGAGCAGCTCATAGACAAACTGGAGTGTGAGGTTTGTACAAAATCTGTTTTTGGACTTTCAGTCTTTATGCTAAGCTAAGCTAACTGTCTAGCTCTAGCTTGATATTTAGACAGACATGAGAGCGGTGTCAATCTTTTCATCTAACTCTTGGGAAGAAGGCAAATTAGTATATTTGCCAAAATGTCTATATATGCCTTAAAGACACACTGTAGCATTATATTATACTTGTAGGACTCTATGAATTTTTAAGAGAGTTTTGAAAAGTCTTTTTAAAAAGAATTTAAGCTCTTTAAATGAGCCCCAGGATCACATCAGCCCTATACTGATGCGGTTTACACAAACATGCCTTAGTTTCAATTTTATGTGTTAGAAAGACTAAAATGTTCAGCCAAAAGGTTTGTCTCATGAGGGACAATTGCTCTTTGTGAGGATCAGGTTTAACTACAGAGGCTCAGCTGCTACACAGAAATGTCAAACAGACCGTGTGAGCCCAACTGTGTGTCTGCAGATACACAGCGTTTGTCCTGCGCTACATGATGTCAGAGGAGATGATTTGTACAAAGTGCATGTGGTTGTTGAGGCCAACATGCAAGCGGTATTGAACTACACAAGCTGAATGTCATCCATAAGTATCAGCCTGTGAATACATGCTGTGCTTCACTCGGATGCTCAGTGCTTCACACAGATATTGATGCATCGGTGCAACCCTGTTGCTCTGGGATAACAGATTAATGTTGAATTTATGGAAATTTACAAAAAGCCACCGGTATTTTGCTTGTATAGTTCTGAAGAAGAGAACAAATAAATTCATGGTGCTCCGGTGGGATTTATTTATTTTTCTTTTTTTCATCTGAAATTATAGATGAGGTATTTGCCAAGGTTAGATATCAGCACTGCAAGGATAATGAGTTTGAATAATTATTTTTTCTTATCTTGGCCATGCAGACTAGAATAAAGTGTAACCACAGTTCTCAGGGCTGCAGTGAGGCTGTTGGAGGGTTAATATGAATGTAAAGATCTCTGCCTTGTGAAACAAATATGAATGTAACGATCTCTGTCTTGTGAAAGCCAATACTTTGTGACGGTAACCTGAGGGCGTTTCTTTTGCTGTATTTCTTTTTCTGCTCATGACTGACTGAAATATTTATGCCCGCTTTTTCAGAGTCCACATCTTGAACCTCTCAAAGAGGACACATTGGCAGGGACGTATAAATCGGTGAGTCCTGCGTGTGCTAAATATATCGGCACACTAGTATGTAAATTGAGATTTTACAAGATATCTTTGCACAGAACCAAACTAATTTTATACGTTATCGTATTTGATTTGTGTATACTATTTTTGAATAGCTGTAATTTCTCATATGCAATGCACAAAAAATCCAAAATGCGCCTTATCTGTTGAGGTTATTTGAAGATGTGATGATGAATCTGGTTTGTTTTCTCTCATCAGAACATACTTCTGGTCCAAAGACAAATGTCTGTGAAGGAGAAGGATGTGGAGCAGTTTCAACAAGCTCTTAAAATCTACACAGATACCACCACCAGCCAGCTAAACAACCTGCAGTATGTCCTTTCGTCTCCCTCGAGATCTCTCTGTGATTTGATGCAGCCACATCAAATTGCTTACATTTTCCCACACATATGGGATAACACCCCCACTGCCTTCTTTTTCTCTCTGACTCTTTTTATTATTTAGCGTTTCAGTCCAGAACCTGCCAGACAGATCATGCTTCATCATGTACGAATTTTGGCAGGACCGTCTCTCCTGGATGAGGTAGGATCACGACAACTTCACGGCGTATTAGTCTGGAAAACATGTTCTGAGAATATCACTGCTAAACCAAAATGTGCCCTGCACACCAAGCTGCTCACAGGTTCCCTTTGAAGCATTATTGCGTTAGTGAGGAGCAAATGGCCGTCTCATCTGTGTCATCCCTCTTTCCTCTCAGCTACCTGCAGTCGTCCATCAGTAAAACCTTCCAGCGCTGCGTTATCGACTCACTGGAAGAGCCAGAGATGGTCTCCACCATGCTCCTCCCAGGTAGACACCAGATATCTTACGGAAAGGCTGCTATTTCATGCAACTAATCTCACACAAATCCAATTCGATTTGGTTGATATTTTTATAAAATAATGGTAACTATTCTCAGTAAAACTGTGAGAATGATTGAAAATAGCATGGCTGGTGTCTCACACAATAAACACAGGTTTTCAGTTCAGGTTCAAGATACAAAGGATTCTCTTTGTATGTCTTTCTGGGGAAATGCTTTGTGGAAACAATAGAATTTAAGTGCTTTATAGGTAAAGAATGCCTTTGATATTAAAGCTGCTTTAATCAATATTATTATATAAAAAAAGAGCAGGTAACAATATGAAAGGAGTCGCTCATAGTGTTGAACACACTGCAGCTCCCCTCAGTTGTACGGAGCGTTTTAGCTTCTCTCGGCGCATTATTTTGGTTTCTGGACCCTAACTTCTATGTTTTGGTTCACTCTTACCGCTCTCATCAGCTGCCCAGCACTGAATGGTAAACAACGTTAGCAACATAGTGGAGCATTTAGCGACTAAAGAGCCAGATATTCTCCTCAGAAGTTGGTGGAGAGCAAAACAGAGTGAATATTGGACTTGTGTTCTTCAGCTTCCCAGAAATAAATGTTGCTAATGTTGCTCTGTATCTGCTGGATATGTAAATAATATGCAACTGTTAGCCAACAAATTCGCCATATCATCTTAAAAGGTGATAATGTGCCAGTGTTGTGTTGACAGCTTGTTTCCACTGCCTCCAAGTGGCCAAAAACAATCTGTTAATGCAGGTTTAATGTGTGGGAAATGCTGAAGTAGATATTGAATTGTAATCTTAGAAGAAATACATGTTGATATTCAGCTTATCTTCCTGTTGTCATTGTCATTTATTTGGCCACAAAACATTGATGCTTAATTATTGTTTCATTTAACAGCCTCTTGGTGGATTATGAACAACAACTGACAGGACAAAGCTGCTGCTATTCAACACAAAAAGCAGGAGGAAGATCTGATTGTGTAATTGTTTTATATTTTTGTTCTTTGATGTCCACTTTTTCCCTCATGGCATGACCAGGATTGATTTTGCAAAGCTATGCTCTGAGGTTATAGAAGAGAAGACTGCTCAGATAAGTCAGTCAAGAGTGAAACAAAATGAAAACCTGGGAGAGAAAGATTTAAGGTAATGCAATATTTTTTGTGTGGTGAGGATTTGTGCCAACATTCATCTAACAGGCACGTTTCTTGCTTCTGATTTAATAGGAACATAAAACATTTGCATGATTTCTTATTTCTCAGTGCTAGTTTATTTCAATCAATCAATCTTATCTTACGATAAATATAATGTCACTGATGCCACACAAATAGAAACACATTCGTCAGTGCAGACAAAAACAGATATAGCGGTTGGGTTAACCTGCACTTCCCCTTGTTCTCTCTGTGGTATTGTGCTTTCTTGTCTTCTTCAAAGCTTTGCATCCAAGCGTCCTTTTGCTGGTGGGTTAGACAGCAAGAACGATTATGGTCCACATCTAAACTTTTATCATCCGTGTGTCACTCATGCACTTTAGAAGAATATGAGACGTGGACCTAATTGTGAAAAAACAGACATTTATTGTTGACTGTCAGTTGAAAAAGGTAGAATTAACTGCTGTTAGGAGCAGCACTGAAGTGTAGTGAGACATTAGCAGACAATAACAATTGAATAAGTTAGTCTGCAGTTTTCCTGTGCTGTTACTCTATAAATATATTTGAAATAAAACTCAAAAGCCATTGTTTGACACTTGCAGTGTGTAGTCAGTATACAATAAACACACACACACACACATAGAAGTTTATATTTTAAGTACAGAAATTAAGCAGTTGGGTGTTATAACATTAGGCAGAAAGTCTATTTAGATTGTGAACTGTAGTTAATATAAGCTGTAAGTTATTGTTGTAGAACATTGTTAAATGTACAGTATGATAGTACATTGAGCAGTGGTCGCTCTGATAATTTGATGAAAGAATGTGTTTGCTCTTTTTTTGAAGTATTTTATCATTTATTTTATGAAGAATATACAGTTGTTATGTGATTGCTATGTTTGTTTTCTGGCATGAAATAAAGTTCATGACTTGTTGATGACATTAAATGATTGTCCTCTTGCTTAAGAAGAGTGCGGTGTTTATAAATTGTGATTAAATAGAAAAGATAATACATATTTATTAGTAAATGAATGGTAAGGTCGACACGGTCCACTGTATTGCTGCCAACTCATTCTGTGTTCATGTTTATTACTGTCTCTAGTTGGCTTCCGCTGTATGTTGTATTCAAAATTGTATTAGAATCCAATTGACATGTAAAACAGCTGTCAAAGAAACTGAAAGAAGAAGAAATTATTTTCCGTCTCCTTTACTGAGTAAGACGGACGGACTCTAAATAAATATAAGCTCATGATATCAGCAGCTGGAACCTTTGAGAAACATCCAAAACATAATGAAAACAATTCAAGCCCACCTTGTGTTGAATCAATCGACTTCGTTTTCTCTGTTCTTTTCAATTCCTTCGACCTTAATTATCTCTAACCTAGAACGTTTAAGCACAACATTTCCACTGCAGTACATTCACAGTCTGCATTTTATGCCTTAATAATATACACATCAGAATATATTTGACTTCACAGCTTCTTTATACCCGAGTGTATATCTCAATACGTAATTTATGTAAAATATGATAATATTAGGATTTCCTCACTTACTCTATATTATTGCATCTGAATAGCCACTTATTTTCCATAAGTGTTATTCAGACATTGAAAATAGGCCAATGTGTTACCTCTCATTGCAGCTGAAAGTAATAGAGTCTATAAGTAGAAGTAAATATATGAATCCTATTTACATATATTCTAATAAAACCCAAACAGCTTGAAAGCAAAATCTGTCATTTCAGCAGGCAGGGAGATATGCAACCTCTCAGGTCCCAACAAAGATAAAGGTAAATGGAAAGGTTTCTCCATGATGTAAACTTAAGGAAGAGAAGATGGTGCAGGCAGGAGGTCTTTTACAGCTGCAGCCTCTCTTGGAGAGAAATGCTTCTGCTGCTTCAGATCTCATACACTAATCCTCCCCTGCGGCTATTTCCTCCTCGGCGATAGTGAAGCTTCTGCCACGATGTCAAGGCCACAACAACTGACAGCTATGTGGGCTAAGAAAAACATCTTGTATATGTTCCATGTGCATGTATAAGCAGCAAGTCAGCTCTCTCAGAATCAAAGAGGCAATCACTATTCTCTGTGCAGTTTCCTCGAGCTAATTGTCAATTCTACAGCAGACTGAGTGGACACTAACAGATATAAAGTGGTCATAAGAGAAGTCAATATGGTGTGGATTTATTGCCTGCAAATTGGTGCAAGTTGTGGTGTTTGGCACCCATTAGCAGACAAAGCCTTTCGGTCGACGATATTAAAGCACCTGAATGTCGCTACACAGCTATTTGGTCAATTAGGAGCTTATTTACATGCGTTTGTGCTTATGTATGATCAAGAATAAGTGGTTAGAATCGTTGGAGACAGGGTGAGAGGGAATGGACGGACTAGAGAGAAGAAGAAATGGTGTGAAGAGACAGGGTCAACTGTCAGGGAACATTGACGCCAAATGGAAGCAAACTCGAGCAGAAAGCCTGAAGCTCCGATATCCTCAACAGACTCACGCACCAGTGGCCAGATTTGTGATGAGCTGTAAGGTAACAGGAGGATGGATGGAGGAATGTGGAGGAGGAGGTGGGAGCTTGGAGTAGAGGATTCAGAGAATGCAGCGATGGGTACAGTTTCATGTCTTCTAGCGTTTTCAGGCCAGCTTACTGACAGTTTATCAAGGAGGGATTACTGACGGCCCAAGGCACAAAGTGTATTTCTGGAAGTAGAAGGCGTTTGATCTGTCTTATCAGATGGGCTCCGATTCCTATACTTTCATTGGGCACACGTCTGGCGTCAGCGGCAGATGATACAAACACGTGTGGAGGAGTGCATCAGCTCATGAGCAGAATAACGGTGGAGCTTTCAGAGGTTGTTGTTTTTTCAGTATAGATCGGAATAAAGCAGAAATGATGACACTCATGCTCCTGCTCATAAACAAAGAGAGTGATGGAGGGATTTTATTGCTTTGAATTGGCCAATGTAAACATCAGTGAATCAGCAGTGAATAAGTAAGACACTGCGGTAAGCACACTATTACATTTTACTTGCTGTTTCGGGTCTTATTATGACATCACTAAATGGAATTGTAATCATCGAGATGCCAGAAATGAAGACTGAAACTGAAACACAAAATTGCGTCCCCCCCCCCCCCCTTCAGCTCACATAAAAACAAGCTTTGCATATTTGTATTAATTGACTGAAAAAGGAGAACAGTTCACATTCGGTAATTATTTACTGAGTCACTATCTGGATAGTCTGGCTCGACGAAAAAGCACTTGACCAACCGCAGAGTGGTGGAGAGGCTCAAGAGGACACTGGACCCAAAAGCACCAAAAATATCACAGAAAGAGAGAAATTACATGAAAAGCCCTGGCAAAATACAGTATGGAAAGATAAGGGAGCAATGAAGAATAGAACAGGGGGGAGGTAAAATAAACCCAATTTATAACATCATCATCTTGTGCAGGCAGGGTGGGGTTATCAGGGGGAAATGCAAGAGGTTTGGGTGGAGGAAGCCTGATGAAAAGACTGATGAAACCGAGAGGAATGTGGGTGGGTAATGGAAACGGGGGGGGGATGTTCTTTGAAGAGTGGAGAGATGGTAAATTGGCGCCGTGAAATACAGGACAAAAAACTGGGGGAGAGGTAATTGAAGGAGGAGGGAAAAAAATGAGCAGATGGAAGCCTATAGAATCGAAGAATATTAATGTAGGACAGTGTGGGGTAAGATGGCAGCACGTGTGATGTGAACGATATATGTGATCATCTTTAGGTAGAAGTAAAGTGATTAATAAAACAAGAGACAGATAATCTAATACTGTGTGAACAACCTGCTGCATTAACAATGCATCTATGTGGCCCAAGGTCTGTTGGGCCACAAAATTGTGTACTTTTCTTGGGTTGTCTTTATGTTTTGGACTAGACACCTCATTAATGCTACAGCATCCAATTACATTTCATACAAAGCGGTGCATCAAACAAAGAGAGGTCCACAATCTCTAATCTATTTTTCTCTCCCTTCACTCTCTCTTTCCTTTTCACTTGATTCTTATTTCATCTAACCTTTTTCACGCCACCCTCATAAGTGCATGCACACATACCACACAATCACACATGCTCATTCCAAGAGACACAAGTTTATATCTCCCCCATCAACATAGACAACTCTGTATCTGCATTGATTCATTAACTCTGTTTTATGTCTTGTTGCCTGGAAGAGGGATCTGTCCTCCTCTGCTCTGCCTGAGGTTTCTTGCATTGTTTTTCCCTGTTTAATGGTTGATTTGTGTAGTTTTACCTAAATTGAGGGCCATCATTTTGTGTCTCGTACAGATTGTAAAGCCCCTTGAGGAGAATTTGTGGTTGTGATATTAGGCCTATTTATATTAAAATTTCGTTGTATCCATGTGTGTTTAATCTGCACCACCATTTTTTGTCATTTAACTTTGCACTAATAAAAAAATCAAAGAAAAAAGCATATCCTCCTACTTTTGCCATGTAGTATAAACATATACACTGCAATACTGCATCAAACGATTTTAGTAACAATTCTGATGTTCTGCTTCACTTCAGGTCTTTTAAAAGTGATGCTCAGTGATAAAACATTCATGATGAAGTTATCACTGTCTCTCCTCGTTTATAAACAGAGCACGGCAATAAAAAGAGATATCAACTGTGAAAAAGCGTAGGATGGAAGAGAGGAGGCAGACGGATAAGAGGACAAGAGAATGAGAGAAGAATGGGTGGAGTTAACGGAAAATAGAGTGAGCGAGAAATTTGCTGGTGAAAAAAAAAGATGATGAAAAGAAGACGATATGGATTAAAAGGGGAAAACAGAGGAGATTGAAGCAGCCCGTGAAATACGATTACAGATAGGAGTCTGTAAGTGAGAAGAAAGACAGAAGGGACATAGCAATGAAGAGCAGTAAAAATAGAAAGGCCAAAAATAAATGAAAGCAAGAAAAAAAATGTAAAAGACAATGAGAATAGAAAATCAGAGGCATCGCCTATACACAGGTAAAAACAAAGTATGTGATCGGGAGTGTAATGAAAGACAGATGATGAGATGTCAAAACTACTGCACATTTATGTCAGTTAAACATTGTACACTGGTGCACTGGCGGCCATGTTTTTGCTGATTAGCAGCGATGTCATCATGTGCTCGGTATCTATCAGATGTATGTAGTAACTTCCTGTTCTTCTACCCATAAACTGTAACCACTGGTAAGTACAACTTTGAGGTAGGCTGCTGGTAGTTATCCCTTATACTACATAACATCTATCATGAGGTAAGTTGTTTTAAATATTGCAGTCAAAATGGCAAATTTGTAGCACCAAGAGCAATGAATATAGTCATACTGTTGTTTTAGTTCTGTGATAATGCATGTTTATATTAATCGAATAATCCTTAATTAGTGATGGTTATTACACACTGCTGTAGTTCAGTGTGCTTTAAAAGAGTAATATCCCCAACAGTATAATGGGATAGTAATCAGGCTCAGCTGCACCAGGACCAGCTACAATATTCGAATACTGTTTACTCATCAATAATTCAACACTCTGAAGGACCCCGTCTTCACAATGAGCCCTTTAATACTTGAATACTTGGGTACATTTACTGTGAACAAGCCTATGTATATTTTAACGCAGTATTTTTCCACTGTGGAATCGTTACTTCAATGCGTATTTTATTTCCTCTGCCTCAGGTTACCACCATCTATTTTTGAACTCTGTGTCCAAAAATGACACACCATTCTCTTCCGGCAGGTACTGAAGGAGAAGGAACACAAATAGCTTGATTTAAATCCAGAAGATGTGTAAATTCATTGTGTTTGAATCCCTATGAGCCTCCCTGTAAGATGCTGACTGTCATAGTGCTTTTGTCAGCACAAGCAGAAATGAATGTGCCACCATACCGGTGCAACACATGATCATATCAGGCCAATCATGCAAGCAATCTATTTTTGAGCAATTATTTCCTGATAACCTCTGCAATGCAGGCAAACCTCTCATTCAACCCCCCCCCCCCCCCCACACACACACACACAATTACTGTAGTGATGACTTTCATCATCATTGATCTGCAATATGTTCTGTATTTGGTTATCAGTTTGTTAAGTTATATATAAAAGAGAGAAAAGTACAATAATTATGTCCTAAATGTAGAATTTAAGTAGAATTGTAGAATTAGCCGAGCATGGTAATATTTATGAAAGTACCTCATAACTGTACTTTTGTGAGGTACTTGAGTAAATGTACTTACTTGTATACCACCATTGACTTCACCTGTATTATGACGTCATCCATGATGGATTAAGAAAAGCTTCTCTTGGGGTTATGAAGCATACCAATCAACAAGAAAATGTATTATCATTGAAAGAATCAACCAGCAGGATCACAATGTGCTTAGACATGCAAGTACAGAGCTACAAGCAATGAAAAGTTATTAAGTACATTTAATCATGTACAATATTGATTATCTTGTGCTTTACTTTCCATTTTCTGCCATTTTCTACTCCACAATATTTGAAAGGGACATATTGCACTTTTTACTTGCATACATTATTATAGACTGAACACACTAGTGGTATATAAAGTAAATTGGATCCACTTGAATCAACTACAAAATCAAAATGCTGCTTACAGATTGATACATCCATTATAAAAACAATTTATAGTAAGTAACAGTATTATAATACACCTAAAGGCTCTATTTAGCATAATGGACACTTTTTTGGGAGATTCCTGTGTACTTTTTTTTGATAGATGATAATCTATCATTTTTATTCTGAACACAGGGCCTGTACTTGTAGGCCCAATGCAGTGTTTTTTTTTTAATTTGTTGTAGTAATTAGCCTACTTTTGATTGAGTAAATACATGAATACCTATTCCACCAATGGTTAGTTAATTAAAATACAAATATAAGAATACAGGCTGTAGGTTAGTAGTTTTATTTGAGTCATTTCTCACATTTTTATTACGTGTTTGTGTTTCAGTGGTGCTGATAAATTGCGCCCCCTGGTTGTCCCAGGAGAGAATTACTCCCAGTAACCTCTGATTTTCGGTTTCTCCACTAGAACCCAGTGATAGTTTGCAATGGCAGCTATTGACTGCAATGACCTTCCCTGAGGTCGCCTGATGACTGGAAGAATGAGGACGTGAAGAAATCATATGCGACCTCTGTGAGCTTCCGCCTTCACAGATTTAAGAATATAGGATTAAGTGAGAATTAAGACAATTATAATTATTGTACAGCTAGTAAGAATATACCTTGAAATGGTAATAATAGGCTATTGCTTAAATACGTGGGCGAGAGCCGTTTTCATTGATACAGATCACACTGAAACCTATGATTATTTTAGAGGCTTTATTCATACCTGTTGTTTTCTCTTAGCACTTTATTTATTTTAGTTTATACTAAACATAACAACAATAATTCGGGAGTTTACCGAAGTTTTTTTCCAACTATTGCACTAGACAGTTTATATGTGGATGAATCGATGTGTAAATCCAGAGGCAATAGCAGTAAATTTGCAATTTAATCTATAATTTTAGATTGTGCCTTATTTGGCAACTAGGCCTTTAAATATCCCATGATCCTTCACGGTTTTTGAACGTTTAGAGTCAAGAACGAGCTACTTTTAAACCACATAGACGATCTTTACAAGACCAAACTGCCGCTCGCAATTTCATACGTTTATTGTTGATTAACGTCACACTGTAGGACCACTTCCAAATTTTCTGACACCGTGATCTTGTATACCAGCTGCCTGTCTTCCTACTTATCTTCCGCAAACCCACTCTTACATCCGGGCATTCGGAAGGCTTGCACTCTGGGCTACATACAGGGGACCTGGTTTCTCATTCTACGCCCAGGGGAAAGTCCCCGGACCGAAGGCAGAGAGTGTCCTGGGTAATTCCAGTGTTGGCTCGCGCTACATCGTTGTGAAGCTAAGAGGTTCATTGAACTGAGCTTGATGATTGTGAGTCGACCTTGTCAGCGTCACTAGTTATTGCAAGTGCGCAGTAACTAACGCGAAACAGAACGGGGCTCATTCTCGGAATGCACTTTTTTTTTTTGCATGTTTGTTATCATGTAATGTGTAATCTTCGCATTTATAATAATAATAATACTTCTCTACTAAATCGATGATTACTCGTTTGTTATCGTTAGTATCTAAAAAAGTCATGGTATAGTAGGTCCAAAAAAAGTCATAAAAAGCCATAATATAGTGTTAAACAAAACATGAAACATTTCATAAAAGTCATATTGCTGTTTGTTAAATGATCGTCTTAACGGTAGTGCAGAAGTGCACAGTGCTATTTCTCCAATTGTTCCCAAGTCTCTGAAGCTTTCTTTCCCCAATTTGAGGCGAGTAGTTCTCTCACATGAAGAAGGATGTGTTTTACTGTCTCTGAAGGTCCACATTCATATTCGCAATCAGAGCCAATCGCCAACAATGACCAAGCCCCCAGCCTGGTTAAGACTACTGAATATTCTCTATTTTCTATTGCAGGCCAAATAGCCTTCTCCCCTGTTTCCTCTGCCACATTTATTTGTGTGACTTGTTTATTGTAGGGCAATTTATATTTCATCATTTGATTAATCTCTCTCTGTCAGGAGGCTTAACCAGGTCTGGGTGTGAAATGTATTTATCTTATTGAAGTTAACACTGCTGCTGAGTCACTGCATTTACTGGAATACCTGGTTCATTGACTCTACCGGTTTACGCGAGAGGACACGTGGTTTAGTGGTAGTTATATCACAAAAGGCTCACAAAGCTACAAACTCAATCTACTGGAACATCGAGAATCATTTTTAAGTACACCATCTCCCACTTGTGCATTACCTTATATCGCATTGGTTAAGTCATGAAAATAAGTCTCACATTTGCATTTGTATCTCCATCTAGTGGTTAAAAACGTGACATGCAACCAATTCAATTCAAACAGAGAGCCTGACATAAATTCGGGGAAATCAACCTGATATTAGACTATAATTTGGCAAAAACAAACTTAAAACTCTCGGAAAATACCAATAATTCACCTTTTTCTCATGAAGCCTCCCGAACGTTTTGCCAATTTCGGGAATACAATTAGCAGCAATCTTTACTATTTTAACAATTCAAACAACTCGGATGCTGTAGGTGTTGCACAATAATTAACGTTCTCTGTAGACTGTCATATTCGGTGTACAACTATTTATTATTTAAATTGTCTTCAAACATTATAATATGACAGTTTTACTCCTGAAAGGATATCACTGTTTATAATGTGTGTCTCTCAGTGAACTATGCTATACTGCCCCTGTTGTTATGGTGCAATATGAGTACACTGACCATGATGCTGTGCCTCATCATTGATTCTGCATTGTGTGCACTGAACTTGGCCAGTGGGTGTCCATTTTCTCTCCGGTGTCACCTTTCTGCACGACAGCGGGAGAACAAAGACACTTGTTTTCCCATGGTAGCATCACTAGAGGGAGCACTGCACGTACAGCATCCTTCCTAATACACTCTGACATGAGAGGCGCACACAGGCGTACATGGACATACTGTATACTACTGGATTAGGCAGTACACAAAAAGATTACAGCGTCACATGGTGCCCCCTCTAAATGGTGCCTGCCAGTAACCTACTTCCCCCCTCTAAGCCATCCCATCATTCATTTGGAGTGGGTGTGGGCTCACGCAGGAGCCGCTCAACAGCATCATCACAAAGGTTCAGCTCCTCCCTGCCGTATCCTGGAGAGACAGAGGGAGGGAGAGACAGGGAGAGGATCAGGGTCAGATGAATTCCAGTCTGAGTGACGAAGGCAGTGTGTGCAAATGAAGAGGAGAGTCTGTGAGCGTGTGTGTGAGAAAGGACGAATCAGGAAGGGCTAGAGACAGAGTTGGGGTGGGGGGGGGGGGGCGGGGGGGAGGATTGTGCGCATGAGGGAGACAGTGAGGATATCCAGGCAGGAGGAGGAAAGGGACATAAAGAGAGGAAGGAAAAGGGGGGCAGGAGGTAAAAGACAAGAGAAGGGGACCCAGATTAAGAAGGAAGATGGCTGAGCCGGAGTTGAAATCACGGAGCAGCCGGGAGAGCGTTGCCAAGGCAGCAAGCCAGGAGAAGATTGGAGGTAGGTACAGTGCATGCTCACACTCCTGTAAACACCACATGGTGCAGAGCTGCATTATTCCGCCATGCGCCCTGATGCAACACTGTCTAATGCCAGTATACCTACAGATTAATGCCGCTATAGAGATGGTGTTTTGTGGTGATAGTGACAGGTGACCGAGGTTGACAGGTGAGGAAATGTCACACATAATACATAAAAATAGAGCTATGTTTCCACACGGGCCCTTTACTGGGTGTGTAAGCACACTTACCTGATAATGTGGGTGTGTAAATTAATAGGGCGAAGTGAATAAGATGAGTATCTTCAGCAACAGTTTTTAAAAGTGTCCCAGATGAGCCTGCTTAACCTGCTCTTGAGCAGTCCATGCCACACCAATTTGCTGAACAACAATGCCACACTGCTTCTATCCCTCGCTGCTTGACACACAGACATTATTAGTCTGTTTTGTTTATTGTTTTCATATAAGTTTGGTATTTTATTCTGTTCAAAAAAGTAATCAAAAATATATATAATATAAAATATCTCAGCAAAGGAAAACTTCAAAATACACTTGTCACTTTGATGATTTTCTCTTTTTTGTGATCAACACTTAATGGTTTAACTTCAAATGTGAAACTCTCATCTCCTGGTCGGCTGTCCCTTATTCTCCAGCAGTTGAAGCGGACCCAAACCAAGATGGTCTGATTATAGAGCAGCCTGCGTCTCCATCTACCCACATGGTCCCTGCTCCCACCGCCACATTCCCTGCCACCGACTCGCCCGCCAAAGGGGAGAAGATTGTGCTCAAACGCAGCATCACCCTCTTCAATGGTGTGGGAATGATCATCGGCACCATCATTGGCTCTGGCATTTTCGTCACTCCAACAGGCGTGGTCAAAGAGACTGGTTCAGCTGGGCTCTCCCTGATTGTCTGGTCTGCCTGTGGCGTGATCTCTACCATGGGCGCCCTATGCTACGCTGAGCTTGGCACAACCATCACCAAGTCGGGCGGGGACTACACTTACATCCTGGAGGTGTACGGCGAGCTGGTGGCTTTTCTAAAGCTGTGGGTGGAGATGCTCATCATCCGGCCGTCATCACAGTACGTGGTGTCGCTGGTGTTCGCCACCTACCTTCTGAAACCTCTGTACCCAAACTGCCCCGTGCCTGACAGTGCAGCCAAACTCATTGCCTGCTTGTGTCTAAGTGAGTGGCTGGGGTAACCGCGCAAATACTTCTCTTTCTACACAGATGACAATAATAAGAAAATCACTCATTTGATACACTTTAATCCATGGTGATTATTCCCCAACAACCTAATTTGTAAACGTCTATATGTCTCTCCCCACCTCCTGTAGCCTCCCTGACGTTTGTGAACTGCATCAGTGTGAGAGCGGCCACCAAGGTGCAGGACTTGTTCACAGCCTCCAAATTACTAGCCCTGATCATCATCATCATCTTTGGCTTCATCCAGATTGGCACAGGTGAGTCCCACTTCCTCATTGACTGATAGAGTCACAGAGGTTTATAGTGTGTTTGTGGTCAGGCTCATTCAGAGATCATGTAAATCTCTGCTGTATAGCATTCTCTGGCTGCAGGTCTACAAAACACAAAGAGACCAAAAGCAACGACAATCACACAAAATGAATCAGACATCAATTGCCAGCTGGGTTTTGCAGTTCAGTCAGTCTCACTATCTGGAATCATTTCCAATGTAGCATCTAACTACAGACGTCTTGATCCCAACTTGATGCTAAGTTGACTGGACGAGTTAGACAACTTGATACTAAGTACAATCTTTTGTAAAACATTATTGTTAGACTGTCCACATGAAAAACAAGCTGGCTCATCTTCACTTTAGTGTGAAAAAACGGGTCCTTGTGTAACGTGTGTGTGATGAGGCATGTATCATCATACTTTGCTCCAAATCCTCTTTGGTGGGTGAATAAGTGTTTTTCTATCCCAAAAAATATAGTTTTCTCTCTCATCCAATATGATAAGTGTGTATTTCCCAGCATGCAGCTGTATACAGTGTGTTAATCCATCTCCCACTTGTTTATATTTTTGTTTATTGCAATAATGATGCTCATAAAAGTGTTATAAAATAAAAGCAGATACGGTTTTATCAAAGTATAGTTATATACATTACTGTCTCAGTGTCTCACTGGCTCTGCTGAAACCCAGGTTTATTTCTTTTATCTCTAATGATCAACAAATTGTTGATGAACACTAACGAGCCCAACCGAGCAGACTGCCCTCCTTTCAGTTTGTTAGCAGCTAACTGAACACAAGGCTTGTCTGTCTGCAGCCATGTGATTGAGTCTGAGCGAGTGTGAAGCTATTCATACATACATGTGTGTCTGCATGGGTGTACTTTGAGGTTGAACACCGATGAGCAGAATGGGTCTAATATATGACTCATCTGTACAATGTGTAGCCTCTATAAATATGTGTACTGTATATCCTGCAGATATGTAATATGGAGCAATATGTAGCAATATGATAGAATTGATATCGTCATATGAGGGACATAGTGGACATTCTAGAAACACTGATGCTGCAAAAATGGGACAGTTCCTCTGCCTGCAGTATTTCATTGGCCTTACAATGAATCTCAGTGTGAACTGAATCTTCCATATGATTGTTCTTAACAGGAGGCAACTGCTGATGTTATTCACAAGTGCCAGTCACCTCCATCTTGACTATATATATATATATATATATCATTTCAGTTTTTAAAATCATATGTATGAATACTTTTCAAAACTGAAATAGCAAAGCAACTGAATCAGCTCCAGTCATGCCAGTCGAAGGAAGTTAGTGCGTCCATCGTCTGCTCCATGCTACATCTGCTACTCCCCCCCTCCCCTTTTTTTGCAAGGCCACACCCACCACCATTGTGCTCCACACTGTGTTACCATGGAAACTAGGCGTCGAAGCTTGCCGGCTGTTGTCACACTGTGGTCTTTCAGAGCGCGAGTGAGAAAATAATGTGTGTGTAATACAGGCCTCACGAAAAGCAGAGTCATTACCATCTGAAAGCGACAGGTAGAGGAGAGAGCCGCGCAGGAGCAAGACTTCATGCATACACACACACACACACGCACACACACACAGCTCACATAGCAGTTGCCCTCGCTGATGATACACTGGATTTGTTAGCTGCTGTGGATAAACGAGAGAAGATATTTCAAATGTCAGCTGAACAGGACCTGATTATGTTTCTGTACATCAAAGCAGATGCTCAAAGCTGGAGGCAAAGTGTTCGGACAGAGTCCCGGCTGGCTTGTTGAAAATGTCAGGCAGCGACAGAAGTAAAAGGGGAAATAAAACTGGAGCAGCAGCCCTGAATGAGAATCCATTTAATTTATATGAAACCACGCAATTTCTTCATAAACTAAAGTTGTTACTTTAGAGAGAGTTTCAGTTGTCTTGGATTCATTTAGCTTATTCTTCTTTCTATGTGTGTGCAGGAGATGTGCCGTACCTGACACCGGAAAAAGCATTTGAAGGCAGCAAACTGGGAGTGGACAATATTGTCTTGGCTCTGTACAGTGGACTCTTTGCTTTTGGAGGCTGGTGAGGCATTTGTGACCTATTTTGTTGCAATTATAGACCAGAATTAGAAATCATTTATTTATAGCTGCCAACTGTTTGCTTTGCAAAACAACGTACAGTTTAACTTTACCCAATCGCTAAACCATTGTTTAACTCTATTTTTTTTTAGGAATTACCTGAATTACGTGACCGAGGAGATGATCAATCCAGAGAGGTGACATAAATGTGATGAATGTTGTTTTGAGGATTGTACAATGCCAACAGCATGAATACCCTCATCCATGACTGAGCTTGTTTCATTTGATTGCATGTAGTAACAACATACAAAGTGACATGATGCCCCTTACATTTTAATGCCATCCTATACAAAAGCAACCTCAAAAAACGTCTGTAGAGCTGAATACAAAGCTCTCTTGACAAAAGCAAATTGTAAACTTGAGTTTTGGGATTGCATATTTAAGTGTTGCTGCTGCTTTTGATTGATATTATCAATCAGATATTGTGAGAGAATATGGTGGGTTTTCCTTCCTCAAATGACCTTTGACCACTCCTCCATAGGAACCTGCCCTTGTCCATCATCATATCCATGCCTATAGTGACGGTGGTGTACGTTTTGACCAACCTGGCCTACTTCACCACCATCTCTCCTGAAGAAATGGTCGAGTCTGAGGCGGTTGCTGTGGTGAGCTTTGTATTTCTGCCACACAGTTACAGACTTTGCAGACTGTAAAGTCAAAGTCATCAGTTGCATCTTTTTGGTAGGCTGTGTTTTCTCATGTATGTTGTGCTGTTTGGCAGAGTTTTGGGGAGTACCATCTAGGTGTGATGTCCTGGTTGATTCCTGTCTTTGTGGGACTGTCCTGCTTTGGAGCCGTCAATGGATCCCTGTTCACGTCAGCAAGGTGTGTGTACGTCTGTACGGAGAGAAGAAAACTTAAGTAGCATTTCTATGCTGTAATACACCAGTTTGTAACTTATATAAATGAGTTAATGCAAGGTTAGGGAGTGCGTGTTTATGGGATGTGTGTTTGAAAGTTTTTCAAAAAACGTTCGACTGCTCAAACCAGTTTTGAGCACAGTTTATTTCCAATACTTAAACGACAGTCAAATATTGGTCTTCACGGTGTTGAACACTCAAATATAGGGAGGATATGCAGTCTCACATGATATGACGGTATATCTGAGACTGTTACGGGTTAAAAAACGTTATGTTATCTCTTCTAGGTTGTTTTATGCCGGAGCTCGAGAGGGTCAACTCCCTGCTGCTCTGGGTTTGGTCCACACAGACCTCTTCACACCAGTGCCGTCCCTCATCTTCACAGTAAGACGCCTGCTACTAACAGCTATGATCTGACAGCTACTTTGTTTTTGTTGTTTCTAAATCACCTTTAGAAATTCCTGTTGTCAAATCAACTCAACAACCTTATGATGAAATCCAATGAGGTTTTTGTAAATACAAGGTGCACTAAGTCACGTACGACCTTTATTGACGTACATCTGCAATCAAATAATTGCTACAGATTTCTGACAGGTGTCCTGCACTCATGAGCAGTTGAATATGTCTATTAAATTGTTTTTATATGACAAGATTTCTTTTGTCAAAGCCTCTAAAACTAGTCACAACTCAGTGAATGTTCACAGCATGAAAGCATTTAGCGGAACACAAATTCCACAAGAATTGGCCTTAAAACATATTTCCAAATAACTTGAGGAGTACAACATGTGTGTGTTTTTATGCTATGTATACAAACCTAATACGATCTTGTCTTCCTTTTGTCTTCTATCAGTGTTTGCTGTCCATGATGTACACCATCTCGAAGGATATCTTCTCTGTTATCAATCTCTTTAGCTTCTTCACCTGGCTGTGTGTTGGTATGGCCATTGCCGGCATGCTCTGGCTGCGCTATACCAAGCCCGACCTCAGAAGGCCCATTAAGGTAGAGTAACCATGTCAGGACAGGTTGTGTTGCATGTGATAAATGCTTTTTGCTCTGGAGATTTATCTAAGAAAAGTCATTTTTAAAGGATTCAAGACTCACTGCAAGGTGTACAACTTATGTAAGACCGCTCTATCTGAACCTCAGCCAGTTTCTTTGTCTGCCCAAAACATCAACACGTCTCCTGGTTTCATAGAGCATCCACTTTTCTTTTCTTTAAAAAAAAATATGAAAGGACCATTGTATCACTGCTCTTGTTATTGGTAGAACCACACTGTTTTTTCAGAATAGGAGGGAGTGGTGTTTCCACGCATACATGGCTCTTTGTTTCTGTTCCATCATGGGAATATTACTTTGGTCGACCGGTCTTTCATATTTGCTTTCAGCCTGAGTGCTCTCAGCCTATTTGTAAGATGAACATCTAACAAGCAATAAATAGCTAAAAACACCAAAATAAAAGCACTCATTATGCAGAATGGTATTGTACAGTATAGTATAATAATGACACATCATTATTTATTTATTGACTATATTTTGTATTATTGATCTGTTGTAATAAGTAACTACATTTATCAAATCAATGCAGCAGCATAAAAGCATTTCCCCGTCTCAAGTGGAGTAGAAATATAAAGTAGCAGAAAATGAAAATAATAAACCAATAAGGCAAATTACTTCAACTGATTATTGTATCAATATCTTATCACATTATCAATAAAAGTTGCATTGTTATGACGATTTTACATGATTCGTTATTTGACATGGTTCCATTTTTCCAGCTATATAGAGATACACGTATCATTGTAATAAGTAATAGCAGCAATGTTCAAAAAGACTCAACAATTAAATTCTAAAGGTCATTTTGTCAACTATTAGTAGGCTACTTTATCTACCCTCCTTCACAGGAACAAACGCCTACATCTATGGTATTTTCTTTTTGCAGGTGTATCTGTTCATCCCTGTGACTTTCGTTTTGGGCTGTGTCTTCATGATCGTTGTGTCCTTCTGGGCAGCCCCGTTTGAGTGTCTGGTAGGCAGCAGCATTATTCTCACAGGCATCCCGGCGTACCTACTGGGCTACAAGTGGAAGAAACCTCACGTGGTGAAGAAGGTGCTGGGTGAGTGGATTCTTGTTTTCTTTAATACCGTCTTTGTGTATTATTTCAGGCAAGACCGGAGAAGCATTCCTTACAGTTTGTTGTGAAATTCACGTGAGAATATCTGCTCGAGTGCAGCTGTGGGCAGTGATACATTTGGTTTGTTTATATAGTCGGCAGGAAGGACGCAAACTAAGACGCTGAGCCGATGTTACATTCAATCTACAACCTGCAGTAACCTAGTAAAATAAAACAGACAGGGCTGATGTTGATGAGTTGTTTCTCCTCAGAAATCTTCACCATGTTCTGTCAAAAGATCTTCATGTCTGTTCCTGAGGAGAGGGAGCTGCATGAGGTGGCCGAATAACGCTGGACAGACGAGATGAACAAGATGATGGACCGTGTCAATATTTGTGTCTGAACATTTTTGACATGTCGACATTCATTCACTTCACTAAAGCAATTTCTTTTAAAACTTTAACTAACCAGGCATGTAACTGTGAAGCAAATTGATATTGATAAGTGCGGCTTGGCAATCTCGGTAAAGTATGAAGGCATATCTTTGACAATTACATCTCCTTTAATCCTAGAACATGCTTACATTTAGCCTGTTAGTGAGTTAAAGGAGAGGCATGCCCTGATTTTAAATTGTGAGTAAGTATGTGCTGCCAACACAGTGTTAGAAGCTGCATTCAGATACTCTAGCGGCCTAACATACAAGTTTATTGTTCAGCTAAAGTGTACAGATAAGTAGCTTAGCGAGACAAGGCATTTGATAACTACAAACGACACATAGTTTAATATAGTTTACAGTTTTATAGAATATGAACGCTACTAACCTGTGAGTTAAAACTGAGGACTTTCTGCAACAGTTAATGATGTACGGACTAATTTCAATTAAAACGACCTCACATAAGATACAAAGACAGCGCACGGTGTATAAATAAGGCCAGGGTCGGAGGAGGCAAGGGTTAACTAGCATAACACTGATTACATTATATTCATATGCTACTAATATTTGTGTTAATTACAACTGATTTTGATATTTGTACATTTTTTAGTATTCATTTGTAAAATGAATCCACAGCACTACGTGAAAGCACAAGCTAAAGTGAGACAAAAGAGTGTATGTAATATTTACTGAAGATGCGTTGCTGTGAAGCAGGTCTGTTTCTTGTATCATTTTACTCTCACATCACACCATGTCAGTGTCATGCAGTGCTCCATATGTGATGGTATTTGATGAAATGACAGTGAATACCAGCAGCTGTTTGTAAGGCGTTCTTATAAGAAACTGAAGACCTGCATAGACGTCCTTCTGGTTGTATTTAGAAAACTCAATTGTCGTGTTAGTGTTTTGTGTTGTTTGTATATATTATCTGTGCCAGCAATTGTAGTACTGACAATCTGTTTTTTTTTGTTTTTTTTATTGTCACTATAAGTCCGGAATGAATGTTCCTAATTTAGTGACATCAGCTTTGCTTTTATATTTTACCGATAAAATCTTACTTTTAAACGGAATATCTGAGGTTTTCCTAAATTGTAAAAACATTGTCAATTTACTCAAAATCCCAGAGGAAAACCGTCTCAGAGGGAAATGAAGGAGGGTGGAGGTTTGTTGGGAAAGTTTTCTAGAATTTGCACAGAATAGAGACAGTCCTCTGAAGAATCAGACAATCACAGTTTTGCAGGACACTGTCAAATCAAATACATGAGCTGAAATTGGGTAATAATCCATATTGGTTTGAGACATCAAAGAGAAAATTGAAATATTTTCAACATGAATTAAGCCAAAGCTTTCAGAATTTTGAACAACAGCTGAATGAGGGAAAGGCTGAAAGTCATAACATCAATGTTGCAGCGAGAGATGAAATGTGGCATTTCTACAACCGTCATTATATATTCTTAAGGAAGTTGGACCGAGTTCTCACAACAAACTAGACAACAATCAGCGTTTAGCAGTGGAAATAAATCTACCTGTAAACATAGTGGGTTGTATTTACCATCCAATGACAATGACACCCATAAAGGCCTCTAATGTTAACACCAGATTGAAAGAAAAGCTGATACGAAAGTTTCATACAAATTTTGGAACATACTGCACCTTTTCCACTCCACGATTTATTAAATGTCATATACTGAACCATGTAAAAACCTCACAAAAATGCAACTTTTACTGATACAATAAGCAGTTATTTGCCTTATCGGGTTATTTGCGTATATTATCACATCACCACTGGTGGACAGTAAATTAGTACATTTGCTCTAGTAAATATTGAAGTACTTTACTTATTTATTCAACAGCCAGATAGATAGTAGCACAACAATTAACAGCACAATAGTGAAAGAACTAATCTAAAAATACACATTTTATCATTCATTGACTACCCATCGTATATTTCATGGTATGCATAACATACTGTATCTCTGTGAACAAAGTGCTACTGTGTGTATGAATCAATAAGACCTATTTGCCCAATAAAAGTGTTCTGGACAAAAAAATATAATAGAGTATTTTTAATTTAAAAAGTTGAAGGTACCTGTGTCAATTATTGTAACTGTTGTCTTTCGGAGGGTACATGTAACAATAAACATATTTTTGTTCAAAGTTGGCCTGTTTGTTTGTGTTTTGTAAAGCACACAAAAGAAGTGTTCCTCAGTGGGTGTAAATCAGATTTCTCACTGCTGCTTAAATGCAGCGTCCTAATATACTTGCATCAGTTAACAAAAGGCCAACCCCAGCCTCTCTGCAGATAACAGCTTCTAATAGAACAAGCAATCCCAAAACACAAGATAGCTTCTGTCCAAATGAGGATGTTTCACAAGCACGGTTTTCTCAAACAGTCGGGCCAACGGCGGTATCATATCTGCCATTGAGTGTTTAGGTAGTCATCTGTATGAAATGCTCTGTCCTCTCTTGTTTGTCTTGTCTTGTTTGTTGGCTGTCAGACAATGGTGCAGCCGATGCCTCTGATGTCAGGAGAGTTCATATCCGTTTGAAAAGGAAATGAGAGGGTCTAATGGCTGCTGATGGAACCAGTATCAGAGCTACTGGAGACAATATTAGTGATGGGAGATTGGACAGGCAAGGAGCCAATATTGCACAAGTGACGTGTGGACTGTTTGAAACCTTCTGCAAACAGGGACTTGATCAGTTCATTTGATTTGTAAAAGAATAAATCAGTACATAGAGTACAGTCCAGTCCAGCAGTGGAGTCAAATCTAATATTCTTAGTTATTTACATAGAAAGTAAACACAAATGACATTAAACATACTTAAGCAGTCTTTACCATGAATGAAATGCTTTAATTTTCTGCTATTACAGATTAAAATGTCTGTTAGAATGTAATGTAAAAATGTAATGCATCCTGGCCAGCTCTCTGTGTTGTTAAATAACCCCTGGGCAAAACTAAATCTGCATCAAATCAATTATATATAACTAGCTGAGATGAGATCGACTCAACTTCACAGCAAACATTCATCATCAACGTCAATCTTTATACATAATTCAGTTGTTTGTATTGAGCCTTCAAGATCTATTTTTCATAAAACAAGAAACATTTTGTCAGTGAAATAAATGCACTTGTCCGCTGAGCATTGTGACTTCTTTGAAGAATGGTGTTAAAAATAAACAAACAATAATAATAAATATTAAGCCAAAATAAATGTACTAAAATGTATTTGAGCTACATTTTCAAATCTTACATTATGGTTGGATTTGTTTGGCTTTGTTCACTCTTAGACTCAATCACGTTTTGCACTGTTGAGCAGAGCAGCCATAAAATGAGAATAAAAGTTAGGATCCTACAGATCAGGATATTCTTCACCACATGTTGGGTTTGGTTTGATCGCTTTTGATGTTGGAACCCAAGACTATAAACCAGCGCTAATATCACCAGCAGATGGCGATAGAGGAACATTAATATGAGATGGTAAAACAGCCGAGTGATCCAGTCCAACACCATCTTGCTGTTATAAACCTTTAAAGCTTTATGAAGTGTGAACTCTTTCATTTTTTCCTCCTTGGTTGGCATGCAAAGGATATTCTGCTCCCATCTGCTCACAAATGTAACTTTTTTAATCTAGTTAATTTTCTTTTTACATTTTAAGGGTACTTTTGTTGAGTGCAATGCCTTCCTTTTTTCCATTTCACAATCACATCTGGAAGCCGCCCAGTAAAACCACAGTTGTGGGATAAGGGTAATGAAGGTGGGGTTAAGGCCGTCCTTCATTTAAACATATAAGTATTACATTTCATCAACATTGAGCTGTGATAAACTGATTATTTTTAGGTTAGGGGAACTGAAACAAATGTGGAACATTTTATGAATCAGCTCTAGGGGGCACTGCGTCATCATCAACATCATAGAGAGTGAGCAAGACAGAGAAAGACAGTGAAAGAGAGAAAGAGAAAGAAGGACAGACAGAGAGAGAGAGAGACAGAGACAGAGAGAGAGAGAGAGAGAGAGAGAGAGAGAGAGAGGGGGGTGATAGATTCCATTTCTATTCTACCTTTAATCCATCTGTGAAATTCATAAGTAAAAGACAGTCCTATTTCTCTTCTGAGGTGGTTCTCTGAAAGTCCGTGTACTGTTTCATCATCACACCTTTACCAGAAAACACAACCAGCGGGCAGAATTGTTTTTGCTTGATATACTATATTGATCATGTCTAGTTTTATGAAAAGAAAAAAAAACGTGGAAAGGTTAAAGTTTAATAAAGGGACACCATGATGGAGCCTCAACTCCTCACTTAATGAGCCATGTGACAGCAGTCACATCAACTTTCCTACAACATCAAAGATTATTCTCCTAATTAACCTCAGACACATGCAGGCGAAAGCAAAGGTATGTTTACAACAAGCTATACCGCCGCTTCTCATCAAATTACTAATGAATGTGTTGGGACTCAGAAACGTAAACCAAATGATGAAATGAGTAGAGACATGAACATCAATTTCTCCACTTTAAACATTTTATTACAGACAAAAGAAAACAAAAGAAGTATTTGTGACACAAAATGAATCTAATGCTGGTGCACTGGTATTGCACCAACAACAATTTCTGAAAAAATATTTATTATTCTAATAATAATGTTGTTTGATCAATAATAATAATAATAATAATGCACCCTGATGAAAATAAGCCAAAATTGTTACTTCATATCGTTCATAAATAGATGTGAAACCTGCAACCAAATTAAATAGAATGACCATATCGTAAAACATATGATATTCAACAAAACAAAATGGGTTCTCTCATCAACGGCTTTACAAATTAAAGAAGTACATTTGGCAGGTTTATACACAAACTTAAAATATCTACCCCCATGACTCTTCCTCCAAAACGCAAAAAAATCCTGCTACAGTGAAAAAACAAAATATCTTTAGAATTCTTTTTCTTCACAAAAAATGATAAAGATAAGTTCAACACAATTCTAAAACACCTAATAAAACTAGTCAAAAACTTTAAAACCCACTGTTATGTTTTTTTTTTCTTTAGTAACATTTCACATTTAGCAACTTTTTTTTTTTAATTCACCTGTACAAGTGGTGTCAGGACTAAGGAAAGGTGAGCGGGGTTACGGGTGGGGGCGGTCCTTATTGACCAAAAGGAGGAGGAGCTAAAAGGAGAGGTATCAACCTTTGACCTCTACAGTTCTGTAACGTCCTGAGGCCATGTGAAGAGAGTGACACTCTCTATCAGAGCTCTGCCAGTTAAGGAGGAAATGGAGCGTTTTACAGTCTTTGCATTTCTCTCTCATTTGGAGAGAAACAAGACCAGTGTACACAGTTTCAACACAACTTTTAGTGTGTGTATTCCCTCACTGAATCCGCCCGCACGAAAATCACAGAGCCAAACGAAAACAAAAGTTAAAGAAAATAAAGAAAGTAAGGGACTGCAGCTAAATACACACATAAGAGGGATCCATTGTGGTGATATTTACAATCACTCTGTGAGAAACAAAAGGAAAAGAGGGCGTCCTTTAATAGGGGCGAGGATGATTTACAAACGTCTAAAGTGTACGTGACTATCTTCTTTATAATTTCACTTTGCTTTTACTCAGTTGGGGTGTTTCAGTATGTCCTGAAGTACATCCACCCCTGCTGAGGTGACTATATTCTAGTTTCCTGCATTCGCTTTTCTACCCAAAACCCCTACACTTTTAGTATGCTTAGAGCATTTCTTCTCCCCGATGAGGGCAATCCATGGCAAACACAGAGTAATGGAGTGAAGAGGAGAGAGAGCATCTTTAAAAAAAAAATTCAAAAAAAAGAATGAGAAGACTTTTTTTTGGTCTTCATTTCCAGTATGTTGGCATGAGCTTAAAGCTCACTGCCCCCGCAGAAAAGCGAAAAGTTCACCGATAAGGAAAAAAAGCAAGAGAAGTGCCTCAGGCTTCTGGCCGATCTAAGTGCTTGGCAAATAGGTGAAGTTACTGTAGCAGTCTTTGGGATTTTCGTAATCCGTCACAAAAAAAAACCAAAAAAAAAAAAACCCTAAATGGTGTAGAAGCAGGTACATCGATGACGTTGTTGTTATGGTGGAAAGCTCCCTGGAGTCTGACATTTGGAGGTCTTTCAACTTCAAGTGAGGTAGAGAGGCTTGTCCCGAGCTCCCATGCCGCTGCTGAGGAAGAATAGACTGTATTACACTAATGTACGTCTGGATACATGTGAATACAATTATTGACTACGTGTATTTCTGTTCATCCAATGTTTCACCAGGAAATCCCAGCGAGATGACGAAATCTATTTCAAAGTAAGACCTGGCTGAGAAGCAGCTCCAAAACATAAAAGCTGCCGTCAAACAACAGACATCAATCAGTATAAATAAAAAGTCAGAATATGCAGATCACCCAAAACGTCAAATACAAAGCCTGTTCTCCAGTTATCTTCACTGACACACAGGAAATAATTCAGTACGCTCCAAAACTCCCAGCTACTATGATCTGACACTGAGGGAAAAGGTTTAAGCAAAGACTCAATGTACTTCAAAGAGCATCAAACGTGATTTGACCCAGGCGTGATCCCATTTGACATACAGATGAATCAGCTCTAAATACAGAAGATACTGACTTCCAGCTCTGCTGCCTCTCGGAATAGCAACACCAAGTTTCAGGTGTGAGACAACGCAACATTCGTCTTGTACCTGCTTGAATAGCTTGATTCAATAAGGCAATGTGTGCTGAGCGAAACACAGGGAAACTTAATTGGATGTCACACTTTCTCCAAGCTCGGTAATAGCGTTGTTCTACTGCAGCAATACTCATTTCAATTTCAAGGAGATGCTTTGCTTTAGCAGAGGAATCACAGTTTATGATTAATACTGTCTGAGTCTCTGAGTGTGAAAGTGAAGTGGTTTAGAGCAACTCATTTGGAAAATGAGTAACTGTCAGACAAATACTTACTATTCTCAACAATCAAATGTCCCGGATTGGAGCTACAGAGGCGAAGAGATCTTTATTCTGGACCATCTTTTTCTGGCTAACTCGATGTGATTTCTT